CTGTCGCTAGCTCATTAAATGACGACAACGAAATGAATTAAATGATAGAAGTGAGCAAATAAACAGATGAGAATTCCAAAAATTAAGAAGTCATCCGAGTAATTTTTAATTTTTTAATTTTTGGAACGTAGTAATCAGTGATAATAGTGATTAAGGATAATAGTGATTAATAATAATTATGAATAATGAGTGCCTCCTTAACGTAGCAACAGCTATATTCGAGTAAGAAATAAGATAGAAAGTAAAATAAACTAATATCATTTAAGCAATATCTAAATTAGAAGATTTAGGAAAGTTCTGGAACATTGAGAGTATGACAGTACCCTCATGTTAACATCTTCTTTAGTATTATTTCTCTAGTAATGACCAACCAGCATTACTGACTGACCTATATCCAAATGAAATAGTTGATTTCACTATCGGTAACATCTCATCACATTCTTATTTTATAAAATGACTGATGCTTCCGGTGGTGTAACACCATGTCAGTAGAGATAAGGTGTGGAGATGACGAGTTCAGTATCTGAATGAGTTATGATGGATACTATCTAACAATTAATATCCTCTAAGAAGTTCCGATCCATCACCTTCTTCATTCATTCATTCATTCTAACCTACTATGCGAAGAATTGACGTTAACTTTCCGTTCAAGCGCTCTCGTTCTTAAGATTTGAATATATTAGGTCACGTTCTGCTTTCATATTCCACGAAGGACATGCAGCGTTTTCTCCCTAGAATAAGGAGGACGGAATTGGCTGTATTTTCATAGACTTAGAGGGATAGCCCTTCGAATGGTAATATATATATCGAGTTTGACATGAAATTTTATGCATTATTGTATTAACAACGAAATGTGATTCCTAATACACAAAAATAGTGACATTGAAATTGCGATGCGGAAGAGAACTGCCACCTTGCGTGTTTATGGCATGGTATGTACGAGAGGGAGCGTAATTACAACGAAGTATTGGGTGGAAGAAATAGCGTTCTCCGTACTAAATTGTCCGCAATACGTTCGAACTGTAAACGATTCTCACGCCACATTTTTGCTGCGTTTACGTTGGCGGCGCTTTCATCATTTGGTTCTAGAAACAGATTTTTTGCGACAAACGACAATTTTAATATGATCAGGCACAAAATAACATACTATTCACGTCAGTAGCAATTAAATGATTTCTTGCCGAAAAAAAATCCATAAATCAGCAATATATTTGAAAAGTACTAACCAGCAAGCATAGATACTACAGAAAGTAAGATTTTTTCGATGGACTGCACTGGAGACCATCTTTCTGCACTTGATTCATAACCAGTTGGATCATCACCTGGTGAATGAAGGATGCTAATACATACACGTCCGTCCGGATAGATGTTCGGATGAAAGATGTCGCAAGTAAATTGCATTTTTGGCGGAGAGAGAGGGTAATCCTAAAATAAACCAATTTCTGAAATCAAATTTTATTCAGTTGAATTTGTATTGGCCAAATACAAAATACAATGGATCTAGTATTACCGTATATAAGAAACCAAATTTATCATGAAGCTTATACATCCATATAGTAAAAAATTTAGTGAGATGTGATAGTTACGAAAATGCAGAAAAGTAAGAGTCATCTGATCACATTGCAATCACGATTTGCTGTAGCCTCAACGAAAATATGTTTTTACTTACTGTAAATTACTCACTCTAAATTATTCCAAGGCAGTGTCAAAGATGACAAGACTATATAAAATTGAATAACGTATATATTAAATACCTGAGGAAAAACAATCTTTGCTGGAAAGACACCATTCTCAAAGCAAGTCTCATCAGGCCCCGTGATTAAACATTCCCATTCAAAGAAATTATCTTCACTGATCGGTCCAGCAATGATTCCTTCTGGTGGATTTAACGTCAATTCTATAATACAACTCTTTCCAAAACCATACATATTTTCTTATGTACACTTGATCACTATCGTTTTATCTCTTTCATTTACTAACAGCAACCAATAAAAAAGCAAATTTCACAAATCTAGCACAGTTCTGAACTATCGTTATTTCAAACATAACTTACGCTTGTATTCAGCCATTAATCGCTTTAATGCATAACCTGCCATTTCTTACCAATCTGAAACATCTCTCAGAAGACTAACTAGATATATTTAAATCATCCTTATCATATTGACGAACCTTTCAAGTAAACGTTTAAAAGAATATACTGGCTGAATTATGAACCTCTTAATTCAAATGGGAATAAAATATGCCTGTATGCAGAATTCCATCAACAAATTGCCCAAATTAAGTACTCTCGGAACATATATATACATATCTAAACCAGAACCACTTAAAAATTCTTCCACAACTTTTATGCATTTATACATATTATTCTCTTTTTTGTCAGTTACAATTTACATTTTTATTTATGAACTATGGATTATTCTACTCAATAAATAAAATTTTCATTTCCTGGATAGCTCATGAAAAAGCACGATAAAATCACTGGGTACACATGAAGAATTTGTAGTAGCTTTTAAATGGCACATTTATTAATCGCAAAATAAATTCGATAATTATTACATGCGATAGGATAATAATTTAATAATATGCTTTTAATATTTCCAGATCCTACGGTGTACTAAAAATTGTTTGAAGTTCAATTTATATCTAAAAAATGCTACCAATCAGATATACTTTGTGAAAACAAATCACTAATGGAAAAATGCACAAATCATCATTGGGAAGAACTTCTATAAAAAATCTCCAACAAACTGAGGAGGAACGAAAAAATCCTAGACTGCCTAATAAAAAAGGACATCCATCTACCTATATTAAGAATTGTTAAAAATCATATTCCAAATTCCAAAAATGATATTTTAACACTGTTATATGCCTTCAGAAAAGTAACCAACTGACAGGATCAATGCACTAATAACATATATTGAGATAAAATGGAAATGACTAGTGAGAATTGAATAATGACGCTGGTTGGGTTAGACAATGATGCTCATTTATTCGTTTGCTTCTCCTTTTTAATAAAATTAATGATGCCATTAGTGCTAGAGTCATGAGAACTGCACTCCGTATTCACTTCAAATTCTTTTTGGATCACTTTTGCCAGTTGTTTGCCGAGCTCAACTCTAAAACATTAAAGTAAATATTAAAGCGAAGCGCGGACTTATAATTTTGAATACTGTTCCACTTTACTCAATAAAGAGCCGATGCATAAAAAATAAACAGTATTCTGAATATGTACAAAATAAAATTGCGATGCTTTTCATAAATGTAAGCAAAGGCTTTGCAATGAAAAGAACATGGAAATGAAATTATGCAAGAATAAACAAAACAGAAAACAAACCCCCATTGATCGTAGCTATTGATATTCCAAATAATACCCTGAACAAAAATCTTATGTTCATACAGAGCAATCAAAGTGCCAAGAGTAAATGGAGATACTATGGGTAGTATGATTGAATTTGTGGGCTTGTTTCCTTCAAATACCTGCAAAAGGTTGTAACGACAACATCATACAGTGAATGTTATTTCTTTAATCACAGAATAAAATTTTCCTGCAAACAATATGATTACGTCGGAATCCCGATAAACTATTAGGAGCTTGAAGTAATACTTAACAAGGGTTCTATTGAAGATAATTCTATTGAAGACAAAGGTTAAGTGTTTCTAATTATAGAAATATTGCAGTGAAATTAGACTTGTAATTATGCTATGTGAGATAAGAGAATAAATTGAATTATGATTATGGATGAGAAATTGTGGATGCTATTACTAAATGAAAAACTGACAATATTTCTATTATACCGTGATTGAAACTGTGTACTATTTTCTTTTTAAAAAAGCTCAACTGTGGCAAAATACTTCAAGTTTTGAACATTGTACAGATTTAGTTTGAAAACTGACCTTGTGCGGTAGTATGTTACGAATTTTCTCATCACTCATTCCTGAATCTTTCAATTCCTTCTCAGCTTCGCTTGCTGTTTTACCTTTCATTAGTGCTTCCGTCTGGGCTACGAAGTTAGACAACAAAATCTAAATTACATGTAGTGATTTTAAAAAAATCTAAATTACATATATATAGCAATTTAAAAAAAAAACGGTTGCGCTCTTTACCCTTCCAAAGTTTTAAAGAATAATTGCAAACATATATATATATACACTATGCCTAACGGTTGCTTCTGTCATGAAGATTTCTAGAACTTCAAAAACGAACGAAACGAATCAACATACTAAGCACAATAAAACAGGCAGTAGTTTCAAAATACCCAGTTAAATTCATTTCAGTGTTCGTTACATAAGTAAAGAAGTAGCATCAAATTTTAATTTTATGATGTGTTAGTGCTTACATCATGATGGAGATTTTGTCTTATCGGATTTAACGACTTTACCGGTGCAATGAAATCACAAGGAACAAGCCGAGTCCCTAAAACACATAATTTTGTGGAAATGTCAACAAACAACAAAATAACACCAGAATACTATGACTGATTGGAAATTCAAGCAACATTCTTTTACAGGAAACCGAAAATTTGTTTTAATTCATAAAGTGGTTCTGCATTTAAAAAACAAAACGTTCCTTGGTGTAAAAGTTGGTAAAAAGCGTGTTGGCCGTTAGTTCCAGGTTCACCCCAAACGATTGGTCCAGTGGGAAAATCGACACGGTTTCCATCACTAAAAAATTGAACAAATTATAAGGCATTTTAAATCATTGTAAACCCTGATCTTATTTAAACCTTCCAACAGTGAAAGCCAGAAGACGACATGGAACAAAACTGACCGCATCACAAACTTTCCATTACTCTCCATATCGCCCTGTTGAAAATAGGCTGCGAATCGGTGCAAGTATTGATCGTATGGAAGTAGAGCATGTGTTTCAGCTTTAAAACAATTGATGTAGAGAACACCAAGTAAAGCCATAATTATTGGTATCTGCAAGAAGACGTTTGTTTCAAATATTTTCTTGTTCAAATATTTGTTATATTCAAATATATGTTCAAATATTCAAATGTACGTTAAATAATTATTTCAAATATTTTTCCAAGAAAATGATTTTTGAAGATTTCTGATTTATGATTATCGGAAAAAGTGGCCGTTTTGAGCAAAACTCTCCCGACAAATACATCTTCATTAATTACAAGTTAAAAATTCCTTGAGTATTTTTACATTTCGGTTTATAGCAAAAAAAGGACAAACATTTCTTTCAACTGGTTCATTAAGAAAATGCTCGTCAGCAGCGCTTGCGCCTTTCAATAACTTATTGAAGTTATCGAAACCAATATGCACGGCAATAGAAAGACCAATAGCAGACCACAGCGAATAACGACCTCCAACCCAATCCCAAAATCCGAACATGTTATTTTCATCAATACCAAACTCACGAACTTTTGGAGCGTTTGTTGATAGCGCTACGAAATGTTTAGCGACTGCCGCAGGATTCTGAAAATATGATCAGGAAGATTTTTTAGGCAAAACGGCGCTCGCAATTGCTTCCTTGTAAACACAGCTATCATTTGCCACAAAGCTTTATTTGATGTATGCGACTGCCGTTGATAGTTGAACCGATCGCTTAAATTCAGTGAATACAAGTAAAAAAATTGTAAATATAAACTTAACGAAATCAAATACCTTTGCTTCGCTTAAAAACCATTCTTTCGCTGAGATAGCGTTAGTGATTGTCTCTTGTGTTGTAAATGTTTTCGATGCAATGATAAAAATTGTTGTTTCAGGCTTAATTTTCTTTAGCACCTGAAAAAAAGAAAAGACAAAATAATAATTAAAAAAGTTTTTTGTAAGATATTTTCATCGTAAGCATACCTCCGCTAGATGCGTACCATCGATGTTGGATACGAAATGAACATCTGGCCCAACCTGATAATGCTTCAGTGCTTCCGTTACCATTAATGGTCCCTGAAGTGCTTTCCTTAGAAAAACGGAATTAAAGCAAAATTTTCAAATCTTTCATACAGTGAAAACAAACCAAATCAGAACCTCCGATGCCAATATTGACAACATCGGTAATCTTTTCACCTGTATAACCTTTCCAAGTTCCACTGATCACTTGATCACAAAACACTTTCATATGTTCCAATACGCTATTCACATCGCTTGTCACCTGCAAGACTCATTCAGTAGAACATATACTCAATACTTTCCACTCACCTAGTCAATCATATCTACATGATTTAAAGATATTACTGATTGCATTGTAGAAAGACAAAGATTAAGTAACATAATTATGTATTAAAGATAAAGTGATCCCACATCATCAATGCATTAATCAGCAAGGAAAATACATTCAGTGGCTAATGTAAGGAAAACTATTAAAAAGCTATCAGTGATGAATTCGAGATGATCATGCAAGATTCACTCATCGGGAGATAGGTTATATTGAATGACCAGGCAGTTCTGGTGGTGCAATAGTGCAGCTAAGTATTAGGACAACAAACAACACTTAATATTAAGTAACATTTGACAGGAAAAGTATAAAAATTTCAAAATTCCATAAAAAATGGCTTTACATTTTGTCCATCTAATGTCAGGGGTTTATTGTTAACGTTTCTTAATGCAGTATGCAAAACGGCACGTTCTTCAGTGAAATTGATTTTCTTCCCACTGAACATATCCTGTCGCATATTCAAAACATTCCTTGAATTCGCCTAAAATAATCTTTTCAGTCCTATTTTTTTTTTAATTTCAAAATTATTTTTATTATAAATATGCTTAATCACTTATTGCTGTAATTTCAAACAATATTAATATATATCCTAGCACACCGATATACTCCAATTCGTCTTTGTTAAAAATTATTGCGATGATAGATTAATCGCCAACAGAAATACTGACTAAACTGAATAGCTTCTTCATCGTTTCTTCATTGATAATATTCTTTGAATAATCGAAAAGAATCGGTCCATCTGGCGTATCCATTGTCAAACTGCAAAATCATTCCCATAAAATCTACTTCCCAGCTCCATATTTTTAATGCTTCCAACTAACTAACCTATACTTTTGGAACCGTTGTGGATCTTGATTAAACAAATCAGCCATTTTCAGATATTTACATTCTGATTCAAAATGCTGCTGAAGCTGTACGAATGAAGGATCCTTGAGAAGTGACATCCGATTTGCGGTATGACGATTGCCTATAAACCACTTTGTATAATTTCTTTAAATTGTTTCATTTATTAAACGCAAAATGACAGATGGAGATCAAAAAATCGTCGATGTCTATCTTAGGCACAATGGTATAGCGATTAGTGTAAGGATCACTCATATCTATAAGTGTACTTCAACAATTACCGTCAAAAAGTATTTCGCATCACAAAAGCTAATGTCATAAGCTTTTATGAATTTCCTTACCTTAATAATTCCTCTTTTATAATTAACTGTTATCCACCACTAGTACCTCTTGACCTATCTATCGTCTCTATATAGCGAGGTCTATTTTCCGTTCGACATGAACGTGATCAATTTTTTAAATATTACATTCACTATTATCACTGCCAAAAATTCGCTTCCATCGTATAACTCAAACTCATTGCCAAGCTAACAAACTAGCAATATTTTTCCTGTATCATTCATCATTTCGTTTATTCCTCAATCCCTTTTTTCTAACCACAAATGAAGGATTTCACATAGTGGCCCCTGTGAGATATGTAACATAAAATAAAGCCCATATTTTAGAGCTAAACTCAAATGGTCGCAACAACTTTGATTGACAGAAGATAAAACAATCATGTCACTAATCTGACTAAGCCTAATAACCAACTCATTCTTCTAGCTACCATTCTTAAAATGCATGCAACGTGGCGAAATATCTCGACACTAAAATCGATTCATTGTGTTGCGGTGCAACGCGTAACAAAGTACAGCACTCACTGGCTGCTGCCTTCTCTCACACTAATTTACTATTGCATCATTTAATTGTGTTCGGTTGCTACTTTCAATGCTATCATTTCCTTCAATTAATACAATCTTTAAAGTTGAATAGTGCATTAATTCAAGTGTTACGTGAAGTGAAATTTGAATTCGCAAAAAATATACAGCAAGTTACTTCACATCCTAAGTTATTGCAGATTTAAATGAATACTACAAGAAAATTAGTCCTCTTTCACAAATATTACAAATGTCTGATGTACTATAAAAATGATAGCATCGATACATTAATTTCATTATCAAAGCTAAATCATGACGTACTACTTGTTCCCTTGAGTATTTGCGACACCAAAGACAACATCGTAATCATCTGTGACAACGTCGTTTTAGTGCTTGAGGTTGAAGTTATAGTTAGCTCCGTTCGTCCTAACACTCACAGCAGATAGATACAACAAGCTGATTTGACTCAATCTAATCGCTCCCACTTGCCCCAGCCGCCGCTTAGTTTTTTATTTTTATAAATGTGAGGAACATTAGATAATAGTAAGTTATGAAATTTGCATAAAACCAATATCGTTAATTCCAGCTCATTCCGTTATCAAATTTCATGCTTAAACAAATACCTAATCGAACTGAGAAGAAAACGCTTAAATGCTAACCTCAATGGAATAAAGTGCTGTAAGCTAGCTAGTCACCAAACCCTAAATTCAATAGTGAAACAAATATTCCTGAAAGGGAGTTTTATATTTGGATACTTTGTAACGTCCGAATAATCTCGTTGAACATGTATGCATCATCTTAATACTAAATTGAATTCAATTCACTCAGCAAAATTCAAGAAGAAAAACACTTGAAAATGCTGCGTATGTATCAAACTCAATTGTGTTCCTTTTTACATAAATTCGATTTATCATTGCATTTTAACATTGCACCCGACAACAACATTTAAAAAACAATGAAAAACAAAGAGCAATGAACTTCGAATTATGTTCATCACAGATCGCTAACAAATGAACAAACAATTTAGGAATCTCATATTACTAACTCACTCTATGTAAGTTTCCAACTATGATATTATTCATTTCGAGGACAGGTATATTTGAAACAATAACCACTCTTACCTAGCCCGCGTCACATACAGCTCATATAACCTATGGGATTTAAACAATGCCTCACACCTAAGACCGAACAACTTACTGCTTTCATTCTTTAAGGCAGATGCTATCCATTACAAGTTAGAAAATCTTTCTTGCTAAAGTAACAGCAAAATAGCTTATCGCAGTTGTTGCTGGAAAAGTTAAAGCTCGGTTTGCCTAGCAAACATAAAAGAGTCATCAAAATCAGTGCAATATTTACATCGTGCTGTTGTTGAACCGTATGGAAGACACGTATGTCCTATACATTCGCAACAACCCGTATGAAACCACCGGAGCATCGATGCACCAAGAATCTATAAGACAAGTTTAAATTTGTGCAGATAGAACAAAGGATCATGAAAAAAAAAACTCACCAAACATTGTCGACTGCACTGTTTATGTGACATGCACTTGTCAAGATAAACTACCGTGCAATTCGTTTCTCGGTGAGTCCTCTCCAGCATTTTCATATTTTGACCTGCATTTTTTCATGACTTTTGGCGATTGTAGAGTTCAATAGTGTCAATAAATAAGGGAGAAAAAGTAATGTCACAACACATAATTGCAACAGTGCAGGAATATACCTCTGCGATCAAACGAGTATTCGCGCAAGGCTGGAAATGTGTATGTTGTGCCAACCTTATTCACTCTAAAAAAAAATTAACCATTCAAGATTGTCAATAAAAGTTGACATGTAAGATGAAATAACAAAAATTACCGCATATAAGTTATCTTTTACACAATGCAACATGCAACAATTAAACATATAAAAATTTTGGAAGCAAATAAGGTAGTTCATTTATGGTATATAAATTTCAAAATGCATTTTGAAAAGAACATACAGTGCGACCTTGTCGAAAACAATAATATCTTCATCATCCTGATCGAATCGATCAACATAACTGTTTAAATGCAATGCCTCTTTGTTTGGATTACAGAGTCCTGCAATACGAAGTGAACAAGATTGAAGTATAATTGTGAAAATCCAAACTTTTCCACTGTTTTATTTTGGGTAATGAACATCGAATGGTCGCCATCGAATCGATCGCTTTTCTACTGATCTATTATCTATTATTTATACAAAAAGGAAACAGATGAGATGAAATGAACAGTAATGATTAAAAAATCGAATGTCATTAACTAGGCTCTTGATAACACAGTTTTGTCAATACTATGCATTGCGGAATTTATTGTATAATTCGTTGAATTCTGACTTGGAATATTTGACACAGTAAGAAATTATATGCCACTCATTCGTTGATATCAATTATATAGCATTTATTCAGTGATATCTTTTGATAAATAACAAGAAAGATGACATACCGACACAAGCGCAACATTGCATGTACTGCTTATCAAGGCACTGAATGCATTCATTGCAACAGGAGCAGTTGTTATGCAAAATACTGTCACGATTGATGGAACAGTTGCAAGCTTTCAGCAGCATACACTTACTTACTCGAGGACCACATTCTGTCTCGTTACAGTCAAATGCTGCTTGTAAAAGATTCTGCAGAAGTGTACATAACACCAGCAGCAGCACCCATCCGATAATATTTGCTACCATTTCATTCTGAATTACATTATTCTGATCAATGAAATATGTTGAGCAAATATTCAGGTTGCCCATAATCGTTCTCATACTTCATAACAAGAACAGTATTTTTTACCCCTAACCTAAATATAACTTTGCCTCATAGAGTGGAATAAAATAAAATATCTGCACTTCAATGTGATAATCTGCACACCCTGTCGGAGGCCAATGGTCGTTGACTTTACTCGACATAGAGCACCTGATTGAAGATAAAGTGCTGCTGAACACCCTGTCCGTTCCGGTAAGTTACAAGTAATATCGGCAAAACTTACTTTAACTTATCCTCATTCCCTTTAACTTAACTCTCCCTAACTTATAACTTATCCTTCTCTCTAACTTATAACTTGCTCGTTAATCTCTCTAACTCTTACTTAACTTTCCCTAACTTACTTAATTCCTTAGAAGAATCAATGGATGAATGTGAACATTGAAAGATAAAAATGGTTAGCGTATAGTAAACTGATAGGCACTGTATCTGCCAATAACAGTAACTGTGAATGGGAGTGTTCGGAACAGGAGAGTGCAAAGATGCTCGACGTATCACAAATAATATGCTGCCAGAGAAGAAAGATAGCGAATCAGACAGAAAACAAATTGTCGTGCTACTTTGATCGTTTAATTGACTTGGGTGCGTATGTGTACACGTACGTTTACTATACTTGTGAATGTGTGGTGTATAGTAAGTGTGAATTAGGGAATCGGACTGTTCGTAAGTGGGTCTAAATAGTTGGCAGCGTTAAAGGGTGAGAAATGATGAAATTCGAACAATTCCAATGCTTCTAGATCGTTGAGATTTTATACAGAAGCAATTACTTAGATTTGAAGAGCCAGTGGAGATTGATTCTCGATAGAGAAATCAAGCGGTCACTATGATACTTTATCAAACATAATCTGGCCATCATATTTTTCACACAGAAGCAATGACCATCTATCCAAGCCATCTCTTCCGGATATGAGATATGTTTACTTCGGATCATTCAGTTGTTATTTAAACATTTACATCTATTCTGTTTTTGCATGAGATAGGAAAAGTTAATTAATTGTTCGTTCTCGATGTATTGCAGTGTGGCGTAGAAAAAAAGCTTAACTACTTAATGAGTGTGAGAAGTAAAAAATTATGACTCAATTGAGAATGCATTAGGAAAACAGTGAAACAATATCACATCACAGTTTAGTCAATGTTGTAATTAGATGGTTCTAAACTTTCCATGATCTTTCGCCTGAATTAGATGAAAACTCAATATAAAGGAAGATATCAGACTTGAGAAGTTTCCGACATTATATTTTAGGAGATCGCCGCTTTTTATCAGTGTTTCCAGATTAAAATGTAACCACTCGATTATCATTTTGCCTGCTTAAATCTCTTTCTTTTTTTGTGACTTGTCTCATCTTAGGATAAGATCGGACTTGTCTTTGTTTTATTTACAAATATCCCAGTTATTATTTTAACATTTAATAGCGGAAAGCATTAAATATTAGTTTTATGCTTATAATAGAGAAATAATTTTTTTCCTAATATACACGCAGTTCGTCATATGTTTGTCTATTCGAAATGAAGCAACATTTAGCAAAAGGAGAGAAGAGGGAAGTGCAAAGAAATTGGGAAGGATGAGATCAATTTGGTTAAAAGATAACATTACTGTGGATATCAAGATGACAGCAATAAATATCGGTTTCATATTTATCCTTACCCAAATATTTTTAAAACATGATTTTTGAAGTAACCAGGATAACTTTCTATTTTCTGATTTGTTGTTAAGAAACCTGAGCATTTCCTATTGGCTTTCAAAGCGCTTTGAGAGATGTGCGTATTTAACGTAATGAGTTCGGAGTCTGTTGAGCATACTTAATCTTCATCAGAATTGGGACATTAATTTGTCGTGCTACCGAGATAATCTATCTTACAGTAGTTATAGGCGCCATCATCGAAGATAAGGATTCGCATCCCTTGTGAGGGCAAGTAGGGGATGGAAGGGTTAAATGAGATTACGATCCGACATAGAATGGAAGAGGGATGGATATCATCTAACCACTGAACAGCTGTCTTTTTTTTGTTCTAGTTTCGTACATTTAAATTTCTACTGCACTGTTTGAGCTTCTCTTTTCAACAGTCGAAAATTTACATTATTACGGAAATGCTAGCCCCATGAAACATTAGGGCTGCATTATCATTTTAAAGTTCTGTGGAGAGATAAACTGTTTGAAAAATTTGTAGTGTCGAGCAAATGTCGTTGACAGTGGGTTGACTCATCAGGTGAGTGATGTGATCGGATTGTTGCCGAGATCACTCGTATATGCGATACTGGGGATTGCATAATAGAAAAAGTAGATAAACGTGCCACTTTCCCAAAATTCTACTGGGCATGAAGACAAACACATTAACACTGAGCATCAAAGTAGCAGAAACTCATTGCTATTTTTGTCTTCACCCCATACACTTTCAGAATCCGTCGGAATTGTTTCTTTTCATGTACTTGAAATTGATTTGAAGTCGCCATTCTTTGTTTTCAAGAACCCCAAAATTTAGTTTTTTTATGATCGCCATGTCTCCCTTTTCTCTTGCTTCTTTTTCAATGATTTTTCTGCTGCTTATCTGATAACTTTCTCTTTGATTTGTTTTCTATAAAACACCTGTAGATTTGACAAAGGAGAGACTCACCTCAATACAAAACTCATTCTGATATCTGATACACTATTCCTTACCTTGAAAGAGAGGAACTCTATATAAAAAGCAAACTCAATATCAAGCTGAAATAAATCAATATACCTATCAGTGCACTTTTAATTCCTTGGTATTACTTACCAAAATCCATTTCGTTGCCATAACTGAAATTTCTAGTTAAACATCTTTTGGTTTTGTCGTTCAAAAAAGATTCGATGACAGCAGTTTAAAGTTTCATCTATCTAGATATGAACGGATTTCTCCAATTTTGGAAAGGGAAAATGCCAGCAAACACAGCAAAAGGATAATAAGATGTGGACAGATAACAGCCGAAAAAATAAGCAAGATGTGGACAGACAATTCTTTTATCAGACCATTGTCCCTAGTTCTTGGGTCATTGTTTATGAAGGAAATGTAGGTGCAGTATCGCTTCCATGGCAGTATGTTGTAATGTGTTATTCTTATAATGAATTAAATTGTTACTTTCTAAAAAATTAATCGCTTACTCCGATATGCCTGCTGTTCGGAATGTTGTTGGAAAGTAATATATGGTAGGAGAGAATGGCGCAGAAAATTCTAATTTTCTATGTGTTATATTTTTCTTCATCAGAATTTACCCTTGATATATGTAAAAGATTTCGAGCAATTAATGAAACATTTAAATGACAAAATGGTTGAAAATTATTCAGGTCTGATTAAGGGATAGCAACGGTTGATTTCCTATAAGAAAGCTATCATTTGGATGCAAAATTATTTTAAGAACACCAGAAGGTATATTGCAGAGAGGTATATTATTAATAATAATCCGTGCTATAAAGCATTTAAAATGAAATGAAGTGATATGCTAGTTTAGATAAAATAGCTTTTCAGGAAAGAAGTAATAATATATCTGTCCAATTGCCAGTTACTGCTACAGGAGCCAATGAGATAAGGCTACCACTTTCCATTTCCAAAAAAAATACAACTTGTTATTGTTACTATTACGAACTTTGTTTAAACCCCACTCACAATACTTGCGACATTCTTTTCAACACTTCTTTCATCTATATTTCGGTCTCTTTCCTTTCCATTAATTTACATTTTTTGCGATTGTAAAGGCAAAAATATTTTTCAGGGGAGCGTTGTAACGTGATATTCACGGGCTCAATGAAAATGAGATATTCATAGAATTGTCTAACTTCTTTGATTCAGTTTTTTTCCAATGAAATTGAGAGTTGGAATTTATTGAATATCAGAATAATTTGTTCTCAGTAAAGTCGGTTAGCTCACCTGAGTTACATTTTCAAATTTTAACAATCAACCAAAAAATTAGACTTGTAATCATTTTCTAAAATAAAATCAAAGTTATGCTTCTCTCTTATTAATGTTTCAGACCATTTTAACTTATTAATTTCTTGTGTTTGTTCAAATTTGAGATTACCTTTAATGTTATAGTCAAAAGCATTTCGTCAAAAGTGTTCTTTGTTTCTTCTTTTAATACACTTTCTCTCCTACCAAATATCAGTGTATCAGTCTCATCAAATGAAGCTCATAATCCATATCAGTATTCAGTTAAGATTGAGCTTGAGTGCACAGATGCTCATAGCAATTTGTCATCTTAATGGTCCCTCATCATTGTTAAATGTGATTTCATTCTCTTTGTGCAATATTATTTCATTTTTAAAAAACAAGTATGAATTTTAAAAACTGTAACAGAAAAGAGGAGGACGGGGAACGGGAACTAGGGAAAGGAGACGAGTGGATAAGCATGTCACAGCTAAATATTTCGCAGCGTTTCATTATCTTAAACGATGGATTGCTTTTGAGAGTTTACGTCCAGATAAGTTAAATGTTGTTATGCGCGCAGTTGTAGTCATATGTCTTGTAATTTCATGATAATTTTTGTCTACAGTGCCAACTGACTGGGATGAAACCATATGAAACTGGTTCTGAGAAACATATGCAACAAAAAATTCAATTATTCATTATTGTTTTGGTGGACAACATCATTTAGTGACATTATCGTTGTTTGTACGATAAAGTCATACATGGGAGGTGATGAGGCAACTTGTTATGGATACTATTGGAGAAAGAAGAGAGAGTTTGTTCCTTTCAAGGTCTTCAGGAAATGATTCGCAATGAAAATTCAAATTTTCAAGAAAAAGAAATCTATCATTTGTAGTTCCAAATTTAGGAATTCAGTAGGTCCATCTCTCATATCTTTAAAGAGTCCCGAATTAGGTAGTTTGAGTGCCCGTTCGTAGATTAATGGTAATGGGTACGAAGAGTGAGTATGGAGATGGTGGTTCATCGGGTGAATATTCTTCACAGAATAACTGTTGTATTTGGTCTACCACATGTGCCTCCATTGGTCAGACAATTAGCTGCTTCTAATTATTAATTGGCCGAAGCTCTCCCAATCTTTATGCAACAACTTATTCCCCACTATTGTTTTTGCTTAGAAGATTATCGAAATTTTATAAGAAAGTAAGATAAGAGTAAGAAGTAAGAAACTTTTATATGTAAGAAACTTAGAAACTTTATAAGAGTAAGAAACGGATTTTATCAGTACCAATTCCCTTAAACATGATATATATATATATATATATCCATGAATATAGGGATAGTAGGATTTGCAGAACCGTTAGTATTCAGAGCACTCTGACTTGTCTTGAGAGGAATTTTTAGATAATTTAAACATGTGGCCGATCCCAGGGAAGTGGTTTATCGCTGTAAGAATAATAGCTTGACCATAGCTGAGAGAAATATTATCAGCAAGGAACAACTACACAGGATAGTGATATGGTAGTACTTAGGTGATAGGTTGCCCGTTATTGGTGAGACTAAAAATTCGATTTTGACGTTGCAAATTTAGACTTGCAAAGCAGTAAGAATGGAGTGATGTACTGTGGACCAACATTAATCACTCTGACGGATTACGTATTTATATTGTTTCATCAATTTCCTTTTCGATTTTTTTCTTTTAATATAATGCCAGCAAACCAATCACTATATATGGTAGCTTAATTGTGATGATATTTTTGAATTTTAAAATGAAAGGGGGAGATATAGGTTGATGTGAGCAATAGGAGGTATAAGAGGGTCCGCAAAAGGTCCAAAGGAAAGGAGATAGATGGAGAAGAATCGGCAAGGGGTATCCATTTGTGGTCTATTGAGGTTCCCGCCAAACAAACCTCTCCCCTTCCTCTAGCCTTCACTATTATATGTGTACCGGAGGAGGGTGACAGGTCGGAGCTTTTGGAGGGCCCTATAAACGACCCCTCCACCTCACATTTTGAATGGACACCACAGCTGTTTCCCTTCCCGCCCGCCTTTCTCCCTCCATCCTGTTGACATTTCATCCCCCTCTGGTAACTTCATCTTTTCATTCATTCATTCTTGCCGCAGACTTAACTTCCAGCGTGCCATCTCTCTATTCATTGGGACCACACCTCTAAGGTCTTTACTTAAACAAAGCATACAACCTAGAGGTCACTAGTGAGTCAACAGCGTCTATATCTTAGCACATCTGTCTCTGACAAAGATATCAAACTGGAGAGATCAAGGATGGGATAAAGCCTCTATTTTCAGTCTAAGTGAATAACAAACAATCCCGAAGTACCAGGCAAGCAGTCAGAAAGCATCAAGAAGTAACTTCTAGGAAATTATCTCATGGAAATCTCCTAGAAGTTATTTTTCGGGAAATTGTAACAAAAAGAACATTTGAATATCGCCAATAGCATGAAAGTTAGATTAGTGGAGAAGTGAAAGGGTGGCAACAATAGATGTGTACCTTCTGACATATATTTTGAATCAAGCTTTCTCTATATATTATCATATGCTAAATTGTGTTTTTTAATTACATTCATCATTCTTGCGATACTCATTGAGTACCGCAGTGCTTCATTCTAGGCAGATGCTCTACCCAAGCTATAAATTGTCCAGTAGCAAATTTTAACATCTCAGAAGTGTTAAATTAAATTCTCTTCTCTCAACTCGTAGCTGCCCTAATGTCGCATACTGAGGGGACGACATACCTGAAGCCTGAAGGAGAATATGTGATAGTAGTGAAAATGAATGCAATGTGTTCTCTTTTCCAGAAGATGAAATAGAGATAGGCCAGAGAGTATGGAGCTGAGGAGAAATCCTAATGCCAGTCATCCCATGCGTACAACTCCTCCAAACACACGTAAAAGTTTCAGGACTGACGTCTTTCTTACTTAGACGTCAAAGCTTACCTATATGCATGTATGTATCCGTATGTCCGTTTTCTCGGGGTGTGCGTTCCTTTCTCTCGATGTATAAAGAACTGTATAAAGAACAAAGCACGTCCCTTCCTCCTCCTCTTTCCTGACCATTTATTCAGCTGGTTATAGCATAGCTCACTTGTTTGTCTCTAGTTTTCTTTTTTTTTCACTACGGACTCTCTGTGATGCATTTTGCCATCTGTGCTTTCACTTGAACACAACAATGAAGCGGTACTTTTTTTCTTCTCTTGCAATATTTGAAGTAAGAGAGCGAAAGACGAGCTGGTCTAAGGGAGGTTTTTCTATGTGTGTCTGCTTTGTTGCTAGTATTGGTTGTGACTCTGGAGAACTGATCCGATCCGTACTTAACTGAACGGAATGGACTGGACTGACCGAATGAAGACAGTTTTATGGAGAGGAAGGCATGAATTGTGGGGCAGTGTTTATTGTAAGGCAGTTATAATGTTGCAGGCATCTTTCAGGAGAAAGAAGCAACAGTGTAGGCCACACAGACATCATTTTGGGAACTATCCTGGCTTGACCACGGTTACCACCATCATCATAGTATTACGGATCGAATGAGCCAAGAGGGTCGGTTGGCTGCCGGCCCTGGTTATCCTTCTAATTCCCTCTCGTTATTGTTATTCGTTTCTTGCTGTTATCGCCATTTGGTTCTTACTGCTATCATTAATACTGTTGCTCATATACCCATCGGTGTTATTGTTGGTCGCATATTGTCCGACAATCTTTCCAGTAGACATCCCACAGGGAGTCACCGCTATGAGTAGCGCTGCTGACGATGGCGCCGATGAAGTGAAGGTATTCCGCAGGTTTGTAAAATTTCACTCCAAAACTACGTTGGCCATGACTAGATATTACAAGAAACTGTATTGTTCATTTCTTGTAACTTTTCTTCTATGTCTTCCTTCTTTACAGTGTTCTGTGCTTCCGAAAACCATAAGATTTTAAACAGGGAAGATCCGACAGGTGAGTGAAGGGAGGGAGAGCGAAGCGAGGAAGAGTATGTTCATGAGAAGAGCCGTTTTTGTCGGTCTCCGATATTGCTTCTTTATTTACTTTTCCTTCTCCTCTATGTTTGCTTTTTCACTTTCTGAAAGTGTAAAGGTATGCATGAAAACCAGCTTCAACATTTTTGTGGAACCTGTTTTATCGGGCCTGTTCAGAAATATTCCTTGGGAAGGTTGCGTATAAATGGTCAAGCTAGGTTTAACTACTCGTGAACTAGAATGATACTTTAATGCATCATTCTCGTGTATCACAGTTCTACTGTCATTTTCTATATCGCTCTCGGCGAATGTATCAGTTATGTCTTTTTCATGTTCATATGAAATACGTCGAAGATGACTGTTAAAACCATATTTTTGTTTGAAGTTCATTTAGGATCTATGACCATCGTTACTGCTTTTTTTACTAAAGTACACACATCCGAGAAAATTTCTACAAGAGCTTTTCATTATTACCAAAAAATTTTTATGAGCAATATCTTTATAATTGCAAAGGTTTATCAATGCTTTCACACTTCTGACACATCATTTATGGCTATTAGACTAAAGCAAGCTGCAGTGTGTTTCTTCTTTTTATGATGTGTAAATCGCACTTTTTATACCCAGTGAAAGTATGCTGTTTGAGCGTTTCACAAAATTTTCATGCAGCAGAAACAAATGAGGAAACGTGCATCTTTTATTCCATAGTTTTTCTAGTCAAGATTGTTTGTAAGACTTTTTTGAAGAATAATCAGTGCAACTTAAAGGCAATGTGACACGCTTCTAGCTTTTTTTGTTTATTTTGTTTATTAAGAAACAAACCCTGTTGAAAACTCTATACCAAATTCTAGAATAATATTCTTCGCCACATCGTATATTCTTCATTATTTATTAGTTTATCCCGAGATTTGGCATCAGATCTTTACATAGTTACATGATATTAAACAACAAGTGAAATTGATTAGCTCTTATACATCTGCAAAATTAGAAGCCAAGGGTACAATATGATAATAATGTGCTATCACACAAGGTAAAAAACTGTTAGATATGCTTAGTGTTATTTTTAGGAGCTACTCAAAATCAAAGTAAGGTTTTTTGCCAAAAGCAAAAACTAATTGAGAATTGCTATAAATGTGTTTTGTAGGAATGATGCGGATGACGTGGAAACGGCGCAGTCGTCGCATCAGTTAACAGAGGACAAAAAAGATGTGGCCCTGGAGACAGAACTAGAAACAAGGACGCCATCATCCTCTATTATCGGTTTGACTTTTCTTAAAGCAGTAATTATTCATTTTACCACCAGCAAGCAACCACCATCATTAATCAACGGAATATCTAGAAACTTCATCTGGTTTACGAAGAATCAAGCCTACATTTATAAGTACAGTTAAATCACATAATATCACTTCAAGTCTGAATAGGAAACGTCTTGAGCGTTTTTTTTGGTATTATAGCTAAAAATTAATGTATGCTATTCCTGAATGTTATATAATTTAAAATCGATCTATTTTTTCTCCAGTTGTGGAATAGGTGCCTGTTCGGTTTGTTGACCAAACACAAGTAACAGACTCCTGCGTATTTCGTTTTTCCTTTTATTGCTTATATAATTTGATTCAATTTATTATGGTAAATTCTTAGATAGTTTCGGGTTGAGATTGCTTTAAATCAGGAACTTTATTTTAAATAACGAATGATATGGCTTGAAATTAAAGGAGTTAAATGGAAGGTATAATGAAGATTATCTGGTACGTTGTCTCTAGAATAAATGTTTACGTTCTATCCACTTTTGCCTGTTTCATTGAACTCTGTATCAGATAATTGCAATCTGACGGAAATGTTGATTTTCCAGCACAATTTGTTTATTCATGTTTTTGCTTCTTATTGATACTTTGCTCCCATGTGATGTTACATGATCAATCAGTGCGTTCGCAGTTACTATCTCTAGCCATCGCACATTGCATTCATCCCAAGAAGTTGCTTCATAGTTTGGAGAAGAGGCAATTTTTGTAATAACTGTGCGTAATGTTTGCACCATATCTCATCTCTCTTTTCGTGCTCCATATCCATTTGGTTCTTATATGTTCAGGAGTTGTTAGCATCACAGCTGCTAGTCTTTTCATTCTATTTTATCTATCGTTTCCCTTTCGTGCATATATTAACAACCGTACGTTTTGAGCTGTATTATGTAAGCGGTTCGCTGCTTCGTTTTTAAGTGAATAGGTAGACATCATATGGAAAGTGGTAATTGTGGGATAGTAATATGATGATAGTGGAAAGGGAAGAGTGATAACGAGTAACAATGATGATACTACTATGGTAGTAGAGAGATCATAATATTAAAAAATAGAGAAGCAAGAAAAATTTACCTAAAATGGTAATAAAGAATAGAATAAGATATAAAAGTCGGCGTAAGGTTTGAAACAAAATTTTTATGAAGGCGATAAATTAGAACTCATAATTCAACGAATTTAACACGGTTGTTATATCCTGTTTAGTAGACTGTAGTTCGTCTCCATGAAAAATCAGTAGCTTTTTTGAGCATGCACATTTTCTTTTCTACAATCATTTGTTTTGACTATATAACGTTATTAAAACTCATTTTTATTTAGCCCAATTCTCATAGTAGTATTATAAAAGATTATTTAAAAAATGGAAGATTAGAGAGAGAGCCACGGAGGGAAATGAGATGGGAAAGAGTTGAGAAAATAAATTGAAGATAGTGCTTGTAATCTGTACATCTTGATCCATTGATGAAGGATTTTTCGTTTTTATTTTTCTAACTTTAATCGCAAATAGACCGCATTTCTTTTTAGAAAATGGGATATTGATGTTTCCTTTTGCTTCTTGCATACTTTCCACATATGGCTTTTGCACACTGAAAAACCTCGTTGTGGTAATTTATCTTGTAGTACGTGTGAGGTGTATGAGTCGAAATATGAAATAAGCCATAATATACAAAAAATATTATCAATTTTTCTTGAAATGTTAAGGATTTGCATGACACATTATTTCTTATTTAGCGACATTATCATCAACCTTCCTTCGCGTTTCACCATCCCTCATTTTTAAATAAAGAACGGATTGTGAGCTATAAAAGAAAAAAAAAACAGATCATGAGAAGCAGATTTTCCGTATGTTACTTCATTTAATTTCTCTATGATGGTCGCATTTTATCATCTCTTGCGTATTCTTCCTGAAGAATTTCTGTTAACTCGTTTTGATAACAGTACTCTTTCTGACTGTTTTGATTATCAATTTTTCTTAAGAACTTTCATCATGAGACCGGAAATGAACTGTGTATCTTGAACGTCATACTACTTTTAAGTTTTACACATCCTTACAATCCGGATTGTTGATAACCTCAGAAACAAATTAAAAAATGGTTTATTGTTTGGCATCCTGTGCTTGCTTTATTAGATCACACGAAGTTTATATTCCTTTCAGGTTCGAAGCCTGGTGCTTTCGTGAAGCCATCGCCGACTTTTCCAGCTTTTTCAGCTGCCACTCTTTCTCCAACTTATGGGCCACTGCCACTGTTTTATCCGTTCTTCCTACCGGTGAGGTTTACTCTGTCATTCTACTTTGATATTTTTAATAGAATTTGATTTTCACTCGATGGAATGAAACTTTTCTAAAGAATAAACCGATATACTGAGATTTACTTATGTAGAAATCTGAATTGATGTTCTATTAAGGCGTAAAGGAGGGAAAGAAAATGAAACCAAACTGGAGTGCGTTTAATCTTAGATGGGTGTTGAGGGATGCTTTGTTGTGTTTAAGAAAGTATAAATTATTTCGAATATCTCAACTAACTAGAAATAAGCAAGGGAAGGAGATAAACTAAAAGACTGAAGAACTGGCAATTAATAATCTGAATGTGCTTAAACTCAAAAACGTTTTCCAAAAAATGTGTGGAAAGAATGAAATGTGCGGTGTGGTCCCCGCTTTGAAAATGAGCTAAAAAGGACTCCTTGGATGATTGATGCACGTCGATTATGTATAGTCTCGGGCTTTTGGAAGGCTGAGTTATGAGTTAAGATTTACTCCGAAACAGCAGAATGATTGATTCTACGGCAGCAAGGACTGAAAGCATATGAGAGAGAGCCTGAAAACGAAGAATGCCTAAATCTGGCTTTGCTCCACTCTGTTTCTCTTGATTAAATGCACCAATTTTCGAAATTTACTACCGCTTTGACTAACCTCTGGTGGATTTATATCATTCTTGATTGATGCACTGGAATATAAGCTTCGTTATATCGGAATATCAGAACGGATCAGAGTCTCTGTCCTTTTCTCCTGCTTCCCTGGTTTTGCTTTCTCCCATATGTTAGGCTGATTCAAGTTCGTCCTTATTAGTCATCATGCTGTTATGTCAAAAAATCTAGGTATCTCTAAGTAATTTCAAATAAAGGGGTGAGAAATTAGCTCAGGCTGTGGTTATCTCAAATGATCTACAAACTAACTTCAAAGGATTTTTCGAGAAAAGTATGCGATCGCGAAGCAAGGAGCTGTTATGATATCGATAATTTCCATAAGTTCTCTTATCATCAAGCATGGCAGCTATGAGCTATGATGATGTAATGTTATAAAATGTTTTCTGGACGGGCCTTTGAATTGAGCAAAACAAAATTGATGGATTGAAACAAAGATAGCCTTTATTTTCTCAAGGCAAAAAGAATGTTTCAGAACAAGCATCTGTTTCTGTATAATCTTATTTGGACAGGGTGAAGAGTGGTACACAAGATAAAATCAATCCTTTAATTGAAAGTGGAAATCCTCCAAATGAGAAAAGAAGTTATAAAACTGTAGTAATGCATGAAATAGAGATTTTCTTTCATCATCGTTTCATTTTCAAATTTTATACGCTGGACAGGAAACATAGAGGTACATTAGAGAAAAATTTCGAAAAATTGAAAACAAAGTAGGAATGAAAAAGCAGTATCAAAGAATTGAATCATCCAAGATAGGTGCTTTCCGAAGAATCAAAATGGAATAGAAACGGCGTGGGGAAGGAAGGGAAAGCATTCGGAAAAAACAAACAAACAATAAGACCTTAAAGCTGAAGCATTTAATGCGTAAATGAACGGTAACTCTAACTGAATTACTTTAAATGTATATTCAATCAATTTTAGTGTTTGATTCTCATATATATATTTAGTCATCCTGTGTCTGATAGGTCTTGCATTTCCATAAAAATATACTTTCGTATATCTTAACTATACAATAAACTTGTTTACACAGTCGGATTGCTATTTAATTATTTACTTAAAAAAATATAGATTATGTCTGTTCCAGCACCTTTTATTTCTGTCTAAAATTTCACTCGTCGGTACATAACATCGAGTCAGAAGTTTTAGTGCCATTGGAAATTTATTGACAGTACTATTCGAACTGAGGATAAGAGATGACTACTGAATGGAATTGGATTTAGTGGAAATGGTAAATCAAACGTAAATAAATATTTGAATTTAAGTATTGATAAGGAAAGAACTTCCGCATTTTTTTTCAAAAAAAGTGTAAAGAATTCAAAATTACAAAAGAGTGAATTATGTTAAAATATGCAATTAGCTGTAGTTGGACAATTACGAGCAAATGTATTGATATCATGCGTCAGGGATTGCTCATGGATATTCATAGGAATCTTCGCTTATTTGGATACATTTTTCAAGAATTATGAAGCATAATTGATATCCCCATCTTAGACCAAGAGCTACGACATTGACTACATCGCAAGTGATTGCTGTAGTAGTTGTACGCTTCCGGTGTGAAAAGGATGAGAATACGAAAATGTAGTAGCTTTTTCATGTGATTATTGAAAAGGGATCGATGAACATGTGACGCTAATAATCAGTAGACTTAGATCATTTTAATCATTCTCGAGTCTTCCAATTACAACTAATAAGTTAGTGGAGAGGGTTAAATTCCAGAGCGAAGTGATTGATTGTAATAATGGTGGCGTCATGTTATTCAATATATTACCATCTTCGCATATCGGAAAAGATTTGGAACTTGATTTAAGTCTTACTATCTTGAAATTGAGAATTAGTGATGAGGGAAGAATGGGCGTTATTGAAAATGGTGTGGATCTTCGTATGTTTGACTTCTCTCGATAACTGATAGTAAATTATCTGATACACCGTATAATTTTAAGCAATACTAGGGAATGAACTACATGTTGCACTTTTGAATCATTTCTAATTTAATCACCATAAAAATAATCGCTATTGGATTGAGAAAGGTTTGTGAACTTCAGAATCAGGCTCCGTATGGTTTGCCGTTCGGAAGAATGCCGAGCGGACCGATGGATGCTCGTTCAATGTCACCGACCTATGCGGCATTCGTCATGCAGCAGGCAGCTCAGACTATGTCACCGACCTTTGAAATGTATAGGAATTTCCCTTTTGGACCTGCTTCTCCAAGTTCCCTATTCCAGGTTTGTGTATTTTTTTTAGATAGCTAACATTTTTTAATGATTTACAATCCTTTTGCGATTAATGAACTGGAGACGTTACGTAGTTAAGCAGACTTATTGCTGAGGTTCTTAGTGGTTGGAGAGAGGTATTTTGGAAGAGGTGCGAGGTGCAGAGCATATTGCCATATTGGCATGCGTCTATTGAAGGGTAGTGGAGTGGGTGCGGCTACCCCCAAGGGTAACCCGTTGGCGGCAGCTACAATGATGCGCAATATGCAGAATGCGGCTGCAGCGGCCGCAACATCTCCGCATCCACTGAATTCAATAAACCAAATGCGATTACCTCAGATGGGTTCACCGATCACCTCCATGGCCAGTAACTTAGCGCAGCAACCGAGCAGTAATTCACGTGGCAACAGTAACAGTACCAAGACTGTGAAGAACGAAAGCAAGCCGCCTAAAGTTAAGGTAGGTGTTATTTCAGCTTACTTGTTTCCAGCCTGTTTATAATTGTTTCTTTCATTTGCTCTTACGATGGAACTGGCTTCGCGCTGATTTGAAGCTCGTCATTCGTAGGGCATCAAACGAGCCAATTAACGCTTGTTTATTTTTTTCATATCAGCGAGTTTTGGATGAGTGCTTCTTGTGGCGCTTATGAAGACTCATATACAAGATTTTAATTTATATATTTAACAATTTACGAATTCTGATTTTTATAGGAACAGCATATCAAAAAACCATTGAATGCATTTATGTGGTTCATGAAGGAAAATAGGCCTAAATTGATGGAAGAACTAGACTATAAAGAAAGACAAAGTGCTGAATTGAACAAGGTTATTCATATAGCTCAGGATAAATTTATTTGATCTAGAACTGAAGTACATAGAGTATTAAATTTCATTTACAATTTTTTTAATCGGATTTATGATTTTTATTGAGACGAAGCATTATGTTCAGAAATATTACAGGAACTTGGTAGGAGATGGCACGATTTACCAAAAGAAGAACAACAAAGGTATTATGAGCTTGCTAAGACAGATCGCGAACAGCATATGCAGAAGTATCCTGGGTGGTCGGCTCGTGAAAATTATGCCATCAATAAGAAGAAAAAGCGGAAACGTGACAAATCTGTTGGTAGGTGAACTGCATCAAATACATCTTACGGATGCCCACTCATCATCCTACAGGTGTTTAGAATCCAATTTATCCATCTTTTAATGGCCAGAATTTGCAGATAATGGCGAACAAAAGAAATGCCGGGCTCGATTTGGTGTTGTAAATCAGGATCAATGGTGCAAGCACTGTAAGAGGAAAAAGAGATGCCTTTGGTATCGAGAGGTAAACTGAGCTTTAACTTTCATTCAGTGGACTTTAGGTTATTTAGGTACGGAAATGGTCTCTTCCAAGCAAAGGATAAAGGAGACCGTTTGGCAATATTAGATATCGATCAGTTCCTATTTGTCTTTGTACATATTTAGGCGTCTTCACCAGTTGGTGTGGTTTCCTCGACAACGCCAGGAACCCCTGGTACTCCGTCTTCATTGTCTGGACCAGCTGCGGGTGGTGCATTGAGCGGTCGTGATACTGATTCAGAGAATGATATGGACGCTGCTGCTGCTGCCGCCGCCGCTGCTGAAAGATCTCGGTCAATGTTAAACCAGGTACCGAACGAGCAGCAGACCACTCCTCTTATTTGCCAGTAGTTCCTTTTTGTATATTTACCACTCCAGGCTGTTATTGGCATCTATTCTTTGTTCATTCGGGATCCGAAAAATTTCTTTGCAATGTCATCCGCACTCCTATTGAATAGTTATTCGCTCTTTGTAGCACTATACCTTCACATCGCAAAAGCATCGCGAAACGAAATAGGTCAGATTGTCATGAAGATCGACTTATAATCGTTTTCTAATCCATAATGAACGACGCGAAGGAATATAAGTGAAAGAACAGGATGAAATAGCCGATGTTAGCGTTGGAGCAATCAGAAACATTTGAGAATTGAAAAGAATATTGTTGCTTATTGTTAGCCTTAGTTTATATGCTTGTGCTCGTTCTAATAATCGTCGTTGGTACACGGTCTTCAAAGTTTGCCTTAAATTCTTTATTGATGCAATCATCATTCAGTGCGCCAATTGCTCTTTATTTGCAGATAATAACGTATTGTATAGTTAGCGCCGCCTTTTGTCGTGAGGCTTTAGGATGCCTATTTGATTTTTGGAGAATATTCTAATTGGATTATGTGAGAACATCTATTCCTATTCTGAGGGAAGAATACATTTCACATCGGCCTGATGACTGCAAATGCCTGATTCCGTAGTTACCCCAATAATTATATAAAATGAAACATTTTGAGGATAGGATATCTACATTTATTTTCATGATATCCAGATACAAGGAGCAGCAACAAAATGAAGCTATAATGATATTTCACGACGAAAATGGCAGTAGCTTCCTTCTTCGCTATAAAAACAGGGTCCCTTTTGCATATGAATACATCTTTCATTGTTCTTGTTATCGTTATTATTATCATCATTATTACTATTATGATCGTTATGGTTATATTTACAATTAAGATTTTGATTTCTATTCTTATTGTTATCTCATTTATGTATAATCCTCGTCTTTTCGTTCCCGTCTTGCATTTCAGATTGTGGTCGGTCAAAGTCCCACCCTTGGTGACTGACATGGCTGACAACTTCATGCATTATTACATTGTAGAGAATTTAAGAGCAAATTCGATTGCATTTACCTTTGAAAAAAGTCGACTTTTGTTGTCTGGTAATCAAAGTTGAGCTTTGACAGGTCAAGTTGCAGTTCTCACTGAAATAATGCGGGAAGCTTCGATTTGCGCTGTATTCCCATTGACGTTTTTGTTATGGCAATTTCTGGTATTTTGCGCATTTATCACTATGTAGACAATACATCGGAACAACTTTTCTTCGGCTGACTTTAAGATTTGACCGGCATCTGTTTGGATCGTTATTAAACTTCATTAGTCACAGGATTAAGTGTGTACACAATCGATAGGGGAAGGAAACTGCAATTTGAAACTTTCTGTCAGCTGTTTTTAGGACACTATTTTCTCAAATGCAAATGATATTTCTTTTTTAGACAATAAATATGTGTCATTCTGGAGCTTGGTCGCACGAAGCTTAGGAATAAAAGATGAAAAGCATTTCGCAGATGGAGGAAGGGCTAAGGTCCCTGCCACTAAGATATATATATGTAAACGGCACATGCCAAGACGAAAGTCCATCGCTTGGAAAATACGGTTTTAAAACAAGACCCGACGATCAACCCGTTGAAGTGTTGATAAACAAGTTAGGTTAGTCAGGGTCTCATAAGGACAGTGCGCTCCCAATTAGAACTGTTTGGGGCTAATTCCTCGCTTTCCTGTTCAATTCCTTTCCTTTGATTTTCTCGGTAAAGTCATGGACTTCAGCTCCATAAAAGAATAATTTTGATCGGGGAATGAATTCTCATACATATTTGGCTTTTCATAATGTAGCACTCTGAAAAATATGAAAGAAAATGAACTAGCGCTGTAGCCGTACATACAAAGATGTATATCACGTTATGTAATGCTGCAGGGGTCACATTGTTTTTCATGCTGATCAAGCATGGAAAATTGCTAGGAGAACAAGATGATACTTGTGAACTCTGACCCTCTTTATTTCTCGTCAATAAATTATTAAATAACTACATAACAGTGACTAAAGTAATAAATAATAAAGATCGAATCGTAGTGCAAAGACATTTCCCAAATCCTATTCAGTACATTAAGTTAAAGCTACACCTTTTCAAAAATATCACACCCGTTTTAATGGACCAAGCCAAACATATTTCTCGGAAATATCTGGTATGATATTCTTCGTGGTAAATTAGTTTTAAATCTTTTCTGTCACGAAAATACTTCATCCTCAGTTTCTCACAGCTTAGTTTGAGTTTTTCAAGAACGTCTCACAATATGCTCCTAGACCACACCAATCACCTCCATATAACATAAAGATAAACCAAAGACTTTCCTTTTCCTTTAGCCGCTAAAATTTTGCTCGCAAACAGTAAAGAATTTGAAACAAAAAGGAAAAATATAAGTAAAACAAGGAGCGAAAATTATAGAAAAAAGATGGCCCGAGATTGCAAAAACATGATTATACAACAAAACGAAAAAAATTTGAATATGTATGACGACACTAAGCTGATACGAAAAGAAAATTATCAATCACATTGAGAGTTTTGACCGCGTATGAAATTTTTATACAAAGACAGAGATAGCTAACTATTCAGACAATTATCACCATACAACATAAATAATTATACCTTCGCTAAAAGTAACTATCAATTTCATGCACACATAAACAAACAATAATACATTAAACAACAGACACACAATAAGGGTAACTTAAATCAGAGAGATGGAAAATGTTCCTACTTCACAGCTCTATTTCCTCAGCTAGATACAAGTATGTAAATAAAGTTCCCAAATTTTCATTCCAATCGAAATAACTCGAAAATTAATCTCCTCAGCTGCAGATTTTAGATTGTGGTAGGTCACTATGGGCACAGGTTACAAAAATAACGTGCAACTATTTGCAAAGTAACTATTTCTGTCAATAAGTAATATAGATTTAAGTACCTCATCACTGGTGTTGATATCCCTCCAACAATACTAATATTTCAGTAAAGGCGAACAACTCGCTTGTAGCCATATAGCACAAAATAACAAAAATGGAAAAGCTGAAGAAGCATAATTCCAGTTTGTTGTTCATTCAGATATCATATATCAGCTCCAACTCCTTACCATTGGTCATCTAAACTTCTTATCAAAGATTGAAGATCATGTATGCTATCCTCTACGAAAATGCTAAAGTAATGAATAACATATACATCCCCATATAGATCCTAAAAAAGTTAATGTCCTTATTTCGCGAATTATTTTTATAGATGAAAAGCGTTAAGAACTCTTATGGGCTGGTCGGAAATGTGGAAATGCGCCCTAAGGAGATGAGCAATATTGCAACACATAATAGTTATCATGTTCGTCCCAGAAACAACAAATTCCCATTTTTACCCTAAAAAAAGCGATTTCCCAGAAAGACTGGACAGAAAGATGCATTAAAAACGATGAATGGAACGATTCTCTTTCCTCTCTGGAAAAAGACCATTGCTAGTACAAAAAGTGTACAGCACGGGAATGATTCAAGATGCTTGTAGCAATCTGAAAATTCATTCATTCATTAAAAACAATAAGTTCAGAAAAAACATTTTACATGAAGCAAACTCTAGAGAAAGAGGCATATAAATGAAAAGAGTTCTGTCATACTTTCCGTCTGTCTCTTGGTGAGGAACATAATACTAAGTCCAGTACAGAAGAAATTGCCATACTTCAATGAAATTGTGCTTCTGTCCTCGTTTGCTGTACGACTTTAAATCAGGATATGATGAGAAACTTTCGGAAATTAATCTCACAATCCCATTAATATGTCGAAATATATATATATATATATAAAATCTGACCTACCCATTATTTTGCTTCAGCGTCTGTGCATAACTTTTCCTTTCTTTCGTTTCTTTCTTTTCTTCTCTTTTACCGGCGGCTACTGAACTGAATGTTGGTTTACTCCGCGATTTTGATTCTTTTACCTCCACCACTGGAGATATTTCTTCAGAAAGGCAAGGAAACGCACCCTGAAACATATATCTGTCATTTATTTCCCCTCCCCACTTTGTGAAAGAACAACTGAAGTTTAATCAATGGTATCAGTAGATCCTTATGGGCTTTATAAGCGCAGCATAGCATATAAAATAACCTCTTCGAAGCTGTATTCCGTATCAACTGTTTTACGAGAACTGCTTCTTTCCAGTTTGGAATCATCATCACTGGCTATTTTTGAACAACACTGTTGCTCTTCACTTTTCTTGCCTTCTTTTGACGGCAGACAAATTACCGGAGGGCATAATACACTTTTATTATTCCCAGGCGGAATTCCAGGTGACGGAATATCCCTTTGCTTACGACGTTGTCGTGTCTGCATACTCCTAAAAATAATCAGCTAAAAATAAAGAGATGAACAAGGCTGTCAAGAGATGCAACCCACAATTTTTTATGATTAGGAACCTCATCCCATCAGAAATTCATTGAACTCCCAACAATTCTTCGTGATTATCACTTAACATGCAAAGCGTTACCGGCCGCTTGATTGATCATGGTCATAGCGTTGCTGTATGTTATCGTTTTGATTAATCTTCTGCGATTCAACTGGTGTTCTACTCCGCACTGGGCCTGTAATAGTTTTTTTCAACTGGTATCTTATTGTCGTAACAGTTTTGTAACAAAATCTTCGCATAAATGAATAAAATAAATATTCAATGAAAAACCGACCAGAATAAAAATTATTAAGACGATTCTGTCGGCCACGAGGACGAACAAAGGTTAGAGGATCGTTATTTCTATCTCGATAACCATCACGATGAGTATCATTATGATTTTTGTTTCGTCGACCTCCTCCGTGTTGGTAATTATTACTTGTACTAAAATCACGATGATCGCTAGTGGACACTCGCTGATTATATACGAAACCAGCTCGCGCTCTAGAACTGGAACCTAGAATGTGGTTGAATATAGTGGCATAATATAACTTTTCTCCTATCAGAATAATTGAGCGATCGACAGACACGAGTAATGAAGACGAAACAAACCTCGATAACTGTTTACTCCAGCAGTGCCAACACCTCGCAACCGATGGTGGTTGGCACTTCGATTAATTACACCGACAGTAGAGGTGACATGAACAACCGTTGTACCAGGCTTGAAAGTTGCACATGGTACGTACCCGTAACTGGCCAGAATTTGGCCCAAATCGAAACTCTCTGTAATAATAAATACCAATCTTATTCCCGTCTCAGCAGAAGCGAAGTTTAGAAAGGTAAAAAGAACATAGACAAATACCGGATGAACATGGTGAAGGAGTAGGCACGACTGGAACAGACACAGTGGGGTCGCCCGAAATTTCCGATGGTACAGCAGATGGAGATCGATCCGGAATCAAGTTCAATGGTTCTGAATATGGTGCGCCACCTGTTTTTATTCGTGCCTAAAACTAGTGATGCATAAAGAATAAGCTATAGCATACAAGACTTCTAATCAGATAACAAGTGCTTATGAACTACTTTTAGTAATGATGGAATTACAACTTGGATCAACAAAGAAATGCTTAGTTCGTTTAACTTATAAATATACATTATATAGTTACATATAAATCGGTTGAGTCATGATTTTTGCTGGATGAAATACACCACAATCATGATTCCTCCGACTGTGTAAAGAACTCATTTGGATGAAGATTACTTGGCAGTGAAGCCAAAAATTACGACTCAACCGATTAAAAAGCCTGTTGTCTCCTGATGGACTTATTCTATTGCTAAAGGATTATTTTAAATTTTGAAACTCTCTAATTTATAAAGCAAAATTCTACGTTTAAAAACACAGCTTTCACCATTCCAGTATTACTTATACTCAAAACTGCAATATTCTACCAATGCAGAGAATATTCTAGAGAGTATAAATTTTTACAATACAAATCTGCTATCAAACAATAGCTTGTGATATACTTACACAAATTGGTTTATTGTTGAAAGTTTTGCCAAGATTCTGCAAGTGCAAGAATGCACGTTCCGTAGCTTCTTCCGACTCGAATGTCACATACCAGCTATTATTAAGGCCGTATTGTAGGCTCAGATATGGTGGCCCACCAGTGAACATTGATGCTACCTCCTGAATTCTCACAGCAATCAGTTTCAGTGCACTAATAAAATCCTTTTATTCTCTATAAATTTTTGAGAAAAATCACCAGAATTATTCTTTTTGAGATTTATATGGTTAAAGCACTAGATGAAGAACTGAATGCACATGCTAATCTTCCATGGCATAAAACAACAAATACAGCACAAATTTTGTGTAACGCTTATAAATAATATAAAGTGAAAAATATAAAATTAAAAAAAAAAAGGCAAGTATAGTAAAGCGTTGATATGAGTCAGTAATGCATGGAGGAAAGAAAAACATCTCAACCAAATTCGTTAGTTACCTAACCTACAATAAGAGATAGATTAGATATTTAACAAAAACAGAAGTACTTTTTCATCAGTGGATTCAGGTATTTCACGCAGAATAATAGTACACCGTTTTGAAACGGCTCGTACCCGTTGTCCTTTTTCGTCGACCTGTACCTGAGATGACTCTGCAAACAATAATACATTATGTCAGTATATCCCAATGACCAGCAAAAGTACAGCTTAGCACTGCATACAAAAAAAAAAAGAAAAAGATTGGTTTTTTGAATACCAACTTTTAACCGTTCTTTGCGATAACCACTGCAGCAAATTCAATAAAAACTATAGTTCAGCATCACTGGAAAGCCATCAACCCCGATTACTCCGTTAATTTTACTTCCCATTTTAACAATTTTACGGATGAGTTAGAAATGGATAAAAAAAGTTAACACAATGATTTGAATAAGAAAAGAACCTCGCAACACTTTAACAACCAAATTGTAATCATTCGTGAGTCGTTTAACTTTTGGAAAGCTAGCAATAATTCGTATTGGTACATATTGATCGTTGTCCATCTGACACCGTAGAAACCTATCAGTCATTAAATTTTCTCTGAAAACAGAACCTGAAGATTAGAAGTGTTTTAAAATAATCGTTTTGCGGCATTTATAAATTATACTGATAATCATTCCTCTCATCTTGTAATGAGAAGTGACTTACCTTGAAAAATAATATTCCAGCTGAGCTTTAAGCTGCTGTTTAATTTGTTCAGGAGATTGGGACATGGCTGCGGTTGAAATTATTTGCTGAGCCGGTGGAGCCGCCCCTACTAGTGATGGCGGAGGTGGAGGTGGTGGTGGTGGCGCAGAAAATGTTGCAGAGATACTCATCGGCATTTGCATGAGCGGCGGGTCCGATACAGCCAGAAGTTGATTCTCGCATTCCGCTGTAAACCACCAAGGTAGCATTGGTGTAGGAGGTGTGTCGCACTCACCAGATGGCACCATCATGTCGTCCAACATACGATCGATACTATTAGAATTCACCTAAAACTTAATTTGTTGAACTACTTCGATAAATTTGGTTTGCTGGAAATAGTTTGAATACAAATTAATTAGTACTTTGTATTTCAATATCATCCAGTGGAACTGAAAGATGAACTCAACCTAGCAAATCCTCTTATACTAATCAAAACTATTCTACCTTTCTAATTTCGATTTTTCCGACGAAGTAAAGTGGAAGCTACTCTACTCGCTGGCTGATTTGCATTTTTAAAAGAGCAGAGTAAATTTCCCACTGACAGCTGCCCACTATTCTTACAAGAGTTAAACAAATCCAAAACATTTAATTGCGATGATTATACTTTTTTAACGTCTTTTCAACAGAAATTTGATTGTTCCCCTAAAAGTTTGCTTTAAAAGAGGCATATTCCAAACCTTAAGTTACGAAAGCACCTAGTAGAAAGGTAACTGATATTATTATTATTATTATTACTATTATTATTATCGTAGTAGAACATAAATTTCTCAAGAATAAAGAAGTTACAAACTATTTGTTGTCAATATCCTAAGGAGCATAATAGATATAATAAAACATCTATTACCTCCCATCATATTAACAGTATAATTGCTTATTCTAACGACAGCAGGATCATTTTCTACAGTTGCAAGCAAGATTCAACTTTGAAAGTTTGAGAATCGAAATTAACATAACCAATATGCTAATTCCAAGAAATGTATGCAATGAAGAAGTTAACAGTTACACAACTCCGAACTCTTAAAGTAGAAAAAAACCATCCAGCTTATTATATCTGCAAGAAAAGATACACAAAGAAACAGAGTGAAAAGGAATGAAAAAAACAACAAAATTCAAAAAAAGCTTGATGAAGCTCAAAAATAAAGTAGCCAAACTGAGTCAGATAATATCCAAGGTCTTGCTTGTCATAATATTAGTATTATATTTATGCATCCTAACGTCTACTTTCACAGATTAGCAACCACCAGTGTGTTAAATGCGATTATTAATTTATACTTCTGATTCAATAAGGTTCACTTAACTAATGCTCGCTGTCGTCCATCATTTGCCTTAACTTATCATGTATGGACTGCGATATTTTTGTTCATATCTTCTATTCTAGTAGAGTGGCTTCCCTATTCCATTTATACTTCTTATTTCTTCCTTTTTTGACTTACAACAGAAAAAAAAACAAAATTTTAAAATATTCTCCATTATCCAGATAGCAATAATTCCAAGAAATACGGGTCGTTTTCGAAAGGTTGATTGTATGTGATTATTTATTCCTTCATAACTTCCGGATTTCGAAGGGTTGACCAGATTATCCGCTCAATACTTCCGGATTTTATAGATGAACCAGATTATTCCTTCAGTATTTTCGGATTCTATAAGTGAACCAGGATCCCCCTCAATACTTTCGGATCCCGTGCACAAACCAAGAATACAAGACATGGATTGCAATTGTAATGTAAAACAATCATAAAGTCCACCTATATCTGCTTAACTACATCTAAAAAGACATATTTATGCACGTAGTGCACGTTTGATGAAAGTACAACAAAGATATAAAAGAAGATCAAACCCGTTGGATGATATAACAACGAGGTGATGTCTCGGTGCACATAAAGAATGCGCCTGGTTCTCCTTGTTCATTGATAACAGCCATCTTTCAGACCATAATTGACGTTAAGCTAATTACTGCAACTGATGGCTGTTGTCGAGATAATAGTACAATTGCTGTTGATGTCGCTGTTGTTCGCTGAGCAATAATTGGATGAATTTAGCGTGCAAAAAGGAAAAAACTGTGAGAGGGGTAACAAATAATTCTGATAATGATGATACTTTCAATGATACCGATGATAATGAGCAATTAAACAACAATTGTATCATCCTGTAAATATCACCACTGGTTTACTGTCACAACGATGAGGTCATTAGGATCATGTAATACGAGTCACAATAACGCAAATTATCCTCAAACTTAGTACCACCTGTAGCATTAGTTAAATCAAAATCAAATCTAATTTCACACATTATATTCAATTTACCACTAATCATATATCATTTACATACAATGATGCAATATGTAAATTATGCCGCTCAGTGAAATGGTAGTATCAAGAGGGCAGAGTGCATACATATGCACTGTGCAAATGTGGATCAACAGTGAAACACGATTGTGCACTGTAGACTTGAAGAGGACAGTAATAAGAGGGAAAGAAAGAGAGAAAGGGAGAAAAGAGAGAGACTAACGAAACTGAGAGGGAGAACCCTCAGCATACCGAATAAAGATTTTCTCTAATATACAAGTAGGGTCAAAGGTCAAATTTCTTTTTCTGGCTCGCTAGCTGACTAGAATACGCGATTTTCCCCTGCTACGTTGATCGATTAACTCTCCCACGCACTTGATGCTTTTTATGATTGATATCAGCGACAAAAGGTCATTTAATGGTTTTCTTAACCTTCTGTATTCTCTTAATTTGCGTATTTTTTGAATGATTGATATTCATGAATGCTAATGAATTTAAATTAGATATGGAACACATGCACTTAAACACATTGCAAGCTTGAGGAGCGAGAAAAACACAAAATTTCATGAGCAAGTGGAAAGAATATGTCGCGATTCAGGAAGCAGGCGAGGCAAAATATAGGTACCACGAATATGCAATGAGATTGATAATGGGAAGAGCGAACCAGCTGACAATGTATCACTGATCGAATCACCATTATCATCATCATCATTCACACCCATCTCCGATCCTTTTGAGCAACTGCCGACGATATATGATACATCTGAAATATTACACAAAAAGAGGTGCGCAGATTAGAAGGCTATTATCACATGCAAGTAAATAACGTTCACCGATAAATGGGAGGACACGCATATATCCATTCATCCACCCACACACCCACGCTCGCCCGCATACATGCACATTCACGTGCACATATCCAGATGCATACGCGCGCATATGCCCGCAAACACACATACCCACTCCCGCATGCACTTGCATACGCGCGCACCACATATGGAGCACTAATCTACGCACTAAGCAATACATATATCCTTGCATGCACGCCTGCTTATAAGGACAAAATTAATATGAAATATTATGATGCCAAGAAGTGCTGGTAAAGGTAAATGCCTAAGATTATACATACATCAATTACATTTCCGCTCTTGTCAGGGACAGTTATCTATGTGGAAGAGAGAGAGAAGAGTGACCTGCTGTTTGAGAGATATTAATGATATTGATAGAATCAGTAATATTAATATTAGGCATATATAATAATAATAATGTACAATCATGTGGAGTGAAGAGAGCAAAGCGGAGGAACTGGTCTAAACTACCAACGGCTTACATAACGGACATCGCCTGCGACAATGACAACGACGACAACAGAAACCTCCTCATATGGGTAGCGTCGCAAAAGATGCCTTGTGAGAGGATGGTAGGGATGCTTGCTGCATGCCGCCCGTGTACACCTCTACCTCTTCCACCCCACTCTTCCCCCTCCCCTCTCCCCTCATCTATATATGTTTGGGAATGAATGATACCGATTGGAATATAAAGGCGACGACCGATGGTATTTATTGTCATTGAGCAGAGAGTTGTGGGATACTCTGACAATGAGGCGACCAAAGCGATGTTGAGGAAAAAGATGAGCGGAAAAGATAAAAGGAGGCAGTGAAATCATTAGCACGAAAGAGGGAAAACTTTGTCAAATAAACAAGAGGACAAAAATTAATCACTTTATCATAATCATTCATCTATATACTGATATATCCTATCTATCATACTGCACTCCCAATTATATCCCATATCTTTCATAAATTTGACTATTCCAAATTGTGCATTTACTGCGCTAATCTTCTTGTCTTTTTTTAGTAATGCGAAAATGTGGTTTTCCGAACTTGCACTTTGCACTCTTTTGCCTTATAAGAGGTGCAGTGTGGTTTTACTCATTACAACTGGTTGTAATACTATTCATAACATCTATTTCCTGTTAACCTTAATCATACCGATTGTAATCTATCGTTGGTACCATCTGCGCTCCTTTTCTCCCTCTCTGTCTCTCTCTCCATCTCTCTTAATCGATCTTTCTCTTCTTAATGTTGCAAAAATTAAAAATGTAAAAGAGATAACCCTGCAAAAGAGACAAATTCGAGGATATAGAAAGGGGGCTATTGCAGATGAATGGGCACGTGACGGAAGGACCCGTCAGTTGTCGATGATCATCGATCTCGATAAAGGGTGCTGAAATGAATGCCGAAGAATTCTGCAAGAAAGTATCGAAAAATTCACCTGTTTCTCAGAGCCATACCCTTTTGCAACTGTTATTGCCCAGAAAATTGTATTGATTCCATGCACCTTTAAATCTAAATTTCCAAGATAAGAAATAAGTCTAAAAGGATGCATACCCTTTCTAAGGTAAGTGACACAAATCCGTAAACCCATTTTATATTTATCATCAAATCAGAAGACGTAATTCCGATTCTAAAAGAGCAACACAGCATTCAATTGTATTCAACGCTGGCTGCAGCATCACGTCATAGGAAAGAGAGATATTGTTGACGTTGCGTTGATATGGAAAAGGTGTTTTCCATCCCCATAAGACAAGACGGCCTTTCTAACAGCCTTTACTCACTGCATCCAATGAATACGGCTGTCGTTAAGATTTTATTCTGCCCACTTTTCCACTCCACCCTCAAGTTTTTTTGCACACCTGTAAATAGCTTTTGTAAGCATAAAAGTATATCTATATGGATCACATATATATATATATATATATACATACATACAAAATAGGTGCGGTGAGTGAGTTAAAAAATCTAAAAAAACCTTACGCATCGAGAATATATGGTTAAGCTACTTGATATTTCTTTGCATCTGCAGTCCATCTACACTCTTCCTCTGCTTCACTTAGTTTCTGAAAGCAATTTTAAACTTTGTGAACGAAAATTCGATCTGACGCAGTTCACGTAAGTTACTGTTCAGTTTATTTCTTTCTAAGACTTGCTAATATTATTAAAACTTATCAGTCATTCTCTCTAAATGAGAATATCTGTAAATAGATGGATGGGACTACTTTATGTACGACATCATCATTTGTATTCCCAAAGTTAGCGGTCTTGCACTGAATATTCTGTTACTTTGCCCAGTGCATTTTACAGAATAGAGGGATAATACAAATGATGTCATACATAAAATTTATTTCAATTAAATAGTGATTAGCAGAAGGATCGATGAATATTTTATTCATAGCAACTTTATAATAGAAAATTTGAATAACTGACTGATGTTGTTTGTTATCTCAGAGTCGAAAAGCGATTTCTCTAAAAAAGAAAAAATCAAAAACGATATATTTATCAAGTGTGATTGATTAGATGCATAACTGTTACCGATGAAATCGATCGAACACATTATAAATCAATCAACTAATCAGTTTCTATTCTTTTATCCTTAATTAAGAGTAAGAAGAAAAGTAGCAAGAATGAAAGCTACTAATATAATACAAACAAATTATTGCCTACCATCACATCATATCATCAATTTCATGGACGTAACTGTTGAATTTGATGGATTGCTCCAGGTGACTATGAATGAAATGAAAAGAAACAAAAGAAGGTAGGAAGTTAAAAATGAATTTTGAAAGAAGAAAGTGGAAATTATTTTTCTTCTTCTTCTTTAGGAAATTAAATTATTCTTCTTGTAGCATTTTAGTAAGCTGAAATTTCATTTACATTATTTTATCATTGAACGTAAAATAATGATGATCGATTATACTAATAATATATTTTCATTCTAATAAGAATATGTCAGCTATTAAGATATTCGATATTTCCTTCCCCAACTACTAATGATGATGACGATGATGATAAACAACATTTTTCCGGAGTTGACAGCATTCAGCCATTTTAATCCATCTTACACATTAAACCATAATGTGATATTCTTTAAATAAATTCACTACTTTACAAATTAATGAATTATTTGATAAATGATTTTGTTAATGTTCAGCATTTAAATTTTCATCCAATTGACACCTTTTTTTGTATCTCATTGATTAATGGTAAAAGTTAGATTAGATGATTGGGTGATGAAGATAAGGTGATATATCCTTAGAAAGGATGTATAATAGCAGTATAAGGAAAGAAGAAATGAAATAACATAAATATCCTATAATGAAATGAATGAACAATGTTATAGTATCAGCTATTTATAAATTCAAACAAATAAATTGATGATATGAAGAGAATAAGACATTTAATAGGATCTATCATATCCTAACATCTGCTACAAATTACAATCTATCCTTTTCTTAATTAGCAAAACGTTACTTTAGGGGTTGTAACGAACAAGAACATTAATCTCAAGGCATAACTTCTCTTTCTATTCTAAGCCTTTCTTTGTTTTTAATCCTCTCTATCAAAGTTAAAGAAGCTCCAGTGGCTAATACAAGCTAATTACGAATTAAGAAAAGAAAGAAATACATAATGTCCAGTTCGTTCGTTAAAAGCCATTTCCTAGAATACTCCTTTATAATAAATAAGCGTTTTTCTTCCCAGGCCTATCCTATCCTATACCAAACTGCACTCCCTTTTATCAGACCTACAGCACATACATACATACATACATGTCCATACATACATATGCTTGAAACTATCCACACCACATGAACATACATATATGAACGGTTGTAATATGCGTATTCACATGGACACACATACACACATACATACACACATAGACCATAGACACATATACACGCACGCTCACATACGCATACACAAACATACACATATACATACACGTATGGCCTCAGTTTGCATTTCAGTTTGGAGTCTTTAAGCAACTGGGCCCGACCTCTTGTTTCCTGCTTATTAACTGTGAAGTATACTTAAAGATATTTTGAAGAGGAAGGAAGAGAAGTGCATTTGGTCATGAGGTCACGTAAACTTTATCGTACCATCTGAAATATCTGATTACAGTAGTAAATAAGATGAGACCTGAAATGTGGCGTTGTCGACTTGCTACAGTCTCTTAATGAATTTTATAAAATGGACATGTTACTGCCTTTCCTTATTGTAACCTTGCAGCTATGAGAGTCGGAATTTTGAAAATAGAATCGTACCAAATGATACGAACCATACAAGTTTATGGTCATTATTTGATGAATATTTGTTTTACATGCATTCTATCGTCTGGTAGATTTGCAGTTTATCGTATTCCTTTCCTGATACCATATCTGTATTTATCATTTTTAATACATCTAACAAACACTTCAATGGCTAGTTGCCGTTGTGTCCAATTTAATTCTACTGGTATTTTTCAATCACCAGATTTTCCAAAAGCTCCATCATCATCAATACTTCCTCCATTATCCTTGCTTATTCAACACCCTTTTTTATGTTTACTGTATAAATTTATAGCTCCTGATGGATACATTGTTGAAATGACCTTTGATTATTTTCATCTTTCACCACGAATTGACCGGTGAGTGATTAATAAAAGAACTCGTTTTTGCACAGCAGCAATTTAGATGTAATGATTACTTAAGGTTATTTGATGGTACACCGAATGGGTTGATCGATGAACGGACCGCTTATAGCAGTGAATTCTGTGCTAGAGAGGTAATATTATCCGTACCTGTCCTACATTACTTCATTGGTATGGCACCCTCCTATAAGTTACATCTTTTTAAGATCGAAGTTGGACAAACATTCTATTCCTATACGAGATATCTCATATTCCATGTGCAATTATCTGGTAACTCCAAAGGTTTCCATGGTACTTACAATTTTATTCCCAAAGGTTACATTGTTTATATTTATTCCTTTCACTCATTAATCTTGCAGATAGAAAAAAAATTGAATGAAAAAGCAGTTTTGAAGCAGTCATTATTAGCTTTTTCTAATTAATTGATTTATGTTAAGTTGCAATCAAATTTTTAGAACGATTCCGTTCGGATGCCATTGAAATACAACCATGTCGTTTTCGTGTTGATATCTTAGCTGGTAATTTATTCTCACCTAACTATCCATATTTTTATCCTACCACTGCCAATTGTACTTACTATTTGGCACCTCGTTCAGAATTCAATTTGGTGATTTCCTTAGAATATCTTAATTTACGACGTTACACTTGTCATGAAGACTTCATTGACATCTATCAAATGCATCCAAAGGTAAGAAAGGCTATATTCGTTTCATTAATTTTCAAGCATTTTTTATGAATGAAATCTTTCCTAATATACATTTAATGTAAAAATACATAATAATTGAAATTGATTTAAGAGGAAAGATGTAGAAAATTTTGAATTGCTATTGTTTTATGTAAATTTTGAAATTCCCAAACATATCAAAATCCACGATAAAATTAATATCAAAAATATTAAGATTCACCTTGAAAAGCTTTGTTATGATTCAATGCCACCATATCAAATTCAAACGAGGCATGGATATATCATTGAATTTCATGCTGGTAATAATGATGTTATAAAAGTGAGTCAACCATGTATATTCATTTATATTCGCTTAAAATTTTGATGATTAAACATTTTGTCATTTAGAGTCAACCATGCTATCATTTTATTAACAAAAGTCAATAATTGATTTATACTTTTTGAAATTTATTCAAATTTATGAATGTCTATTTTTAATTAAAAAAATTATTATTATACTTAAAGTTTTACTTTACATGACAGTAAAGTAAAGATAGATAGTATCGAATGGAAAATGGTAGGAGAAAAGATATATGAAAATGTTTAAAAACACAAAAAGTTGTTGATGAGAGTTTACAATGAAGAAAAAGTCATTTAAAGATGGATGGAAGAGATTATTAGGAAGGATGATGAAACTGATAAGAATATTTGATAATGGCAATCATGCAAGAGATTTGTTCATGGATAGAAATTTTAAAAATAGTGATTAATAGTGTAGATGATCATGAAACAAAAAAAAAAATCAATTTTAACGTTTATTTAGAGAAAGAGAGGGAGAGAGAGAGAGAGAAAAGGAAAAAGAATAAAAATTCTGATTCATTTAACTGACTGGTATTGAAATCCATAAATATGCAGTATCTGGAATTATACCTATCACTTAATTGTTATTTGGTTAAATATTCAATAACATTCAAATAATTATGAAATAAATTGACGTAATACTTATTTCTTGCCCTATCTTATGATGTATATTAATTAAATTACTAAAATAATCGAAACTATCTTAGTGATCATATTAGTGATGAGATGGAAACTAATGATCATATTTACGTTCATATGATCAATTCTCTTTTCCGCTAAATGTAGCTGGTTTATCAAGCAAATAGGATTATATGGGAAATTGTGATAAATACTAGCTTGATGATAAGAGAGAAAAATAAGGAAGTGAAAAGAATTTTAATGTATTGGTAAAATTTAAAAGAGTGACATCATTTCGGTTTATTTGAAAAAGAAGAAAATATTTCATTCCTATACTTCTTCTAACAATACTTCTTCCTTTGTAACAAATGAAAATAAGGCTTTTCTAAAAGCCTATAGATATGCTTTATTACGCAGAGTTATTAAATTTAACCATTTTAGCAGATAAAATTCATTATTGTTCTCATTCAAATCCATTTCACTAACCTTATATAACATAGAAAGCCTAAAATGAATTAGACCAAATAAAAATTCCCTAATTATATCTTCATCATAATACAGCTTGCAATACAAGAAAATAAGAGATCCTATAATATTTATTATAGATATATTTAGGTGTATTTAGAAATTGGAATATTATTTGAAATCTCATAAAAATAACTCTTTCCAGGCCCGTGGTTTTCATATTTCATTCAAATATTTATCCAAGCAATTATCACAGAATATGCCTGATGAAAGTAACAATCGGTTAGCCAATGCTAATGATCCACATTTGGCTTATTCATCATTTTCCTTGTCTTCCTCTCACCATCCTTCTATGTTTTCTTCAGCTATCATCGATGTTCAAAGTGATGAAATTGGTTCAAGTGAGTAGTTTCCATTAATGCTTCTTGTTATCCATTCATCTTCCAACTCTCCTTAAAATTCATCGATTGCCTCTCTCTCTTTCCCTCCCTCTCTCTCTCTCTCTCCATCTAAAACCAATTCTTTCAAGCATATTTTTAGGCTTCGTAAGAGATATTTTAATGAGTTAAAGGATGAAAAATTGTAAGAAACTTACTGCCTTTTTCCCTACATTATTTATGATGATATTTGGGAATAATGGTAAGTTCATCAGTAATTCTTTTAAAATTATTTTGATCTCTTCATTTACCCTTTAATCCTTTCAAATTCATTATGAGTTAAAATACATCAGATCCATTTTATCATAGAGCAGTCAGTTATTTCAGGAGAACATTGTCAAGTGAGGATCACTTCACCCTCAGTAGTTGATAGCGATTCATCTTTGGCCAGTAGTATCTCAGGTATTCTCAATTCAACACAGTACGTGGATAGCGATGATCCGTTCAAATGTCAATTTATATTTATGGGTAGTGCTACTGAAAGAGTTCAAATTATATTTCTCTCTTTCAGTTTGTATTCACGGATGCCCAATTTGAATAATGTTACCAATAGGTGAGTCGGTAACAAGAAGAATATTGGTACTTCGTTTCTGTTTTGCGATTCCTCTTAATCAATAAGATTGCAGTTGAAATTAAGAAATATAAAAATGAACTATAGATTCTACTGCTCCAATTCCACACTCAAGTTCAAAATAATATCGATTTATTTACCAATATAGATTTGCTTGAATCTACAAACTTTAATTTCATTATCATTTATTACTTTATATCACTGAGTAAACCATCCATTGAGTGGTCCTCAAAAAAAGTAAAACTATAACAGAATATATTCGAAAGGATATTAATAGATTCATATTGATAGCACACTTAGTGAAGCTCCTTAAGCTGATATTTATTGAATAATAGTTTGAAGATGCGATGAAGTGGATCATTTATCAGCTCATGTATTAATTGGTACTCGTATGTCTCGAATCGAAGACTTCTGTGGTAGTGAAACACCTCCTCGATTGATGTCTACCAAAAATCTATTAACTTTGGATTATGTTGTTCGATCTACTCGAGCAACGAGACAAATGATGAGTAGTGCTGAAAAATTTGGATTTGTACTAAAGTACCACTTCCGATCTGATCTAGGCCTATCAGAAATGGATGCCGAAATAAGAAATGATTTGAGTGAGTTTTGTTTTCATCATGAAATTCCTTCTCCTTATTTCGCTTCTACATTTCTCCATATTCTTTTGCTTACTTTTGTCTTCTATATTTCATACTGTCATGTTACATAGCACTTTTATATAAGAGGGATAACGACCAGATAATTAAAATTGATACATTTAACAATTTCTAACATGAAATCATGAAACTATAATATATGAGGAGCGATATTGGTTTTCATTGAGATACAGTAGTCGTTTGCATTTCAGCTTGCCATTATGAGTTTAATTCATCTCAGCGCAGCTCAGGTGATATTTTCTCCCCCAATCATCCAGGATATTATCCTCGCAATACTGATTGCCATTACATATTTCATGGAACTGAAAAACAGGTCGTTGCTATACATTTTGAATACTTTGATGTGGAAGGATTAGCCACGTAAGTCTTCGAGCACCTATTTTTATTACCTCTGACTTTTATATTTTTTAATGAAATTAACAATTGTTCTCGAATACTATTCTTTAGGTGTGATGACAGTACGCATAGTGATTACGTACTGTTCAGCAACTACCAAACTCAGGATCGTACCAATCGCCGCTACTGCGGTCATACTTGTCCAAGGGATCCAATTGTTAGTGAATCGAACTATTTTCGGATGTTGTTTCGCTCTAATGATATTTTTGACGCCACCGGCTTCTATGCTCATTATCAATTTATTACAGAACGTATGTCTTTGACCAAACTATGTTAATTTGAAATAAGTTAAATGTGGTATTCTCAACAAATTCCAGACCCTTTATATCATTCATATTACACGTGCCATTAATTTTGAATTAAATAAGTGATAGAAGAAGCGATACGGAAAAGATTTGCAAAGAGAAAGAATTACGTGATTGTTGATAAAGAAGATAACACGTGGTTTGGAAGTCTGTTGCGTTACACATCGTTTCTGCTAAATTCTATTTTTGAGATTGAAGATACTTCTCAGATATAACAAAGTTCAACAATTCTGTAAATTACAATAAATCTACAATTTGCAAAATAAATTTTGCAGTTGATATCTGCAGCATCAATTCACATTTGAAAACAAACACTCGTTAAACTTAAAGTTTTATCAATGATCAGATTACTGAAAATTTTATTATAATGTTCGAATAATACAATATTTGCTATTTAAGTATGCTCACATGTGGATACCGCATGTACAGAGCGAATTTCATATTCATTTAGTTATTAATGTTTCAGAAATTTCACAAATCAACCGCGTGAAAGTGACCACTAATGCGTGCTCGTTTACAAGATTAGCATTAACTTGGCCAATTGTGCTACTATCTCTGACAATCACTCATAGATGGACTTTATGATTCATGATTTGCAAGAACTTGTGGAATAGAGGACTTCGTACGAAAAACGCTAATCAAAGCTCATATCGATTCTCAGGTCTACCTAATAAATACCGAGTACTTTCCGCAGTAGTGGAAGTACAACACTCTTTACAATGATGCTTCTTGTACATTACTGAATATTGTTACACACTACTCGCTTATTGTATAATATATTTCTCTTCGAATCCTAAAGAGAAGAATTTAGTAGTCAAGCTTAGAGATTCATGTTATTGTTAGTAATCATTTTAAATCTTTATAATCATGCAAAATTACCATCCCGACATATCACCAAATTGAAATCATAGTTATGATAAAGTAATATCATCTTTTGTTATCAACAGATCATGACAAGTACCTTCAATACACTCAAATTCCTCAGCACAATCACGTATCGCCAAACTACACAATCGTCCTTCCACTTTGATGCAGTAACCAGATTGACATATTTCACCAGGTTGACAACTTTTTCCCAAACATTCTGGAATATTAATCATAACAAATTTTTTCTATCTCATTATTGTTAGCATTATTTTCAACATCTGATATCATTATTACCATTTCTTGTGCAACGCCCATCAAGGCAAACATATGGTCTAGGACATTCTCTGTGACACAGCAATCCTTGAAGATGTATACATTGACCCTCTCGACAGGCATGATCTGGTGGACAACGATTGGTGCAAGGATCCAGAATGCATCGTCCTTCTACACAAATTGTATCTATAATAAAAACTTGAAACTTCAGAAGTAACATAAACACTGATGATGATATGCACTCACATGCACTATAGGTACCTCCAAGTTTGTATCTTGAAATTTTGTATTTACTATAAGGTAGTATATGTTTTCTGAGAGTTCTACCATTCTCACTATTAAAGAAATCATCACCATTTTATTGATCTTACCACTTGTCCTAGTTTAGTTAATGCTTAAATGCATTATTGTCCAGTTTCCCTGCGCACTACTCATCACGTAAACTATTTTGCTAATTGATATAAGGATTAAAATTTTGAACTGAAAAGTACTATTTCCAACCGGACTTTTGGATATATGTATAATTGGACAAGCCATTAAGTGATCATACTTCCTTGGCATGGAGTAAAAGTGCAGTCTTGACCGATAGCTGTTTGACATGTACCTTTTAAGCAAAATGAACCCGTTTCACAGCTTACATGTGCACAACCTAAAAAGAACTAAATTGCTTTTCTCAAATTCAAAATTCAAAAAGGAATGAAATTTAAAACCACACCTTTCATCATTTTCAAAATTAATTTTCCCTTCCTAAATTTCATGATAAATTCTTTTTCCTTACACAACATTGTGACAGAATGAACTGTAATACATTCTACTATATAAGCAAATCTTCAAAAAACTGTAGATTGATTCTTTTGATTTAACTAATATTGTAGCCAAAGTATAATAAAAACATATTTGGATCTGAGATACAATGGCCCTGTCGGCAAACTTCACCAGGATCACAATTGCATGGAATTGGATCTCTTAATGATATGCATTTGTTCTGAAAACATTTGAATGTTGGGCCACAATTAAAATGTGTTATACAGAAAGTATTGTTTACTATCAAACAATTCCCATCTTGACATAATTCATTCTCGGTACATTCTATTCCAAGGCATCCTGAAATGAAGATAGGTGTGGTGTTATTCTAAAGCATTCAGAATCTGATATATATATATAATTAATTTATATAATAATAAATAATCAACGAGCAATTTGTTCTCTGTTCAATGTTATTCGCTTTGTTATATTCAGTTGAAAGTAAAGTATTAATAAATCGTTGAGGACAAATAGGAAATTAATTTTAGAAAGATCAAATTTTATGAGTGGAGAAGTAATTCTTATCAATATTATCATATATGATAAAAAGAAGTAGCCAAGGAAACAATTTGCAATTCCTTATTGGCATAAATGAAATTGTATATTAGAGAAAGAATAAAAAGTCTATATAGAGTGATTGATAAGTGATATCATTATGCATAAGTTGACAAAGCTTTAATCTCAAATATTTTTATATCACTATGATTGTTTCAAATAAAATACTTAACTATCTTCAACGCATCGACCATTGACACATTTTGCTTTTAGGCCACAATTAGAAGTTATGGATTTGAAATGATGTTCGGATAATTCAACATTTCGATCGCAAGGTAGACCAGGTGTTGGATAACATCGTCCCTATTATCAGGTACAGTTCGATAATTTAAAAAGTATGAAAAATCTATTGAGAAGATAATATTTAAAATGATTTTATGCCTGAAAATTCTCCAATTATTCATTATTAATTGACCATTCGTTTGGTAATATTTTCATATCATCTTAGTGTAAATGAAAAATTAGATGAATTGAAAAAGTCAGAAATTTACCTTATAGCACCTGAAATTAGCGTTGCATTTCACCTCTTCACAATCATATGGCGCTGTTATATTATTCTCAGAGTAGCATTCATTAGTTACACAATTAAAATTCAATGGACATTCAAATTGGCCAAATATGGGCGGACAAAGCGTTCCAAAGATATCATTTACGATGCATGCTATTAGAATTAGATATAGAAACATCTGAATTCTGAAATTAATTAAGTAATTGAAGTGGTGACATCGAAGTGCAGCATCTGAAAAATTTATCATATTTTTTAAAATGATTGAAGTGCTAATACAAATAAGAGTTAGAGAAGATATGGCACAGATCATAGATGCAAGCCAAAAAAATTGCCAAGGCATTGTTGTCCAAGTTAAAATCAACAATGGATACTATTAGCATGAGTGTTCATTGTTTCATAAAAACAATAGTTATGGAGTTGAAATTTAAATAGTCTAATTAAAGAAATAGATTGATCGGTGTATGGTAGAAATTACTCATTTAAAAAGGAGAAAAAAGCAAAATACATTTTAGTGATACTAAAAATGGTGATAAATATATTGTTGATAACATGGTAATCCTGTAATAAGGAGTTGATTGATAGCTATGTGTAAATACAAGTTTACGAACAATAATATCGAAATGATTTGAAATCTGGTAGTTTATACTTGCTGTATCAAAATAAAAAAAGCAAACAGGATATTTATGATACATTTGTCCTATCGTATTTCTATAACTATTGGTTATGTTTTTACCTTTATCTTAGATAGTACCACATGGTAATACTTTAATGCATAATTAGATTAACATGAAATTCGACAAGGATTTTATTCATTTTAACAATTCCATGGAAATTTTTGTTAAAACTAAATTGGCAACTTTTATTATTTACGATAATAAAGCATTCAGTAGTTGTAGGGATTGATGATAGGATGACTTGCAAAATAGGTTAGATGGTGATAGTTTGATCGCTCTAAATTGATGAAATACTTTGATGCGGAGATCACTTTTAAAATGATTGTGTAATTTGAAAGAATGAAACTAATGAAAATTAATGGCTAACAATTAATGTTGTAAGAAGTTCTGAATTTTGTAATGGAAAAAATTTATAACACTTTGATGAACAAATAAAACAAAATAAAAGTGCTAATTAAAGTACTTTCAAATATTGTATCAAAGTAATGGCTAAAAATTTTTTTAATTTCAAACTTTAAACAAAAAACAAAAATCTGAGGGTTAGATGTAAATTAAATTGGATATCAAACTTTTCAAATTCTAAACATTAATCTATCAGATAGTACTGAAATAGTACCAACAAAATTTAACTCTGAATTAGTTCAAAGCTCAATTGAAAAAGAAAGCTTAAATTAAGAATTTGTAAAGTGATTAAAGCTTGTATATCATATCTGTATAAATTGGAAATTTAGTATTATTATGAAATTAAATGAATTTTTCCTATTATAGCAATCGGTTTTGCCCTTGAAGATAATTGCGAAATAATTAATAGCTTGCAGGAAAGTTTATATACAATTTAAGGCTCTGTTGGAATATATTATTATTATTAGCTATTGAAATGTGCAAAAAGCATTTTTGATCATTTTCAACGATGACGTCATTAAGCATTGAGAAAATAATAATTTCTAAATTTATTATGAAGCTTTATATGCTTCTGATGTAATCAGAAATAATAATTATAGGTGGAAAAATATAGAAATGAAAATAATTAGGCAACGGTTGCTATGGTTGTTGAAAGCGTTTTCATTGTTAGAAAAGTCTTACCTATCTTCTAATCTACGGTATTGTTTGTTCAACTCCTCATCATATCCTTTCTAACTCAATTTTCACTATTCATTTTAAAATTTTATCAATCGAAAAGTGTTTCTTAAAAAAAAAGCTATTTCTTATGGATTCACGAGAAGAGTGTATTATTACATATCTCAATACACATCCAAAATTCCTGGAAAATTATGCTACTGGACCAAACGTATCCAATAAGGTATTCGATCGATGGTGTTCCAGGCGTAATATGAGAGTAAAAAAGGAAGCCTTAAGAGATATGAATGGTCCATGGATGGTAAGTATAATTTGGCATTTCCTTACAGATTGGAAGAATAACCTTTATATTTTAATACACATCTTTATTTAATAAATAGATTTTAAATCATAAACATTTATAAGTAAAATCAATATATAAAGGTAAATGAAACAGGTGAGATATACCTTTCTCTCTTCACCATTCATTAGATTATATTAATAAATGTATTAATATTCATTAAAATAATAAGATATTTGTAAAATGTTTATTAAATTTATTTTACACATCAATTTTCTGGACATTTCAGGCAGATGATCTATCCGATTTCCATAATTTGCTTATCTCCAGTGGTAACAATGTGCCTCTTATTCTATATGAATTAGGCCATGCTTGTGCACAGTTAACTCTTAATAAATTGTTTGATGTGATAATGTATAATAATGATAATGCTTACTTCATCAAGCGAACCGAAACTAATGTTCGATTAAAGCAAGTGACCAAAGTGAAACGACTGCCAATCTACACGAAAAAAGTAGAAGACTACTCGGGAGTCTTACTTGGTTAACTCCTTATTTCTATTTATTATTATTAATTATTCATTATTATTATTATTATTATTATTATTATTATTATTATTATTAACATGGGAAAGTATGATTAAAATCATTGAACTAAAGAATCAAGCAAAATAAACATCATTTGTCGAAGAAATTTGACACAAAAAAAAGAAATAATTCGATTCTTATGGCATGACACTCGGACTGGCCGTTTTTATCAGTCATTCAATAATGTATTACGTAACAGTGGAACTCGAGCGATATCTCTATAGCAACCAGACTTTTGGATTCAATTTTCGATGCCAAAGAGATGCTCTTCCATTGATTGATTTATTTTATTTGCTGAGTTTGAATTTCTTTTTCTTTACTTTTTACATTGTTTAAAGTTGGTTGAAACGTGCTTGCAATCAAAGAAATTTCCATATATGAAGCGGAAATGTACAACTGTGGAATCATCAAAAATTAAAAAAAATCATGAATAATTTAAGTAGTTCGACTTGGTATTCAAATGATGCACTTACGAATTTCAAAAACATTGTCATATTTTCTCGGATAAATTAGATTTTCCAAGAGAGAAATAGACAACGAATGGAGTAGTTGAATAGGATGTAAGCGTGGGATATGGCGTTAAATTGAAAAAATTCTGCCATTCAGACATTCTAAAGATGTTCACGTATCTTTCTCAACTGAATTGTAATTTTGAACAGATTTATTGTGACGGTAACAAAATTTCTAATATTATCCATATTTTCTATGGGTGATGACAATAAAATATTCAAAAGTAAATCAAACTGCATTTTGAAATACTTTGCAAATTGTTTTATAATTGCGAAGAAAATTCATTATGTGCTATTTGATGAGCAATGGACGGTTGTTTTCTTTTCGTTATGTTCATCATGAAACTGTGTGATGCTAATAAACAAGTGATTCAGATACCCATTAGGACCTCCAGTAAGCCATTGGGACGCTTGGATTTGTTGGAATGTGCAGTGCTTGAGCCCACCGAATATGATAAGCACGCAGTCAAAGGTTTATGTCCGCCTCAGCCGACGAAGTTTGTCACTTTCCCCGTTCCTCCTCGTTGTAATTTTATGCAAGGACTTTTCTTCAAAAAATTCCATAGAATCCGAGCATATGAGAGGAGATGACTCATTTTACCACACATTTAAGAGTTTAATATAATTACTACATCTCATGTTTCAGTTTTCATAGTAATGGAAATGTGAGAATTGGATCAAAAAGAGTTGTTTGTGAAATCAATCGTTTACGGAAATCATAAATAAATTCGACTATTCTCCTATACCAATCCAAAACTCATTGATGGAATTACAATGATATTCCTTATAATTGAAAATGATTTCGAGATTTATGTCTTAATTTATAAATTAATGCAAAGTTACAGGATTCTAAAGACATTTGGAATTAAACTGAAGAAATTATATTTTGGAAAATTTCCTTGGTTGATGAGGAAAGACAAGAAGGAAAGGAAAGACTGGTTGATGAAAAAAAGATTCATAATGAAAGCAGTATTTTTGGGAAAACAATCGTTTTATCAATTGCGGTTGCAAAATGTTGATTTCGATTTTGAGCTGATTGAAGGATTATTTTTAATATTAGAATGTCCAATAAAGAGAAAAAAAAAGAAAGTTAAGAAATTTGATTTGTCTATTTGTTTGTCCTAATTGCTCCTAAAACACTTGGCACTTTTCGTGGGGATGCGATTATATATTGGATAATAGTCGAAAAATATCGCAAAATCAAAAAAATACTGATATCTCGAAGTTAATAAAATGAATTTGGACTAATACAAGTTCTTCTTTCTTCAACTTTTTCAATTCTACAGTTGCATGTTTAAGTTAAGCTTGGTGGAGTAAATGAATATTTAATAAATATGTAATTTGAGATACAAGTCTATACATAAAGTTGATTCCTCCGTTTCCACTATGTGCTTGAATCATTTATGATACTTATTTCTGTAGTACCTGCAAAAAACTTGATAAGCTTATGGCTTTTAATTTACTTTTAGTATGATTTCATGCTGGTTCGATTTGAAACAAAGATGTTTAACCTTTTTTAAAAACTTTACTTTTGTAATTCCAGCCAAACATTAAATGGTACCTGGATGGCTCACCAATAATTACTGATTCACGGTTATCTTGGAGGGTCAAGCTCACACCACTGAAATATCTTCAGGTTCACCTTACTTTAAAATACTGAAAAAAAGGTATCATGATAAACTATAAAACCACTTAAATTTCTGAAGTTTTATATCATTTTCTGCAAATTTAAAAATTTCACATTAATGAAAATGGCAATATCTGCAACATTAAATTATGTTAGATTTGGCCGCTAATGGTAACCCGAGATGACGGACGATATGAATGTTTTGTTGATGGCAAATCACATGGTTCTGTCACTCTACATGTCATTACTGTAGCAGTAAGTATGGCATCAAATACTACTGGAAAAAAATTTGGCTTAAATTCTATTTAAAGAACTGCTAAATAATCATGAGTCAAATGACCATTTAGTTTTCAGGAAGGACTTACCCGAGGCACGATTAATTATTTCATAACAATGATGCTCTCCATACCATTCGTTGCATTTGCAATTTTCTATCGGTAATTTTCATTTTGTCGTTTTTAATGCAGTTATATTTATGGTCTTATTTTTAACCAACTATGTTGTTAATCTGTATTTATATTTGAATCATTCAATAGTAGTAGTTCGACTGAATAGCATGCACTATATTTGATTTCTTTTCTTCAAGTTTGTTGCATCCACAGCGTGAAACAATAATGCTGGATAGCTCTGTGACTGATTTTTACGAGAAGATTCTGGATCTTACAACAAAGGAGATGAAGGTGATAATTATGTACTGCGGATTCACACCAATTTTCACTGCACTTTTCCTAAATCTACGAAAATTCTATTAATTTCATGAAATGCGAAAATAATTCCCTTACTTCACAGCGAACTATAAAATGTATAATCGTTTCAGAGTCATATTACTAAAACAATTTATAAAGATCAGGCGGAAATTAAGCAAAAAGAGATAGAATCTAGCTATTCATACAAGGAAACTTTGAATGGTATGTATGATCGTTTGGTGTCAACAATCCTACCACTGCTGCAGGTACTTCTGTTGCATCACTGAATTACTCTACAGTTTTCGTTAGCAGGGGGAAGTATACGAAATAATCGTGATGTGGTAATCACGATTTTGAATGTGGCTGAAATAGATCAACACAAAAATTGCGGTATGAATGAAAAGAAAACGAAACCCAGGCTGCTAAATCACTTGAAATTGTGATGGTTAATCGCGCTATAATAGATTGTTGTACAGTGTTAAATAAACGATATATCCAGGATATTTGGGAAAGTGGAAGAGTAAACGGAATTTAGATTCATCTGGAGCATAGAAGTCAGGAAAAGGAAAAGTTGAGAAATAGGAAAAAGAGCTGTCTTTTTATGGAGGTCCTTACGCTTCTAATATTCACCAAAAATTGAATCTTGCTACACTGTCAGCTGTTTCTCTTTGCACGTCGATCGTTTTTACCGCTAAACCCAAATTAGCTCTTCGCATCATTCAGCAAATTTCTTGCATCATATTGCTAAATTTCTTTAAATATTATATACAAATTTCTTTGTAAAAATGAATAAGAAAGCATTTGACCGAAGCCTTTGAAACAGAAAAACACTATGTAAAACATTGGACATGGTTATCGCTTTGATCATTAAAAAAGCTCTTCAAGAATTCCAAATTCTCCTTTCCACTAATCTTGGATGTTGCTCTTCTAATATCATTCATGCTATTTATATATACTTTCAAAAATTTGACAAAACTGCCATTGGTTAGTTTCCAACCCCCTTTTCCCCTCCCTCTTTCCAAAGAAATGGTTACAACTTCTGTGAAGACAATTATTCGAAGTTCTATTTACTTTAAAGTTTAACGTCTATCGAGTTGACTTCCGTTACACTGTCTTGATTGGATTAACCGTTTTTAATTTGTCTAGTTGAAGACTAAAGGATATCCACTGATCCTCTTCCAAATATCTTGAGCAGTTCCGATTTTAGATTCTAGATGTTTTCTGTTTGATCGAATTGGTAAATACAAAAAAGTAGCCCAATTGATGACTCGGATTGTAGGTAGAGTTGATGATGGGATCCTGCTATTTCCAAAATCGGCCACCCAGTTAACATGAGAGAACAAAAACTTATGTCATGAAGTGCGTGAATCATATAGTCAATGCAGGCAATCTAATTGCTCAATATTGAAAGAAAATGAGCGTTAAGCTGAAATGAAATTTGGTTAATATCCTTCCTACTGTGGCATTTTGATTTTTGGTAACATCTATATATTAGCAACCTCTGCATTATATTCTGTGATGAACTTTTGTTATTTTCTGCAAGTTACCATGTGTGGTTTCCTAAATTTCGTTTATCACAATAGAATGAAACATTCTTCACTAATAGGGAAAGATTCAGAAACACAATTCACACGCTTAACATTATATTGTAGGAGTCTCGATGAGATCCCAGGTCACAACCCTTTATTGTAATACACGCGTTCAGGTGGGTTATGAAGCTTATTGATTTCATTTTGAACTTCTGGTTCTAAATGCTTCGTTTCGATGGAACTTAACTGCGGAAAAATGGCGCAGCACAGAGGTGTTGCAAATGTTAAGATGAAACCGGCCACCAATGTTTGTATCGGAGCTGATGCCCAAGGTCGCTTCTGCAATACGACTTTAAGAATTTGGAAAACACCATATATTCATGATATTTATGATTTGGAATGTATTACTATTCACGGACTTATGAGTTAAAAAATACACTTAATTCCTCTGAAGTCTAGAACTTCAATTATATGTTCAAATAAAAAGGAAGATTTCTGTATGTGTGTAGACTTACAGAATTTTGCATCAAAGAGGACATTTTTTTGTCAGCATAGTTTGCTGTTTTTCATTAATAAAGATGAAACTATTTCCTCAGTAGTCCATTATTTTTTTATAATTGAATGTGAAATATTACCTGATACCAATTCGTCTTCACGATCTGATTCATTAGAAGTGGTATACAGACTGTAACATAATGATAACAGCAATAAAAAAAGTTTTTCGTCACTACTTTGATAAGAAATTTTGAATCACTCATTATGACTTATATATCAAAACAACACATAAAGACAGTGAACATACTCGAAAAATACTTACAAAACGATGGAGTAGCCATTGCAATTCGGCTTATCGTGACATTAGTGATAGCTATTCGTGCTACTTTCTTACTGGTGCCCACTTTATTACCGTTTTCATCATTTATCGCAATGCCATCTACCAATTCTCTAGAAGATAATATATGCTCATCGTCTTCAAAAGCTATAATTAAAGTCAATCTGAAAGTATAAATAAAAAATTCATAATCCTAGAAAAAGCCTAGCAGAAGGAGTAGTAGTGAAGGAAGAATAATTTAAATGGAAATATTTCACAATGTAACACATTTCATAAATTTAATTTCTTACAGTTAAACGCCAGTAGGAATAAACCTTTCGTATCCATTGATAAAAATAACGCAAAAAACAAACTTGGACCGCATAAGAGGAATATTGATTGAATTTGCAATTGCAACGGCACAAAATGGCACCAGGCGTCCGACCAGCGGTGGCATTGACTACAACAATAATTGCACTTTTCAAAGTTTTGAGAACAATCATAGTTTCAGATATGTGATAAGTTCAATAATTACCGCCCTATGCTAGGAATAGGAACATGGAATAGGATAAAGATGAATATATAAAGGTGGGACATGGTGTTCTTAAAACAGATAATGTAATTCTGTAACTCTTTAGGAAGGAGTTCAAATGCTCGATTTTTTTATGAAGGATGAAATATTGGTAATTTCCAGTATTTGCAATCAGAAGGTAATGTTCACGTGAAAGATAAAGGAATTATGGCTTACGAGACACACATACTTTTTTATTAGGTTTGTAAGTTTATGCGTTCTTTACTGTCTTGCTTAGTATTTGCCCGCTTCGATTTTCCTCTTAACTAATAAAAAGTGAATTATGAATTCACCTTCACCAATGAATTGAGCCCTAACGCAACAGTAACAGCACCACTCGTAGCGCAGAAATACGACGTTAGAAGTGTTTTGTTGGAAACGCTATCACCCGAACGGTTTGTATAATTTACAATTGCATTGAATGACTGGTTCAACCACTGCCAAAATATTACAGCGCTGGAGGATCTTAAATTTAAGTTTGATATGGTATTTAATTCCGTTCATTCATTATATATCGTAGGATACTCAAAAGCTTTTACTTTTCATTTCGCAAGTCGAAACCTTCCTTTTTTAGAGAAAGAAAATCCAAAAATTTGGAATAGAAATTGAAATCCCACAATGACGACTAACAAAAACAAACAAAGACCTCAGAACAACGTAAGCAGTCTTTTCTTTCAAGCCAGGGCAACCGATTGGAAAGGATTTCTTTGTAAAAGTAATATCAAATTGGAATAGAAATACTATAAGGTTGGTATTTAAAGATGGCGATGCGGGTAATGTGATATGCGAGAAATTTCAAGACCTATTGCTTTCATTTATGGTACATTGAATTTGTTTAGCTTGTGAAAAAACTTCAAACATAACAACAAACTTATAGAAAGTCAGCATGCCGCCGGTTAGGAACATATTGCCAGGTACCTGGAAACTCATACGTCCTGGTAAAATCATAAGTTCATTTGTAGTAGGATGATAAGCAGAATCGAAGACATGTTTTGCATGCCATAACTCACCAACCGTCAAATTCTCAGGCACTTTCTGTCTATATCTAAAATTTAGCTTGGTTGAATTCAATTTCTTTTTCACATCTGTTTCAGAATTCTGCACAACTATAGCAAGTACCTAGTTACCAATATCTTCGGCATTGCACGTATGTATAGTCCTATAATGTTTGACAACTTGATTTCTTTACAAAATTTTTAGCGCTATCAGTATATATTAAATATCTAAGACATACTTATAATCCAGAACGATTTTTTTTGCTTCCTCCAGTCGTTTTCCAGATATAAATAGATTTAACGGATTTGTAGTCACAAAAAAATGGCGCGCACGCCCTTCGAATGTCGATTGATCCCATCGTGGCTTCGATATATTGGGCGGATGCTTCATTTTTGATACCAATTCAGACATTGTTCTCAGTCGGAACTGAATTAAATTAAATTATGTTTAATTAAAGTGGTTGGAATTTGTAAAAAGATAGGAGAATTTTGCTACTCTGATTAATATTGAAATTAGGATGTATACAATTCGGGTAACCTACAGCTTAAAGCGGATATATTAGTTTAAGAAGATTTGAATCCAACATAGACTATGTCTATTTATCGAAATGTTTCCTCAACCTTGCAACATTGAAAGATTGATATATTTAAACAGCATTCAACATTTAATCAGGATTAAGGGTGCATCATGTTGAACCTGAATGGATATTATAAGAATTATAGCATGATATCCTTTCTTCAAAACCAGAATAAAAATATCACACGGGAATGGAGAAATCGAATATTTGACAAGTCTGTGAACCACACTTGCCAACAAATTTAATAATCGAACCTTTCCGACATCAACAATCAGTCCATTTTGATGGATCGTAAAAGATTAGATGATTACGAAGTAGATGGAAATTGGTTTGGCAGGAAGAAATTCATAAAACTTTGTGATATGAAATGCTTCTCAAAAATTGTAGCACAAATGGCATCCTAGCTAACCTACCTGAGTGCAAAGCAGAGAAATCGAGGCTACCCGTCAGGGGATAATATCAATTATGCTTCATGTTCTTACTATCAAGGAAATAAGGAAAAAGGACTCGCTATTATTATTTTCAACTTATGGTTACAGCCTTCCTTTTTCTTTCTTCTCTTCTTTCTTTCTATTGTGTTATCAATTAACTCTATCGGGAGAACGAAGCAAGTATATATAAGAAATGGATGAAAAGATTATACAAATGAGCAAAAGTCAGAAAATTCTATTGGAACTGGAAATGACACGTTACCCAGCTAAGACGCTGAATCGAATTAATTGAATAAATTTGGTATTTCCAAGGGAAGAAATGTGATTGTGGTTTGAGAAGAGATTCGATGAAACCTTGAAAAGCATTGGTATGACTGCATAGAAGGGAAAGACCAGCAAATCACATTTTATGATATGAAAGCGGAGAGATGCGGTGTAATGTAGAGAATGACATGAACAACGGGCTATCATAGGCCGTTGCTGATCATAAATGTCCGCTCAAGAAGATGGGAATTGGAATCCGAACAACACGCTAGTTCATCAGAATTTTAATTCATTATGTAATTGTGGCACTCCGACAGTCAAACATACTACTCCAATCCTTATGAAAATTTTAATCAGTTAAGTGCAACTGTCACTGAAGGAGTTTATTCCGAAGATGAACCTTTAGAATGAAAATTAGTCAGGAAGCAACTTACAATATACCGTCAAAAAAGCAGCAGCAACTGTCAGCAGATAAAATAACACAAAGAATACTACCTCTACCCGTCCGATATCATATCTTCAAATAACTTATTAAGTCTCCTCTTCCTGTCTTTGATCTTACAAATTCGAAAAATCCTCTTTATAGCAGTCACGACAAGTTGGTCCTAATGACAAAAAAATCGTTAGGAATAGTTAACTAACAACAATTCTTGGCGAACTGTCATATCTATAGGAATCTTGGTACATCTGAAAAAAAAAATTCGAGTTCTACTACAACTCCCTACATTTACCTAAACAAAAAGGAGGAAAGTGAGATTTGACAGCTACATAAATCCCCTTCCTTACTGGCGGCTCAATCCCCTTCCTTACTGGCGGCTCAATCATACTGAGTCCAGCAAAAAAAATGTCAAATAACCAATTTTCCAGAATTATAGTCGGTTAATATTTAATTTGAAATTTCAAGATCCAAATTTATAACCGGTTAGATACAGTAGAATAATTTCGGCCCTCTTGTCCCCCGATTTTAAAAAAACCTCGATAGCTTAGTGAAGATTCCACACCACATTTGCAACTACTCATTAACCCTAATAAATTTCTGCCAAACATGTCAAGTTAAAGAACTGGAAAAAAAGACACTCGGAATGAGTAAGGCACACAAGTACGGTAAAAAAAGTATGTTAAAGCAGGACAGCGATTATAGTAATTTCCACGTTAAAGCAATAAAAATAAAACGAAAGAAATGCAACTTTAAACGAAAATGTAAATATGGATTGAATAGGTTTATATAAAGATGGCTGGAACCACCAAATATTTGAAGACAAATACGTTATTCTTTCTTATAAAGTCCTTCAAACTTGAGCATTTATTTAACTGACAAAGCTAACACAACTAATACAAAACACAGCACGTCAAGGTAAGTAGAAATAGACATTATACAGTAAAGTTTGAACTTTGTCTACCTGTATTTCAATGCTTCAATATGTTTCGATAGATTGAAATGTTATACCATCAATCGATATACAATAAATAACGGGGAAGTACAATCTCAAGTAATTATTCTAGAAGAAATCAATACAACTACCTCGGTATTATGTCCAGTTTACAGAACTGACTTATATTAATAATAGGTCATCGGCGAGCACAAAAACGGAGAAAAAGTTGAGGGATCGTAGGACACATTTGATGAAACTAGAAATCTATTATGTTTTTGAATGCTTGCAGTGTTTGCAATATACTAAAAATAATAATAATAATAACAAATATTAAATAGGAAAAGCATTAAAAAACAAAACATACAAAAAATTTAGATGATGAGAGTAAAATTGCAATTTTTACTTTTTCTGTGCAGCAAGTAAATAGGGGCGAACATACCTCACCTATTTCAAAATCCATAACTACATTTCAGAAAAGCGAAGCATTAGATAGATAAGCAATAAATTAAACTTGACATCAAATTCTGTTGCAACCTACTTACACCTAGCCCACAATCCCAGGAAAACTGTGCAAGCGCGCTACAGGTGTTACTTTAACGCTTGAACGACTTCAGTTTAGTACATCTGAGTGATTCCAATAATATATTTCGATGACTCTAACAATACGATGATTCTGATATTACATCCAGTAATTCCAATTAGACACTCCTAGAACTCTAGTGATCTAGTAATATATCTAATGATTCTAGAATACGTCATATGAAACAGATGGCAAAAAAATCAAAAAAGCTTATCGTGAAAGAAGGATGGGAGGTAAGAAGGGAAAAATTAATTTTTCTGAGAGATGTTTTTTAGTAATGATAATCACTATTACTGTAGGAAACCGCCGAGTTAAATAGTATTTAGAAAAAAGATATCCTCTGCAAAATGTCCGAAACAAAATGCTGTTTTTTGAGAAAAATTATGGACTCCAAAATTTAAACGGTGGAAAGACAAATAAATGACAGTAAATTCAGCGAATGATGGCGGTTGCAATATGAGACAAGCGGTTGATATTAAAAAAGCGCTAACAGAGGGAAAATATAAAGTTGAAGAATGCAATGAAAAAAACAATGAAAAATGAGCATAACAGCAACATAAAAATATGAAAAACTATAATGAAAAAGGGTAAGAAAAAAAAGCAGACAATCTTATCTTAAATTCTCTATTTCACTGGTATAACGAAACCTGAGGTCATAGTTCAAGATAAAAAAAGTGATTAAACAAAACGTTGATTAGCAGAAAATCATCACGATCAATTTCCACGGATTATCTTATAATTAACAGTACACAACTTGGAGAATGTTACCAAGTCACGACTCACAATCCTCCGATTTTCGAAAATATGTTTCAGATAAAAATCCAACGAAGCAAAAATTTTTGATAAGATTCGTCGATAATAAATTTATGAATTTCATCATTGCATGTCATTACCTATTTTCAACATGAATAAAAGCTCCAAAAATCAATAACTACACACACAGATACCATCAGCTACCTCAGTGCAGCGAAGAAAAACAACATTACTTAGTTGTTATTCTCGGACAATATTGCAATGTCAACATCATCCTCTAGCTGTTTGAGTTCCTCCTCCATCGCCAGTATATTGCATTTTAATTTATGCTCTTCATCGGTTCGCAATCTAATTTCACTGAAATTTTAAAGCAATGTCAGCAGTACGTTTGGTCGTTAAAGGTATGGTTTTAAAATGTTGAAAAAATAATTTTGAAATTAGTAAGCCAATTTTGTCACATGTGGAAAGCGAACTTCCATACTCAAAATTTGAATGACACTTCTTCGCAGGAAATGGAAAGTCTCCCCAGTCTCTCCTGATGTTTTCTACCAAAATTTTTGGGTCTACCACATTCCGCAAAAAAGGGAATTATTACAGAAAGAGAAACCAACGAAACAAAAACATACTTTGTGATGGCATCCAACTTCTGCTTAAATTCGCTGACGGATGCAGTAATTTTTTGCAACTCAATGCGTTCATTTTGTAAGCGATTTGGCCAATCACATTTCCGTAATGGACTTAGTACAGCTCTTAAGTTTTCTTGTTGTCTTCTCAACTGAAAAAAAGGATGAATAAAAATTTTTAAATGCAAAATATACTGCTAAACCTTCAGGGGAATGCAAAAGAATGAGATGTCTTTAAGAGATAAGTTTGTTGTTCAGTGATTTTGCATAAAAAACTAAGGTTCTCTCAATGGATCTTTCGTGATTGCATGCAGTTACTCCTGCAATTATAATTGTTAAACGACAATCCGTAGAGTAAGAAAGGAATCTTCATATCTAAAATCCATGATCTTTTTATGATCAACAATATCCTATCTAGAGTCAAGCCACCTGAGAAGTTTTGTCATTTTGGAAAATCAAAAGTACCCATGCACAGTACCTGGATAACTTCACGTTGTTGGTCATTGTCGATGGCAAGATCTAGTCTAGCTAAATAAGCTTTCTGTTGTTCGATAATTTGCTTCTGGTTTTGAATCAGTCCTTCCAAAGAATCAGCGCTCAATTTTCCTGTAAAAAACCTAACAATCTTAGGAAGTAAAACAGAAAATTAATGTACATCCCAGTGTCATGTAATACATGACTTTAAAAAACAATGCGAAAATTTTCAAGAATCCATGAGAACATAATTCAAAATAATGTTCACTCAACTGGGTTACTTTCACGTTTTGGATTAAAATTTCTTTGTCGTTATGACATAAACTTTTTTTTATTCCAATTAGAAGAATCATTCTTGTTAGACAAATCAATGAAATGTTCAATCACTAGAAAATGAATTCAAATTTTCCTTTGAAAGAGCTAAAATACGAGAAACTATAAAATTTACTTGTAAAAACATCACTGCTATCGAGATTGATCGGCTGGGATGTTACACAGCTGAAAACAGCATAGTTTTAACGATCACTTTTTTTACCTTTTTTTTTACTCAAACTCCTAGGATTAAGTTGCTCAGTTGTCCAGAAAGGTAAGGAACTTAGAGATATAAAATGATTTTTTTTAAATTGTTTTGAAACAGCAAGTGGCGATGATTTGCTTAGTAAAACAGCCAACGAGAAAGCCGAAACAGTTAACTAACTTGGTAAGACGCCACTGGTGATCGATGGAAGTATTCGCTGATTGTAATGGTGCTAATGATGAAGACGGCGTATTTTGTCTGGATAAGGAAATGAAACGTTGTTCAATTACTTGATGGTAGGCTGTAATGATTCCATAACTTACGCAGCTTTGTTTTGCTTAAAAATTTTTCAAAAACTGCTTAGGGACATGTTCATAATGGAAACCACATGCCTTGGATTAGTGAATGAAGAAAATATGACTGAAAAATGACAATGAACAGAATCACAGCGACTACCCAATCATTCCTCTTATGCTACTGTTTAATCTAACATGACATAATTTACCCGGTGGAGGTGGTCGACTCCTTATTCGTTCGTTGGTGACTGTCTGCGAGCTAACTTTTTGGAAAACTGGACGACACAACTGTTCTGCAAATCACAATAACTTTGAAAACGGTGAACAAGATGCAAAAATTCGATAATGGTTAAGCAAACTTTAGCTAGGCGAAAGTAGCAGTTGGAAAATTATTCACCCGTCGTTGAAGGAAGAATAGCAGTGGGACAGGCAACTCCGCAATTTTCTTCAAAATCACCGCAGGTATGTGTGCTCTGCGGTATAGGAATATCTACTGAAGTGAAAGGTGGTTCTTCCAGGTCTGAATATTCCTTAAATTAAAAGAAACTGTGAAAAGTTTGACAATGAGAACGAAGCAAAATCAATAAAAGATAATATGAGTGATGGCAAGATAACCTTCGTTAAGTCTTATGTTATTGGATGTGACGTATGATTTGCATCAAAATGAATTTTGATGAGCAAAGGATAAGGCAAAAAGAAAAGCGATAGTTACCAGTGGGATCGAATTTCTCTTTGAAGAACTTTCCAGTACTACTTAACCACTTTTTTTTGAAAAAAATGGTCGAAATCAACAAAAACCAAAATTTAAAGAACGAGAAATCTTTGCTTCTTATCAATACATTTGAAATTCGGTATACTTCCGGTAATCAATGGTGAAGATCTAAATTTGGATTTACATTTTTTTCCTTTGTTTCGGATTTTAAACTTCCCTTGTCATGTTCAACTGTGGGTTATGTGAATTTCCCCAGCAAAAAATGGGATCTTTCTGGATAAGCGGATACTTTTTTTGGCACTCAAAAGCCAACTTCTACGAAAGATGACAAAGATGTGGGTAAATTAACGAATGGGTACGGTAGTTGTGGAATGAAGACATCCTGACCACTGCGACTGAAAACAAAAAAGATCGAATAGTGTACCAATCTGTCGTCATTATTAACAAGATAAGTTTCGCTGGCAACGGATGATGGGTCCTCATCCAGATGCTTCAGGAGAAACGTCACGTAACGTGAACGGATACCCCATTTCCGCAATATTTCAAGTGGTCGATCCAATGGTGCCAGACTTCTTTCCTAAACCAAAAAATTAACCTCTTAATTTTAGGTCTTAATTTTTAAGTAGCAATTGATTTTATCACAAATTAATGCCAGAGGAATTCTGCAAATAATTTCTGGAAAGAGCGTTAGGAAAATCTCTTTCAACTGGAGAACTAGCGAGTCCCTAAGTAATTTTTCTTCAGTAAGGTTCTGCATTACATCTAAGAATCTCTTTTAATCTCGCCAAATCGTCCGCCAGATTCTTTACACACCAAACAATGCTTAAACACTCACCGTATTTTGAAAATTTTCAATTAAAACGAAACGACCCTTATGTCCTGTGGCATGAGCGAGGGCATAAATAATTTGGGCGCATGTTGTGCTGTCCGTTATTCCAGAAACACTCCGTTCGACCCCGTCGACGATTACCCTTATTTCCATTCACTTCAATGCTGCAAATGATAATCACGTCAGAATAAGTGGTAACAACGAATATCCACCTTCCCAATCCCAGGTCACTTTGATGGTATTGGTCACTTTGACCGCATTTACATCTTACCCATAAAGAGCATAAAACGAACATTTTTAATAAATTAAAATGATACAATAAAGTTCGTATGTGTCAGTGCATGAGCACATGTGTATTGTGTGCCTATCTGTCTATATGTGTGTGTGTGAGTGTGAGGATCAGCAAGTGTCCTTTACTGATCTAAATTGCCGTTTGGATCGTTAATGTTGTAATGAAGAGAAAGCGGGAGGGTAGGAGCGGTAACAGTAATAGTTTATTCAATCAAGAATAATATTTCAAAAAAATGAAATCCTCCTTTAACAAATATTTTTTTTAAGACTTACATTGACTGTCTCTGTCTCTCTCGTATAAAACCAAGAAAATGGAAAAATGTTTTGGTCTGATCGAACCCAATCATTCCACACCTGCATGGCGCGGAAATAATTGTCACGCAAAATGGAGACTTTGGGACTGAAAGGATCGATACATTATTGATCAAAAGGGGTGTGATGAAATGTCGCATCGCTGGGCTCGGTAGTCCTGGTTCCGTCCATGTCTGCATGTCTATATGTGTATGTGTAGTATGTATGTGTGTATGTGTATGCATACATGTATGTGTATGTATGGATAGGTCGGTAAATGTTTTAAAGTGACGAATGGATGATGCAAAGTCGAGAAATAATCACGTAAGAAAGTCGCTTGAGGACCCATGGAAAGAAAAATGGGCAGCGATGAGGCGGAGGTTACGGAGAAGCGTAGGGAAGACAGGTATCCAACATTGGAAATATAGGCAAGATCGAAATTTGAGTGAGTAGCGTAGAGTTTTGCTCATTTTCCTGATAGCCGCCGTTTCATGCAAAATTCCATCTAATTCATCTCTAATTAATTGCTTAGATAATAATGGTGTTTATTGAAATTTTCGAACAAATACATATATAGGGATAGCAATATTGACATAGCCTAGCTCTCAATGCTGAAATTTCGTGGGAAATCTTCATGACATATGATTCGCCCTGTCTAGTTTAACCTTCGGTTTAACCTTTTAAAGTTTAACCTTTCTTAGTTACTTACCTGAATTGCTACTACCATATGTCAGTTCATGTGTGAAGCCGTGTCGTGTTATTCACACCAGTTCACCGATTTATCACGTCGATCAATGATACACGGAGCTTATGGAATCCAGCTTCGCTTTATTATCCTCATCAGAAATCCGGAGATGCAAAATGGATAATATTCAGGAAATATTCAGGCTATAGTGTTGACTCATGTAAGAGATATTAACTCTTTCAAAATATTCAAGAGAACCAGCAACTTTCTTAACATATTCAAAGCATATGCTGATTTGTTTAACAATGAAAAATCAAAAAAATGTGTTGCTCGACTACAGCGGCATAATTGATTTAGCAATAAATCTTTTGAACAATGCAGACTATAAAGATCGGATATTGTTTAACTTCTCTTATTGGTGAAACACAGGACAATAGCATCAGTCAATGGAAAATTATAATAGATTTCTGGGATGAATTCTTTACCAGTGATGCTTGTTGTTGATAACATAAAACAATTCATTGACAGACTTCAAGGAGTAAACCTTCATCTGTTCAACCGCACCAATTTCTCAGCTCCGGAAATTTTAACATTTTTAAGTCGAATATTTTGATAACTTTGGTAGTGAAATAAAACACATTCCACACAAATCAAGAGTACATTGAAAATTGGCCGTTATTACCAAGGTGTAAGGAGAAGAATAGCAGACCTTATAAATCCATTTAACAGGTAGCGGGAAGATCGTATGATACCGAACCGATTACTTGCTCAACCAATGGCTCACCGAATCCATAACTGATTAAGCAAAGGGCTAATTTTATTCACCGAAGATCGCTACAAAGAAAGAACCAAGAGACATTGTAATCCTAATCAGAGAGCGAAATATGTTAATTGATTATATAATAGGCGAGCTGAGAAAAGCAAACGTACCGGTCATAGGCCGGGGGAACTATATAATTGTGCAGGACTTATTAGCTTTCGCTGAATTTTTGCTTTTTTCTACAAATGATTTAGCTTTTTCAAATGTTTTAAAATTACTATTATTTAACTTCACTGAAGATGATTGATTTATTTAGCATTGCGAATGACCACAAACAACAGTTGTTATGGAAAAAACTCCAGGATTATTCTTTGGCTATTTATAATGAATTAAGTGATCTCATTAATTTATCTCACGCAGAAACATCTTTTTCATTGTTCACGCAAGTAATGCACGCAGATAAAAAGAAATTTGTTGCAAGATTGGGTCCTGAGTACTTTCAGACTATGGAGAAATTCATAAACCAACCTTGTGTTGTAAAGTTGCGTTTATTGAGTGGGTCAAGGGAAGTGACCCAGAAATTAGAAATGATTTGCAACCAAAGAGCAATAGAAAAGAGGAGGACTATAATGAATATTTATTTGCGTTTACTATATGTAGCACTTCGTGTGCTGAAGATGAATTACACATTTTAAGCTGAGAGCCAATAGGTTCTTGGTATGATCGGATTATTAAGGGTTAGGAAATAAATGAAAAGGAACAATGATGGTTACAATGAATATTGAAAGAAGTTAAAATATTGTGCATGTGATGCTCCACTGATATCGCTCCCGTCAAGCCTGGCAACATTACTTCAAGAATCTGGAAAGAAAGAGAGAGAACGAATAATAACTGTTCACTCTCCTTCATTCCAGTGTTAAGGCCGGAATTCAGGGGGAAGAAACCTAAATGCAGTGTTGACTATTTGGAATGACAAAAAAAGGAACGTTGGAATGATAGACAGTATTTATACAGGAGGCTTAATAATCTATAGTACATTGCAGTATATGCCTAAAATAAAGATAAAATAATTAGGTTAGGGATATTATAATCTTGATAATATAATCATTAGTGAAGAAGATGAAGTCTACAATAAAGTGCTCGTCTTCAATGAAAAGTATGATTACCTATTCCATTATTACTCTATAATAACCAGGACTTGCTTCCATTATGATAATAGATAACTTTTTATATGATAAGATCACCAATTTGCACGATTATTAAGACTACTTCTTGATAGCGCCGCTGAAGAGAACGTTGCGCCGTGAATTCCACGTCTTCCAAATCTTCCATCGATATTACGGTTTTTTCAATATATGAAGTACATTATTTATACTGCGCGGAATAATTCCAACAGAGACTAAAAGCTTGCCATAAAATATATTGTCGAAATGTACTAATCCAGGTTGTGTTGGAATGCCTGGGCAATTACTAGCAACATTAACGTCATCTTTCATCATCTATTTTGGCAGCAAAATCTCGTCAGCGCATTCCTAATCCTTGTAAAATCTTTTTTTTTTCTTTGGCATGACCTTGATACCACATCATTATTATAAACGCATCAAGTAGTCATGGAAGAACGAAAATAAATTGCCAGTGCAGAAGAATACGGATTTGCTTTATACGCTTCTGCTAATAGTTGCTGAAATTCGGTATTCGGTATTCCGAATAATCCGAATAATATCAGGTATTGAAGTTAAGCAAACCATTTATCACATTTGTACAGAATATTGATTTATGACAATACGAATTAACTGCCACACATTATATGTATATATATAATGTACGTACAATATAATCCACCAGCTAAATGCACAGTTGATGTAAGAGCACAACATACAGATTAGTAATTGTGGCCAAGCACATAGTTTTGGTGAATTATATGCATTTTAATTCAAAATAATAGACAAAGAAAAAGTTAAATTTCAAAATCTATGGTAAAAAAGCCCCTAGAAAATCAAACAAACCATTTTCCGGTGGAATTTAATGTAAACTGCTGCAGCAAGCTAAAAATGATAAGATGCTGTGTTTAGACTCCTAAAGCTTTCTCAACTAGATGAAAGTAAGTGTAATCGATTTAAATAAGCTGCTAAAATTCCCTCATATATATATATATATATGTTAAAAGTTGGTTTGATGTTGGCAGTGGTTGTGTTTAGAACTTCCAAGCAGGTCTCTTCAAGTCATCCTTATTGCTCAAAGAATTAGACGAACCAACAGATGACGAAGCGGTCTCTTTTTTGGAACGTGATGATGGCTGATGCCCAGGAGAGCTTCGTCTATGCTCGTCAGTCAATGAAGGCCGTTCGAAATCCGGACTTAGCAGACTTCTGAAAATAAGATTTCCATAGCACACTTCCGACATCTTCCAGAAACTTAAGATGTCTTTATCTCAACAGATAAAGCACAAAATCAGCACTCAAATGAGATCCTGATCCATACTTGATGCTTGGATGTGTGAGTTACCTTTTGTCGTCTTTCTGCTTGATTAGATCTACCATCGGTGATTTTGACTTTGTAAGACTGCGTTCATGAAGTCGAGCGGATTGGTTAGGTGACTTTGGCCTTGGTGTACCAGTTACGCAATGACTGAAATGAGGAGTCTATTAAATTCAAAAATTGAAATTAAAGGTGGAAATTGAAATTACTCAACTTGAGGTCAAAAGTTAGATAGGTGAGTTTATTTTGCGTTTTTAATTTTCTAAGCCGAAAATTGAATGGATCAAATTAATTGTTACTGGTAATTATGGAGTAAAAATTAGTACAAACTAACTTACTTTATTTTGTCTTTTCCGCTGTTTTCCTTTTCCTTTTCCTTTTTTTTCTTCCCTTTGGCAGGCTCCTGCCCATTTCTACTTCTCACGCTACCTTTAGCTTCTCCTTGCGTTTCAGTAAGTAAAATTTGTAAATTGCTTGTAATTGACTGATTTTTGGAACCTTCGCCAGCTGTGAAACTATTCTGAAGCGATGTATTGCTGGATCAGAGTAAGATTGAATAAGTGAATTCAAAGTGTAGATTCACAATAATTCTTTACAATTTAAGGAAGCTCTTTTCAATTTTGTTTTTAGTGTATGAAAAACCGAAATATATCCAAATATATTATAATACTGTTGAAAAACAACAAACCGATCTGTTTTTCCTGCTCTCTATTTCTGATTCTCGCAAAATTTCGAGGGCATTTTGCAATTGAGATATGAGAGCATCTTTTTCCTAAATAGTTAATAAATAAACTTTTTAGGTATTTTAATTTAAGAAGCCAGATTGTTTCAGTATCATGAAAGTGCTAAAAAATAAACCTTGACCTTGGAATTTCGGAAATATATTTATATACCATTCTGAATGAAATAGTGAGCAGGTACATAAAAAATTAGCTCACTCCGAGTGCATTTCGGAACTGTTGCATTTGCTTACTCAATTCCAAATTTATTTTACTCGTTCCTGCTTCATTTTCGTCATCAATATTCGTTTGTATCCCATGCGTGCCAGTTTCAGGCCTGAAAATTTGTTGCTAATTCACTTTACATGTAATTTCCTTTGGCAAAATTTTCAGCAAAAAATGCTAGTAACAGTGTATCGATATATATAATTATTGCCAAAATTGGACATTGGTAATTTTATTCAATTCTGATTGGTTTTTAAAACAGTTACAGATAGATGTTTGAGAAAAATTAGCACTTAGCAAAATATTAGTAAGAACCCGAACTTAGTTGTGAGCTGTTGCTGAAGCTTCTTATACTTGCTTGTCAGTTCCGTTTCATGTTTTTTCATCATTTCGATCGTTTTTTCGTGCTCTTTATTCAGATTTATAATTTTTTTCTCAAGGATATGAGCTTGTTGATTTTCTCGCTTCCTGACAAAATTTTAAAGTGCCGTCATAAATTTACACTGTTAAATTTACACTTGTTTATATGTCATTTGATTAAAATAATCTGTGGATTTTCTTTAATGGAAACTTGAAACTGTTTGTTAATTCACTAAATTAAATCAAATTTTACCTGAGATATTCATCCGTCTTTTTGCTGAAGTTCTTAATTTCTTGGTTTTTCTTTTCAAGTTCACTTTGTACCGCATTTATTTCATCCGTCAATTTTTTGTTTTTATCGGATAGATCGGCAATTTGTTTTGCTTTTTGACTGCAGTCTTTTTTCAGCACATTCATATTTGCTTCTAATTCTTTATTCTGGAAATCCGTATTCAGTTCATTTAATGTCTAGAAGTCCCTTGAAATTCTAGATGAAGTACTACAGAAATTCAAAATAGTTTTATGGATTTCAAAAAAAAAAAAAATGCGAAATCCGCTCCGAGAATTGACGGTTTAATAAAACTCAATTGTCATAAAAATAATTTTACTAGCACTGAAAAAAATTGCCTTTTCATTAGCATTGTTTTTGGCTTCTTTGATTTCCATTTCATATTTGGACGTTACTTTTAACGTTTCTTCTTCAACTCGTTCCTCCAGCTGTGCTTGAAATTCTTCTGAAGAATTATGATTGATTACTTGATAATTGATTAAATGATAACAATTATAGCAGATAAGGTGACCATGACATAATATTAATAATGCCAATAATCACTACTACAATATACTAGTAGTAACAGCTGCAAAGAAATTAAGTTATTTTTCGAGCATACGTTCAGGGAAAGAGTAGAGGAGTGTTACAGTCATTTCGATACTCCACAACAAGCCAGGCACTTCGAAATTTTCTAACTATAAATTACTTAAATTACTTTATTGCTCAGCGTATGTCATTGAGGGTGTCATGAATAAAAGTTCCTATACCTCGCAAGAGCTTCTCATTCATTTCCGAGGTTTCTGTACTTTGCCGTTTCGTATTAATCTCTTCACTCATTTTCTGCTCCACATTGGATCTCTTGAAAAGTTTGCTTTATTTTCTAAGTTGAAATAAAAAAGAGAAAAAATTTAATATTATAGAAGTGGACCAGTGGATCGTTATAGCACAATTTTTTTTTCTTTTTTGGAACTTACGAAAGTAATGTTTCGCCGAAGTAATGAGGACTAATCAACTGTAGATTGTTAGCCTTCTGAATCTCGCGACCTCACCATTAATATTATATTTCTCGCTTGCAGCAATAGATGAAAATATAGCATGCGTAATATGCGCTTAGGCACTTAAATAAAACAACCTTGCAACTCACTGCAAGAGTGTTTAAATTTATTCAAGCAAATTTCATAAAAATAACATACCATCTGCTCAATGTTTCTAATATCGCTTAGATCTTGAACACTCGAATCCTTCAGCCTATTTATTAATTCTTCATTTTCAGACTTCAATTTCATTAAATTTTCATTTAAAATTGCCACGTTCTCTCGTTCAGCTAAGAGTTTAGCAATCTAAAAAAAAATCTAAAACCAAGAACCGAGAAAGTAGGACGATCAAGAAATGAATAGAATTGAACTTCTGTATTACCTACCTCACTTTTTAACATCGTCACTTCCTCTTCCCTTCTCAAATATCCCTCTGAATTCATTAATTGGAATCTGTAATGCAATATTGATAACTTATTAATTTGTGCTAGTAAACACATATGTATAAACAATTATTTGATTATGTAACATGGAAACATTTATTAGATTATAAAGGCTGGTATTTCGGATTAAAATTTTCTGTGTAATAGAATTAACATACCCAATTTCACCTTTGATAACTGAAATTTCATCAGTCACAATACGTTGTCGCTCAAGCTGCTCCAATTTTTTTATTTCCGTTTCTTTCTTATTCAATAGTTCTTTGTATTTTTCCACTTCTTTTTTCATTTGGTCGCTTTCATCAATTAATTGCTTAATTTTTCTGACTGTTCCATTATTGTTATCCTGAACATTTGGGAAATTCATTAACCTTATTGGAATTCTGTATCAGAGTAAAATATTCACATTCATCCAGAATTTTATAGATTTAACTGAAGTAATGTTTCAGAAAACTAAAGTTTCGAATACAATTCAGGGAGTTGCAAATCGAATTACAATTTAAATTTATCTAATCAAAAGCAATGAAAATTATATCTAATTTGGATTAGTAAAAGATAAACAGATGGAAGCATAAATATTCAATTGATTCAAATTGGGAAAGAATTTAGAATTGAAACAATACGCGCTCTTGCAATATTTTCAGCACTTTATAAAGAACAACATTTTAATCTTGAATTAGAAAAATAAACATACATCATTACTTTCTACCAATAGATCAAGCTCATGCTTCAATGTATCCACTTCCGTCAATAACGAACGGTTTTCTTCCTTAACATCGGATATTTCCTGAAATGCTAATACTTTCTTTGGAAACAGACAATTCAAAAAACCTTCAGCAATTTCCTGTGCAATTGCTATGTTTAAATATAGGAATATCGATTAGTAGTAGGAAAGTAGGTCGTGATACTGAAATGTTTATAGGAGATGAAAGGAAATTCCAATTAAATAATTGCTAATTGATCCAAGTGTACCTGCTCTACATTTCGCTTTGTATTATGTTCCAGATGATCCTTTAAGCTGTTGTACTGCGATTCGAGCTCATTTAATTTCGAACTGAATTCTTTTTTCATTGCGTATTCGCGCTCTTCTGCTTGTTGACGTTCTTTTTCTAAGAGGCTTTCATAGTGATCCTTTGTAGATTCTTTTTCTTTTGTCACTGATTCGAGAACCTACATATAAAATAATTCAACCGTTTTAATATCACTTTTTTGCTAAATAATATTTTTTGGCATTTTTTTAAGAATCAAAATTCCGAAATGGCTAATTACATGTTTACAGAACTGTTCATTAATGATTTTGATGAGTTCACTAATCAATGTAAAAAATGATTTTGATTATTTGCAGTAAAAACAGGAAAAAACCTAACCGCTTCAAGTGCATTTACTTGTGAATTCTGCAATTTCGTTTGACTTTCGCTTTGACTTTGCAAATTTTCTCGCTCTTTCTCCAAAAATTCAACTTTGTTTTTCAATGCTTTTACTTCAGCTTGTAAATCACGAATGAATGCTTCCAGTTTACTTTTTGCTGTTTCCACAATATTGAGTAAATCTGTAATTTATCCACCATATAATTTTCACCAAACAAAAAAAGAAAAAATGAACGCAAAAGATATTACTGGATTTGCGTTGTAATTCCTCTTCCTGTTGTCGATATTGTTGTTTGGCTTCCTGTAATTCGATTTCTACTTGCGAAAGTTTTCTCAATGAATCGTTTGTTTCGTTGCGAGCTTCCTCAAGCTGAAAAAAAATGCCATTTTCATAGCCTTCTTTATTTTGAAATCCATTCTCAAAAGAAATAGAATATCAAGTGAAATAATTATCTCTTAATTTCGAACTGAATGGAATTTTCATCGTTGAAAAGTCCCGAAAATAAAAGGTAGAAGGATAAGAAATATTTTTTGAAGTATTCTAACGTTATATCAAAACAAATAAAATGAGTACCCAGATATTTCTGATGATCCTTGAATAGGGCAATGCACTAACTCAATCCATCGATTAGATAAATCAAATTTAGCACGATCTAATTATATGTGTCAAATATCGAAATTTGTAACTTTTAATTTCAAAAAGAATTGCTACTCTACCTCTTTGGAAATTGCCACAACTTCTGCTTCCTTTACTAGTAATCGTTTTTCCAGTGCTGTTACTTCATTTTTACATGTTGCAAGTTCTTCTCTACTTCGTTTTGTCTGATCTTGTAACTCTTGAAGACGATCGTGGAATTCATCTTGCCTGTATATACAGGTTCATTTATATGATAAAAAAAAAATGATAAAAAATGATAAAAATGATAAAACAGAAGTGTGAAATGATAAAACATAAAATGATAAAACAGAAATGTGGTTTTGATTTTCTGATTTCGATTTAAAATTTCTTCAGAAACATGGCTTTTTGTAATATACAACTAAACGCTACAAGATATATGTAGTTATGACTATCATTTGTTTACTGCATGTTTATATTTAGCTTATCTGGAAATCTGTGTAACTACAGCAGGAATTCTATGCCCTGAATATAAATATTACCGTGCTAAAAGTTCGTCCTTGAGCGCTTCTTCATGATCTCGTAACGCTTCAAGTTCTTTTGAATACAGCATTTTAGCTGCTGTTAATTCTGTCTCGTATAAACTTTGTGCTCTTCGAAGCTTCATTTCAAATGTCTCTCCTAGTCGCTCCTTTTCAGCTTTTAAGCTTTTTCGTTCTTCTTCCAGTCGTTGAATTTCAATCATATATCTGTAGAAAACATTCGTCAACTGTTTTCAGAATCATAACCATGAATTTTCGTGATACGAAGCAAGAACTGTTATATTTCATAATAACCTACTTCTGTTCCAGATTGAGTAACTGTGACTCGGAAAAACGTTGTTCCAGTAACTGAATTTCCTTCTGATGCTCCTGGCGTAATTTTTCGAGCGCTTGTTCTTTTTCTCGCTCAAATTTGTCCTAGATTAAATTGGGTTCAAGATCTTACCCAACTTCAGGAAGAATGGAAACTAAGGGGAATAAAAATGGCATTTCTGCATTTTTCTTTCCTAATTTCATATTATGCTATCAGTGAACTAATGGCACATATTTTAGAAACAAGGAACTAATTTTTGAAATTTCTATGAATAAGTATGATGAAAGGAAAGGACAAAGAACAGTGAATGGTACTTGTAAAGCTTGAAAGCTTTTCATCCGAGCTTCAAAATCCTTTTTAGCTCCAAGAACTTCTTCACTGAGAGCTATAATTCTGCTAGAATATTCTGCTTCCAGTTTTCGTTCTCGTTCTGCTACGCGTTCTCTATATTCGCTACAACATATATGATAAATTTTACAAGTAATACTTCTCGTCACTTATGCGTAATTGAAGAAAAATTAGTTTTATTAAAACCGCTTCTATAGAATTTTTCGATTCATTTGAAAATTTTGGAAAACAGCCCACTAGTCTTACCTAAATGTACCCATAACATTATATTTCTGTCGCTCATATTCGGCAACTGTATCTTCTAAGGTCTGTATTTTCTTCTTCAGTTCGCTTTCTCTCCCTCGAGGTGCAGCTGAAACAAACTTTTCGTCTTGTATAGAGAAAGGAATTAGGGAAATTTATTATATGAAAACTTGAGTCTCTGAAATTTAATTGGATGCTATTTGACGACCATTGGATTTTGGCTAAGCAATTGTGAAATTTAAAACTTTCTGTAATGCTCCTTAAAAATTGTATTTCTTCGATCTATTCTTAACAAAGGAAAAGACTTTACTTGAAGAAGCCACTTTGAGGATGGAGAATAGCTTTGTAGATTCCTCCGAACTATTTCCCTGATTATTGTTGCTATTTCCACTTTGTACATTGGGTGGTGTTGGCCAAGCAATGATGTCAGGTCTCGAATCTCTGATTACATTAGCTTGTGGCGAACAGTTGTCACACCTTTCCGTACTGTAAGGAATTTGCTAACGTCTACGGACATTCTTTGTTTTGTATGAGACGTTATGAATATTGTTATTGATAATCAAATAGATTTAAGCAGAAAACGTAAAATCAAACCCTAATTTGCAGAAATAGATGGAATTATGGACATGAATTAAAATTCATAATAGAAGACTATGTTGTACTACGATCTTATCTTCGCTTGTAGTTTAAGAAATTAACTTTATTGGTTTTGAGAAGTTATTTGCATTTTGGTACTGTGCTCAGTTAAGTCCACAAAATAATTATGTAAATGAGTATCCTAAAATTGGTTATCTGGAATGTTTAACTAAGCTGATTTTAATGAATAAAGGAACCTGTTATCAAGTGGCTGAGGTGATTTGCTTTTCCGGCGTGGTGATCTGGTACCATTATTACAGATGTGAGGTGATATGGACTGAAGACGGCTGCTCGGTGAACATTCCTCAAATTATCGGACAGATAATCAAATTGAACACAAACTGATTTTTTTTTAACGTTTACCTTATACAGATTACTGAAAATGGAAGTCAATCATTTTTCTTTAACGGTTATATATCACAACAAGCAGGAAAAGAAATGTTAAGATCTTCAACTCCTTAGGAATCATTCTCGATACCACTGAGAAGCTAACTTACAACCGTTTTCACTTCTGTCTAATTTAAGGAAACCACTCATACCCATACATAACATTTCCACTGATTGAAACCTTTTTGCCAGATATTATCGACAAGTAGTATATGATTTTCCTCTGCTGCTTGTATTATGAACGAAGAAATGGAGAAAACAGTTCATTAGTTTCGAACAATAGTTTTAATTTAAGAAGAAGCAATTTAAGAAGCAATTTTATTCTTTCATTACAAATATTTTTCTTGCTTGTTGTGAAACGAAAGATGATAGAAATATTTACATAAAAAGAAATTGGCTTATATATGAATTAATCCAAACGAAGGCTTACCATTTCACTCATATCGAATCATTCGTCATCTGCAATATTTTGAATACTTTTATCAACGTTTCAGTAGCAAAGATAAAATCAAGATAAAATCAGGAAAAAAAATTATAAATTATCAGTTTTTTGTTGATTTTTTTAATTAGATTAATACAATAATGTTGATAACAACTTCATTCTGTTTCCCTCGTTCGGATAATATTTTCTACTACTTTTTTTTCTTATCAAATGAAAACCTATTTTGAAATCTTTTTCGTAATTATGATTATAGATGTATTTGAATGAAGCAAAAAATAATACCAAATTCGTAATATAAATTACTGTTTAAAATGGTAGCCACTGATATCTCTCATTTTGCAAATCATTAAGGGAATTATGTAAATGATTGAAGCAGCGAATTTCTGCTGATAACAAATTTACCTAGAAATTTGTTTAAGTAATGTCGAATTTATTAATCGAATTTAGTTCATGGATTAACGTTTTGCCTCTGCTACCTTTCTGTTGTATCTGAATATACAACATAAAAAGCTAAAGAATCTGCAATACAAATTTTGATATAGTGAAAAGTAATTTAAAACAGAGAAGATAAGCATGAAAAAGAAAAGTTAAGTAGAGAAGAAAAGATGGATTACAAAATCCGTGCTTACCTCTTTTTATAAAAATGCTTCCCTACTGACAGTTTTGACGTCACTCTGTGTTTATCCGTCTTAGATGGATATTTCTCCCCATCCTAACAAGTCAAATCGAAATCATTGCATTAAATAAATTGAAAGTGATCTGTGAGGTTTAAGTGATGCTTACTTGGAAGCTAACATCAATGTACACACTGACTACCTTAGAGAAGTGAGATATGGAGCAATTATTTTTTCCCTTTTATTGAGTTGCATCAAAATAATATCATTTTCGATGTTAAGAGTGATGAGGGCAATAATCGTAAAGAGTTATCCCTGTGTGGTAGTAATATCAATTGATGGAATGCCAAAAGATTTGAGAAAAGATGTGAGAAGATAGGAAAGCACTGAATTAAAAAGGATCCACTAAAGAAATAGTGCTGCTTGAAATCGCTTACACACTTGGAAAATATCCTGCGAACTCTTTGATCGTTGATTAAAATGTGAGTGGCGAAATTCTGAAACTTGGGCCGAAAAGATTTGATGGGCAGTGCAAAGTTTATTGTAGTAACAATAGTAGGGTAGTAGCAATAACACCTTATGCCATGAGGAGGAGAGGAAAATGATGATTGCAAAAGGTGCGATCTGAAGCGAGAAGGAGAATCAGATAGGCTAACTTCGAAGAGATACGTTATGCTTAGGCTTCTAACGAACTATTCCTCATCATCTATAGCACTTTCTCTGTGTCATCTCCGAGAAGCGACGATGTTCGCGTTCTTGCAATTCGTATCCATTTCATAGAACATCCTGATCCTTCTTCATTCACCTATCTCAGTTTGTAAAGTACGAAGAGATGAAAGAGAGACAGACGACGTACTGACAGGCAATTATCATTGAAGTGTATTCCGTATGCGCCTGTTCCTATCAGTTCAACAATGCTTCCTTTCAATTTTTATTAACTAATTAAATTATCGGCCGGGAACAACTGTGGAAATCAATTCTTCATACTGATCAGATGTTGATAAAGAATGAAAAATAGAAATAACGATATGTAACTTTATTATTTCAGGTTAAGCTTTTCCGAGAATTCAAAGTTTCATATATTTCGTCAATGGATTGCCAAATTCCATTCACTTTATTTACTTTCAGCTACGAATTTCTTCAGATATTTTATTACTTTTTCAATTTGAATATAATTACCTTTAAAATGAAAATTCGTCATCAGATGCCATAGAAACAGTAAAAAACTTTCATGATCAAATGTAGACAGCGGTTCTGAATATATTGAGATACCTCAGCCGTATTTTTCCATCTTACTTACGTCATAGAAAAGAAGCTAGCATTACGTAATATTATGCGGAATTTTGCTACTTTTCGACACATTTCGAGTAATGTATAAATAAATATAAAACAAAAAGTAAGTAAAATATGTGTGTGAACTATTTCATATTTAGTTTTCATATTCTTTATACAAGTTATATTAAATTATTATATTTAAAAGCAACGAATTGTCGTTACATTTTTAAGATAAGGGCTCAGATGGTACCACAAATTATAAATTATTATACTAAATGCCATCCGATAATTTAATTGTGTGTTGCACTAGAGGAAAAAAATGTGATCACAAATATGTTCAGACATAATGATATGATGTGATTCATATAAAGCTTAGTTACCTTCTTTCTCCATTCATTTGAAATTATTTTTGTCCATCGCTCAATTCGTGTTTTTGTCCATCGCTCAATTCGTTTTTAATTCGTTAAGCTTTTTCCCATAAATTATATTGTATGGCATCAAAACTTAAATATTTAATTTCAGTCATAATTCATTTGAAAGGAAAGGTTATTTCAGGTTACTGTTCTCCTGCATCTAAAAATTTGTTTGCAAATATTTTGTTTACTTTAGATTCTGTTCAGGGGACAAGCTTATTCCTCAGGTGCTTAATTATTTCAACGGTATTATTTCAACCGTACCCACGAATAAATATAGCAGGATGATTTCTTATCAAAGCCATATTCATTTTAAATTTTAATTCCATCATTTAGATTGATTGCTAAGGTGAATGATGAAAAAAATGTAAAGGGAAAAGGATGATAAAAAGTGAAAAATGGGGAAAAAAGTTGATAGAATTAAAAAACAAATTTGCTTCCACGATGAAAGGCGCAAAAGAGAACGGAAAGGGAATAAACATGAGAAGTTAAAAAGTAGCAAAAGCATAACCAAACATTTTTTAATAACATTCAAAAGTTAGGCCAACTAAAACTGTCCGGACGTTTTCTGAGTCATACTTCACTCATCTATTTCATTGATAACTGTAAGTTGGATTGAGAGAAAACTGATTCAAGTCATTATAAACAAAAAAATTTGGGGAAACTAATTCATCGATTGGATGAGTGCAAATAAGTGGCTAAATATAAAAACCCGTCACTGACTGATTCATGGTCAAATGAGTGAAAGTAAAATATGATTTTATCATTTGAAATTTGGCAGTGAAACTTTTTCTTTTCTAGTGACATTCTTTTCATCTAAAAAATGAAACAACCGCATTCGTTTCAACCATTCTTAAATTATGGTAAGCAGAAAGAAGGAAAAGAGAGAAATAAGAGAAGAAATATATTCACCTTTCAACAGGAGATGACCATATTTTAGCAGTAATTACCTTTTGTCTCTCTAATTACTTAGCAATATGCAATAAATATTCATAAGTGTTATCGTAGTACTCTTTCTGTAGTAGCCAGTGACATTGTTAGCTAAGCAGTTAGACAGTGACATTGCTTTCAAGCTACATGTTCTTGTTTAGCATTTTTGTTCCCAGGCTGATCATCCGCTTTTAAATTACTCCCCATGTAATTTTCCTTTAACACTTTTTTTTTCACCTTCATTACACCGTAGCATTGCAAATCTTGCCAACAAAACTGGTAGAGAAGAAGTCATTTGATAGATAATATCACGCATGCCATTTATATGATATTGTTCTGAAGCTATATGCACAATGAATATAAATGCTACTATTGCTAGTTACACTTAAAGATTATACTTGAAGTTGTTTTCTCTTTTATGGATGAGTCAATGTGAGAAGTAAATTGAAACATCGTTTAAATGTTCGTTTCGTCTTTTTTTAAATTAAAAGTTTAATACAATATACTATATATTAATAGATTATAGTACAATTCGGCTTATTAGTGATGGGTAATGCCAAATATTTTGTTGATTCAAACTTCCATTGATGTCATAAATAAAAAAAATGTGATCCATTCTTTGAAAATTTGTTTAATGTTACTTACTAGTTGATAGTTAAGTGATCGCCTGCCTTATTTCTTTCTATCATATTCAAGTGACAAGCAGTTTTAAGAATTGGCAAATGGGACAAGGGACGAATCATCGTGGCAGCAGGGTCTAGATTGGGAGAAGGAGGTGATTGTAAGATGTTTCCGCTTCATAAGATAATATAACGTTGATAAATGGGATCGCATGCACTGCCTGACACCAATCTTTTCCTCTCATCTTAACATCGAAAATTTGTGTAAACCGGAAGGAAAGCAGGCAGGCAATTATCACAGAATTTGTATTGCGTTCAAAATCTGTGGAGCAAACTATTTCAACGAAAGAGCCTTGTATCAACTCAAATAATTTTCTTCCACAACTTAAATGAAATATGAAATAAATGAATAAAGCTTTGAAGTTCACACATTTTGTGAATTTTAAAAAAAAGTAAACTTTGGTCAGACTAAAATTTTGTACACAGAGTTCTGATTAGCGTTATCTTTGGACTGCAGATATATCAAAAAACAGTGCAGTATTTTGAGAACTCTGATAAAAGCAACAAAATAGGACGGTTAAATTGACTGAACGACACGACGGCAGATATTATGAGGTCTTTAGCTTTCACTTTATGACGAAGGAATAATCACCAAAAGATTGCTAGTGAATACAACTTAGTATGCTTTTCAGCTTTTTTTCTCATTCTAAAACGATTTATCTTCAGGAATGAGAAGTTAACCTCAGATGCAAACAAAATCGGTACTATTTTAAATTTATTCGTTCGTGTAAATTTATTCGTGTAAATTAGATTAAGACAAATTAATCATACATTCAAAAATGAGTAAATTCCAACCAATGTTTGTTTTAAATTTAAGGTGCGATTTAGCCAAGTGAAAATTTTAAAATGCCGAAACAATAAAATTCAAGTTCTAGCATCAAAAATTGTCAAAGTGAATTTTTAAACAATAATCGAAGTGTTGATGAAAAAAGAAAGAAAACCAGCAAGTAAAAAAATAAGTTACAGTAAGGAATTATATTGTTAGTACAGCTTTTTCTTTATTAGTTTTGATAAAGAATTCATTTTTTATGTCGAAGAACTTGTCGTAATGATATGTGCACTAAATGTTTTATCCTAAAATTCGTATCTTCAGGATTTATATTTCTATGTTTGATATCATCAAATTTCCTCTAATTAACAGTGCTTTATCGTTAAATATAAATAGTCTTCAATAGATAGGATTTCACGACAAAAATATTTAATAGATTTTTATTTGCATTGATATTTTCTTGGTTTCTCATCGACGCTATGGGGAATTGAGAAGATGAGGATACGTCTCCCATACTGTTAAACTCAAAAGATCAAAACATTACTATGAATTTAGGTCTGAAATGCATTTGGGACTAAGAAGTAACTGTGGCAGATAAGATTAGGTAGACCGGAAACAGTATTTGAAGATAAGATGCTATGTGTTGTAAAGGTTCTCTTATATCAAACAATTTTTTAAGTTCCAAGAAGTAATGAATGAATTTTAACTGTGTACATTTATGAATTTTTGACAGATAATACTAATGTTCATACTTCAGCATCTCTTGAAATTTCACCAGTATTTCAGGAACTTATAGGTTTGTCGATATCAATTTTCTTTTGACTCCTAAAACTATAATTGATTTATGCAAAGCTAACGTAAAGTCCCATAAAGACTTATTCACTTCTTCATGCATTATCGGCATGTTTCAGTTAATAATTTAATGAATGGGATGAATTTAGCAAGTGATTTCAATTAAGTATTGCAGAAATCATACGGTGTTGCTCTGTTATAAGGCGTACAGTAAGCGATTGTCCTACCTATCAGTTCATTTTAATACATCACTGTTCTCAGATATATGAATAATCATGGCTGCTTACATAACATTCTATTTTTTATTAAATTGTAAAATTTTTTTAAATATTCCAATAAAGTTTCAAATTAAAATAAGACCTTCCTTAATCCAATTTGTTGCATCTCTATTTTCTTATGGAAATTAAGGTTGAAGATCAGAAATCGAGATAGCAGCGCTCGCTATTCTGAAAGAAATTATTTTTTCGTGGAAATTAAAACAAATTAGTAATTGATGTTATGCAAATAAAATAATTTTAAATCAAATCTTCACAACTTTGAAGGGTAATTTAAAAAATTTTTGATACAAGTATGAAGTTGTCAATTACACTATTTATTGTACTCGTTACCGATTGCATTGCATGGCCGAAAAATGTAAGTTATCTTTTTTGGAGAGCTTAAAAGAGAGAAATGGAATAATTTAGATCGTCGTAGAGATTCGCATTTTTATGAATGAAATTTCAAATTGTTTAGCCCTTTTTTGACTTATGTGGAAGTCTATATTTTGTTTCCTGAATTGATAAGAGCAATTGCAGATTGATCAAACAAATAACGATTTGCCAATCGAACAGTTGAGAAGAATTTATCAATTAATGTTGCTCAAATCAAAACGCAGCCGTAAGTAATTCTTAGCATTATCAATAATTAGTAATATCAACCTTAGCAAGAGCAATATTAAAGTAATTGGTGATTAAGGAAAATTACTGATCTACCGGAATATTTCTGCCGCTGCTATAAGATTTTAGTCCTTATTTTTTGACCAGTATAGTTAGTGTAGCTGCCGACATGAGGTTGGTAATATCAAAATATTTGATATGAATAAATGACATTAGTAATTAATAATATATCACTATGGTTATTAATAGAGCTTAGTTTTCAAATAGCAAAAATTGTAGAAATGGTCAAAAAATTCGTCTATAAGTGAAAAAGATTGCGGTTTGATGAATTTTAATCACTTACAAGAAATGTTTGATTTTCCTACGAAAAGCTCTTCGTCTCATTTTACAACTCATTAATTCATTTAATTCATTTATAATATCAATAAATGGATGGCTATTGAAAGTTAAATTTGCAGCAAGCATGGGCTTATCATTAGCAGAATATATGGCAAGTCCGCAAAGCCAGGATAACTTTCATTTTATACCGATCATTCGTCGTTGAACAACTGAGATAATAATATTTAACTTTTCCATGATCGATTTCGTGATAACAAGCAAAAAATCATTTTCGTGATGACCGTATGAACGACATATGAGTTGAAAGCATTTCACTTGACTTTATTAATTTAATTCCATAATTTAAATTTAATTAGAGAGATAGAATTTACTAAATCCATTGGATAAATCAGGTAAACGGACTCTTATGCTGTTTTCGCTCTTCAATTATTTCTTTTTTATCTTTAATTTGTGGTTATGAACGGTGGCGACTTTTACTGATACCAACACTTCGTAAATATTCTTCTTTCAGCACATTACCATCTGCTTTCTGTAGGCAAGCTTGATATCTTTGTACAATAAATTATTTGTTATTAGTTGTGAAGAATCATTTCAAAATTTAATCAAAACGATAAATCACTGAGAAGGAGAAGAGAGGAAAGTTTTCAACGAAGGAATTAATAAAGAGTAATGAGAATTTCGAGGAAATCATGTCCAAATTAACAAAGCTTTCACAAATAAAATTTCATTTTAACTAATCGACAACATGCGTGAATGACACTTTTTTTCTAAATTGAAAAACACTGCTGCCAGTGGAAAAAACTTTGATGAATGTGTAAACAAAATGGTGAATATATTTTAGTTTGCAATCAGAAGCGGTTATATAAAGTAAAAGAGTAGAGACTTCGAGCAAAGATAAAATTTGCAAAGAGGAACTTAAAAACTAGAGAAATTACTTCTTATCAAGGAAGTGCAAGATACAAGTTTGAAATTTTATCGAAAAACAGAAACTGATTACTTTAATACGATATTTCTTATCCTACTCATATTCACATTCAGTGTATTTATCGTAATCATTAATCTCATAAAATGCAATTTATATGCAAATGTGCTATCGCACTTGATTGCTGCATGTTCTTAACAGTATTATGAAAAACGTTAAATATTGAACACTGTAAATAATGTGATATTTGGAAAATAGAAGGAGTTAGATAACATCATAATCATTACACGGTGGCACAAGTAAACTTGGCATAATAACGTGTCCATACGATCGTCCTTCTATTTCATTGAATATCGAAATGAAGTCAATATCAAATGTACGGTATGTTTTCGGTAAACGTATCATCACATTTTCACCTTCATAATTCCTTAATGGTTGATCACTGAAATTTTGCAAAATATTTCGCATCAGTTTTTAGCAATGATCATTTGACAAGATGAGGGTATTATGCTATTATGCTGTATGCTTTATCTCAACCTCAAAGATGATATGTGAAAGTTTGCTGTGATTATTACTAATAAGCAAACTGAAAGCTTAGACCACAGCAAACCATGCATTAAATGTTCCGCAAAACGTAATACTCGATTTACCAGAAGTTTGTTAAATTTCTTCAGTTTGCAAATATCAAATTAAATTAAAGACATGACTAACGGTGGTTGCCCAACAACGTAGGCGCGCACTTGTTTTTCAATCCTGTCAGGAAAATGTCCAATACCAACGTAGAAATATGTTTCTGAAGTGGAAAGCAATATTAAGCTGCTTTGAATTTCTGTAGAGTTCCATACCGCTCTTAAATTCACCAAAGCTTACGAAAAAAAGTGGCTACTTCCTGAGCAGAACAAAAGCTTTTTCAACGAAACACCAGCCAGGAATTCTGACTTCTGCGCTTTTTCAGCTGCTTCTAAGACAGAGCTATCACTGATAAGATATATGATGAAAAGAGTAAAAATGAGCCAAAAAGCGAGAAAAACTGTAAAACATGAGCAAGTAATCCGTGAGTTGTAAATACTTGCAGTACCGAGACTACCGATTTGCGAAGTTTGGATAAATAAAACCTGGTGGATCGTTTCCTTGGTTGAATACAAAACCTGGTATGAAAATTGTATTGCAATTCAAAATTTGTATACGATGTGATGTAACGTTATGAGACTGACCCAAAAGTGCACCAATTTTCTCTTCATGCGGTGGATCAATTCCTTTTAGCGATAACAGTGGGATCGTTCTCTTTAAATAATTTTTTATTAAACTTGGCAGGACCACAAACTTACTCTCCTAGAAAGGTTTGAACTAATAATTCTGCACAATTAAAAATATCTACTTATTACTGAAGCTTTAACAAAAAAGCACTGAGAAAACTCTGGTGACCAAAGATGACTCCAATTACCCTGAATTTTTTGTTGACAACGTGCAAATTATCAAAAATCAAGTTTGTGAAAAAAGCTTCGTAAAATTAATGAGCAAACCTGAGCACAGTGATCACGTAAAGCAATCCACTGATATTCCGTTATCTTTGCGTTGTTTGCAACCGAAAATACGACCGTTTTATCCTCAATCAACGGTAGCTCAAAGCGACGATCGATGTGTACTTTGAGACGAGGCTCAGTTGTCGTAACTGTCGTCACTGCTCTATGGTCCAAGTTATTTTCGTGTTTATTCTGAAAATTCTTAATAAGAAAAAATTATTGCTTCATAGTCTCAAATAAACATACCTTCTTTCGAAGTTCCATGCGTCTTCCTTTCGTCAGTCTTGGATCTTGGATAACCCAATATAGCGGTGCCGATTCCCTGGATAAAGGCATCGTGGTAATCGCAGTATTTTGCGTTGAAACGAATACCACATCTTCATCTGTTTCGAGGAACTTATCCGATAATAAATAGTCATCTGTCGCTGATTTTTCCTCATTATCTGTAGATACGAGTAAATCTTCACATATGTTCCATTTAAATTTTTTTTTCATTTAAATTTTAGATTCGCAAGCAATATCACTTTTTCTTATATACTTACCTATTCATTTGAATCAAATCATATCAGCTACAAATATAACAATACTCATTAATTACCGACTTTTTTTATTCATTGATTGGATGATAATGATGGATCATAAATGAAATTTTAGAAGCAAGAGATCCTTCTAAAATTCGATAAAAATAAAAATCTACCGCATTACCAATATACCTTTAATTCTCTTTTCCGATGTTGATTGCCGTGATGATTTTTTGGCCCATTTTTCAGATATAGTTTGACCAAGCATAACTGGAAACCCTTTGTCCTTTTGGTCGAAATTGATGGATTTTTCAACCTTCTTCTCATGGTGCGGCAGTAATTTTTCCTGCCAATTCTAATGTTTGCAGATTATGAAATTCAATAATAATAGTTGCAGGAGAAGGGAAGAAAAAATTCCAATATTCTTTAAGTTATGCGATGTGACTGCTTAACTCCACTGACATTATGACGAGTAATTAACTACCTGTTTTAATGGATATGCATTTCGCTCATGTAAAAAAACACCATCACTTGCAAATATCTCACCGCTATCACCATTTTTGATAACATCTTTAATTTCATTGTCAACTTGTCCTTCTTTATTATGTTCATTCCCTTCTGCCGTTGTCAAAAGCCTTCAGAAGTAAAAAGTTGAGATCAAATCGTCGAGTAGCAGAGAAGTAACTAGTTTTATGTAAGTTTTAATAGTTTTTTCACGAAATTTGGAAAATAAGGTATTACCAACAATAACTTTAATACTTAAATACAGGACTGAAAATATTTTAGAAAGATAATTCTTCGTAATCCGATTTCCCAATTCCCTATATGTCGTTGAATAATGTTTCCCATTTATACTTATTTTAAAATTTGATTAATTATTAAAAAGTTAGAATTGATAATAAAAACTCGCTTCAAAACACCATTTGAGGACAGTGTAGTCTCTACTCTGTCACCATTTCCAAATACAGCATCGGTATGGAAATCTTCAGATTCACTCCTTATCGAATTGATATCATCAGGATTGAATTCTTCTGCTGCCCCATCGAAAATCATGATTAAAAAAATAGGAAAAATTAGATAGATATGGATTTCCTGATATTTCAGTATCAAGTTCTTCAGGCTTAATAAATGTTAAATGTTAATTCCCTCGACTCCTCAAAATAGCATTTCCAAAAACCAGAAAATCTGAAGTCCGTTTTAGCCCAATCGCTAGTTCTATTATAAAAGAATTGATTTCCTCCTGTCCTATGCTATTACTCTTCCGCCTATCTTTCCTGTTTGCATACCGATTATCTCATTCCGAGCTTTATTTTCATGTTTTCTCACTACTATCACTGGAAAATAATAAGCAAAACTTCAATTACTGTTAGTCACAGTTGTTGCATTTGTATTTGTAATGATGCTAATGGTAGCAGGATTTGATTGTTCAAATTCATTTCCGATTTTCCCAGATACTTCACTGCCATCAAAAATATTGGTTCTGAAATAGTACAGAATGAAAGGAGCTGAATTTAGATCCTCAAAATGATGTCAAAGAGTGAAGAATTTCAAAAACATACGCATTTGTATCAAACAGTGTTATTTCATTCATTGACTCTGAAGAAAAATCATCCTGAGTTGTAGCGGCTGAGGCGAAAATTTCACTGAAGTTCCTAAAATCAAAATAATTCGATAATTTAATAAATGGGAGTTAATGTTAGTTAGCAGATTAGGGATAATTATTACAGTGACTTATTATTGTCCAAGCTTACAAAGTGGGTTTCGCTTAAGTTATCAGGAATGCTTAGCACTATATATGAGGTACTATGATCGGATCTGTCTCTAAGACTGATATTCCATGTTGAATAACCATGCTAAATATAAAACAAAACAAACGTCGTTGATATTGTTGATGAATTTACAATTTCAAGGCTAATTTCCTCGATATGGATGTCTTTTGTTTTCGGAGTAAGGTCCTCCGATGAATTCATATCGATTTCAATCCCCGCAAACGGATCTTTTTGCTGGACCGGTATCAGCTCTTTGCCATCTTTTTGAATGATTAGTATTAACATACGTCTTTACAAAATTAGTAAAAGCCATTTTTATCTTACATTATTCTCTTTTAAAGTCACGAATCGATATTCTTCAATAATGAAAATTAAAATTTTATTCTCAGCAATTCATCACATACTTTTTCCGAGATTTCAAAGAAAACCTTTTCGAAGTTCGAGATGATCAAATTCAACGGGCCAATTACGCATGCCGAAAATAGAGAAAGGCACTTGACGAGTAAATCGCCTTCTAGTAGTGTGTTGGGATGCTACCATAGTTTGTGTGATCGACAAGAAAACACCGCCACTAACCGCATTACGATCAGTTGTACGTGGTGGTCCAATTATCATTGAAGTGCCTAAAAAAAGTAATTAATTCCAGAAACCTTTAAATTTTATTTTAAACGGTCACTTGTTTTAAAAAAGTTAATAATCATTTCAGTAACAGAGTGGAAGGAAAATATTATCTATTTCAGGTAATATTTTGTCTTATCAAACATTTATATCAAAAATACCCGAAATTTTTGGACTTCTGCGAAATCATTCATAGTGAAGGTGAAGATATGGATTTAATGATCATTGGATATGTGAAGTATCAAACATATATACATCCTAGTTGACGTGGTCGATGTGTAAAACGATGAAAAATGATGGTATATTCATTAGCAGCATATGCTTCCGCTCGTGTATTACCATCACTGTAATGAAGAGCACCAAGTGGTACTCCGTAGTAAGGGTTGCCATTGTTCTGACCTGTAAGTTATTATAATCAATCTTATGACCTCATTTTGATATTATAAAAAAAGAAGACAGGTACACCTGTATTCTGTGAAAGTAATGTTTAAAATTATAGTATTTAAAATTTTAAGTCGAGCAATGTTATATGCCTTTTATTAGGATAATCTTCATTAGGATAAACTTACTGGTTACGAAAAGTACTTGTCCCGAAGAAATTACAAGCAGTAACGGAATCATTTTCATTAACTGTAATTAAAAACTAAAGAAAGAATTTAAAATAAAGCGTTGAAGAAACTTTGCATCATCATGCATTTCATTCTGCAGCGAATGCCAAAAAAATGTCATACAGTAAGCTTGTTTTCTTTATCCGTCATAATTTTCAAATTCAGGATTTGGGGCACTTAAAAACTGCCACATTAATAGCAAGGTAGAATGGCGTGCTTCGGATACCGAAAAAAAAGAAAACAACTTTCAACAGTGAAAAAAAAAAACTGATAAATGTGAGTGAAGGAATTATGTACAACTATTTATAGTGTTTCAAAAAGTTTGGAATAGGAAGATTTGAAAATAACATGTCATTCAAGGTGGGATAGGTAGGACGTATGTTGTAACAATATAGTGTGCCGAATTTGGAATGCACTCTTTTTTGTTTGAAAAGGTCAGTTTATTTGAATAGGACATTGTGACCGTGTTGACGATGACGATATTGTTAGAGTGCGATAGTTTTAGTATCGGTAAAGATAATAAAACCGAAGATGGTAATGATAATAAATTGACGACAGGGTTGTTCCTACCTTTTTGTTGATCGGTACGGATTCATGACAGTTAGTGAAGGAGATGAAGATAACACGCATAATGACATAGAAACAAGGTCAGCCCCACACGATGCCCTTTAAACAAATTAAAAAAAATTGTTATTTTGACTGTCATTGAACTGTGAAATCTTTCTTTTATTTGATAACATTAAAATAGGCTTCCGAAAGAGCAACATCCATTTGCCATCAGATTAAATTTGTTCTCACTTATCCCATTTTTTGAAACACCGTTCCTTTTCTCCTTGAGTTTTTCACGCTATTTCATGCTTAGAATACTGTTCTGGTCTCTCCAATTTTCTCTTTGAAGTAAATAACATATTGTAGTTACCAGTTATTGTAACGCAAAAGATAGCAATTATCAGTCAGGAAGATAATTGTGTTTATGCAATGAAAAGTTTATTTTGTTCATAGGTGTTCCCCCGTCTAAAAACGGAAACTGGCAAAAAAAGGAAACTTTGAATATTTATCTGCTAGTGATAATCAAATCACAGATCTCCAGTTCCTTGCTGTCAATTTTATTTTGACAAAACTATCTGATATGAGAAATGAAAGACGTTCATTTTACTTCATGCTATTGAACTTCATTACGAATAGGAAAAATTGAAAGTGCAAAATGTGTAAATAAGTTTTATATTAAAAGATTTAAACATTAAACATGGGATACTTCCTTATTAACTCTTGCTGATAACTCTTTGTTTTCTTCTAGCCTAAAAGATGCAATACAGTTCTCAACGTAATAAATACACAGTGTTTACAGGATTTTGTTCAGATCCGAAATTTTTAACCCAAACTCTAGTATGCAAGGTTGAACAATAGAAGAAGATTAATAGAATAATTCTGAAGGGTATTTCTTGAAAATAAAAATATGAGCATAAACCGCGTGTGGAGAAAAGAATTATGCTTTTTATAAGGCAACTTATGTAATAGTCAATGATGGCAGCGATGATATACCATTATGTGATGAATTTACTGTAAGAAAATCGTTATCATCGACAGTCAACATTCAGTATTCTTTTAAAAAGGTGGAAAATAATGAAATTACATGAATTTCGAAATCAAAATATGGGTATAAATAATATACAAGGAATTGGGCGATAGCGATATTGGGCTTATTCTTCTTCTTCCTCCTCTTCTTCAACTTCCTCATCTAAAAATTTGAATAAACAATTTAAAAAGTGCAGGAATTCTGGGTAAGATTTTAAATTTAAAATCTAAACATACAGACAGCTCTTTTATAGAAATTCATAATTAAACTTTATTCTCTAATTTTTTCTTTTCAAAGAAAGAAAACCGACCTCCTTCTTCTCCCTCCTCAGCGCCTTCCTCTTCGGCAGCGTCTTCAGGAGGTGCGGCCTCTTCCATCGGTGCTTCTTGCTTTTTCTCTTCCGCTTCAGCGCCACCTTTATCACTACCTTTTTTAGACCATTCGGGTTTGTCGGTCTTCTTTGCCATCTGCTAAAATAATGAGATGAGGAAATGCCATAATGAAACAACCATTTTCCTCATGCAGTTTCTGCAGGCAAATTGCATGCAGATGTAATTATAATGCAGAATTTCTAGAAAAAAAACGAACTTTGTTAACGATATCATCGATGACGTTTTCTTTTTTGACCACTTTGAGATTTGCTCGAAAGTCTTGCTTATCTTCTTTCTGCCCCGCCATTTTCTTGAATCTAAGTTACCACCATTTAAATTTCATGCCAAGCTGAATCACTAGATCAGACCTATGCAAAATGATCGGCTATAAAGTTTACAGTGCAAGATAATTCATAATAAAACTGCTTATCAATCTTATCCTAAATCATTCCGAAACCTTACTTATTATCATATTTTGATACTTTCTTGAGAGTCGGTTTCACGAATTTCCCTCGCAGATCGTTGACAGCAATTGTAAGTTCATTGATCTGAAAATATGGATAAAGTATTTCAGCCCGCTCTTCCGAAACGTAATTTGAAAGATGAGGTCAAGTTTTTTAATTTTTTGCTCAGTTATAAAATATTTTCAAACGGATAAAATCTGCATACTTCAGCATCTTTAGCCATGACCGCTTGGTTAATATCGTATTTTTCTTCCTCCAATTTTACCATATGTTGAAATAGCTGATTGTAAATTGCTTCCAATTTACCTGTCAGATTCAGTGATTTTAATTTTGAAGTTTTTCTCAAATCGGAAAAGGTTGTTTTAGTTATCAATGCAAAATTCTTTTTATGATTTTTTATGTGCTCAATATTTTTGCTACTGATACGAGTTCTTTGAAAAAGTGATTACTTGATGTAAGAAGATTTTCCGTGACCAATAAAATTTAATTTTATGTTACCGTGATCTTCGATGGTGTCTACATCTGGTAATGGTATTGTGCGTTGTGAGAGAACTTTTTGCCTTTCCTGCTCTTTCAGTAATTGTTGCTGTTTCAGATCTTCAGCTGCTTTCATCATAAGCAGCTTCTAAAATCTTTGAAATTTTCATTATAATCAAATCGGTTTTTCGTCATTTCGATTAATTTCAGTTTTTTAAAATTAAATTTCATTTGTTTAAGAAGCTAACTCACAATGTCCTATAATTGGCAAATTTAGTGATATATTTCCGTAAAAGTAGCATTCATGAAGCTTACACGAAGTTTTTTCTTCCTCTCTGGTGTCAAAAAGCCCTTTTTCGCCTTTTTCTTGCCAGCTTCTTCCAGGCGCTTACGCACTTCGGCTTTCTTCATTTCCCTTTCCTCCGCTTTCCGTTTAGCTTCCTGCGATAATATTCATGAAAATAAATCAAGAACAAAGCAATTGATTTTCACTGCTAAATTTTTTCACCTACTGATTTTTAAGAAGTATTTCAACTCCAAAACTGATAATTTGGATTTTAAAATTTCCTCCGATTGAATGAGTAATTAAATTTAATGAAGACATCGAATCCTAAAAGAGATAAAACCAATTTTATATGCTTACAGAATCATCGTCTTCGCCAAGAGGGCCGCCATATCGTGGACGATCGTCACACTCAGGTACTTCATATCTCTTATTTTCATCTATATCCATGCTACAATTGTTCACAAATAGATTTTTTTCTGATTGAGTAAAAAGTTCATCTGCGAAATTTAGAACTGTTCAAATTAGAATATGGATTCTTCATAAAACCTTTAACTTAATAGATGTACGCATAATATTCATTCATTTCTGAACTTCTTCTTCAAAAAATTATTACATAAGTGAATATAGAATGTAAACACAAACTTCAATATTACTATACTTCAAAATATCTCTAGATTATTTGAGCCAGCCCGTTTACTAATTCAAAATTTCGCGTTCTATTTACATCTAAAATGCATAGTTTATAATTCAGAATGGAGCATGCTCAAAGGTATAAATTTTGGATCTGATTTTTTAGCTTAAGTGAAAATATTTGAAGTAAATATCACCTCCATATTCACTCGAAATTTATATGTGTTTTCTAGATTTTGCAAATGTTTTCTCGTATAATTCCTATAGAATCAAAAAGAAAAGATCATATACTATTGATAGAACGGCAGTAAAAAGAAAGCAGTCGAGAGTGATGGAGTCGATATTCTTAAGAACTGAAAGCAAGAAACGTAGCATCGTTGATGAAATTTCGTTGGTAAATCATTCTTAACTATAGCCTCACCGAGCAAGCAAACATAACGTTAAAACAAAACAACTGACAAGCCTCTACTGACAATACATCATGATTAGCTTGGGCGGAATTGCGAACCGATAATTTATCTTACTCGTCATCGGCTTTTACTAATATTTCGAGCAGTTTTCAGCATTAATAATTACAACTTCTTTTCTCCATTACTCTTATATGTAACCTACTTTCCTTTTCACCGTCTCATTCCCGCCTCAATTATTATCGCAACTGATCTAATAATAAACAAAAACAAACAAAAACATAAACAAGAACTTAATAAGAAATTAAGTAGAAAGAGTAATGAAAATTAGCAGAGCTTAGATTTGCTGATTTGATAAGTTTGCAGAAATCTTAACTGGCTTTTGATTTATTCTATAATTGAAGCTAAATCTCTTTAATGGGGAGATGAAAAATGTTAATGGGTAACAGGTATTTTCTAAAGATTTATAAGTTTTAGCTCATGAATGAGGAAATTTATTTACTTCAGCCGTATACTGAGACAAAAATTAAGTGTGTTTCCTACCTAAAGATGTAATTTATAAAAATCCAAATGGAGAACAAAAATTTTTTCCGAAGTTTTCTTAAATATTTGTCAGTTTCTGAATTGGAGGGCATTTAACTTAATATTTACTTATGACATACAATCGAAGAAAAAGTAGAATGCGCAATGATCAAAAATTCGTCGATTCTTAGCGAAACATTTCAATCAGAAATCGATTCGGAAATTTTAGAGCTATATTCGACTAAAGGAAGATTATAATAGTTCAAGGATCACCTTGTAATCTATGCCAGTAACTTAGGCTAATTTGGTATAAAGAACAAAATACGCAATAACCATAATTATTCGTTAAAAAATCGCAAATAATCAGTACAAATTTTTTTAATTGTTTGAAATTATAATTATCAATCCACTGCTCCAGGAATGAGGATTGAAACCTTTTCATAGTATCGCACATGATATCGTAAGAATCTATAATTTCTAAAAGTTGAAAAGATCTGTACTGTTAAAAATGTTTTTTAGGATTGCTCAACGATAATAAGAAAAAATATCCGGAGAATATTCCATTCAATTATATGAGAAAGGCTGTGATAAAACGATGAATGAAAGGCTGAAGTGAAGGACTGTATCATTTTGTCGGCGGAAACAATGAGATTGGTAAGCTTTATAGCGGGATTTAATTTAAAAAAAAAAAAAACCATCAGTGTGCATATTGGTAAGAATACGATGGTCATCTCTTGTAAGTAAGCTTTACAATGGTCTAAACTAAGCTACATTTCTTTCAACTGCATCATCAGAGAGTTTTGCTCTTCCTAACATATCGATCTCCTCCTCTTTCTTTCTTCTTGCATTATTCTCGAATTTCTTTTCTTTAAAATATTCTTCTCTCTATCGTTCGCTGAGAGAAGCTATCATTTCAATTTTAAAGTAAGGATAGCTTTCAGGAAGCAGGAAATAAGCTAGGAGACTTTTGTTGGGCACACCTGTGGAAGATGCTATTACTAATCATCGTAAAGACACAGCTGTATCTGCAATTCACCAACTACTCCAACAATATCCTTCCTCTTTCTTCCCATCTCTAACATTATCTACGGCAAAGCAATTGCAACCCACGCTTTTCCCTTCTAACTTTGAAATCCTTAAGTTTATCTGTACAATCTGTGGCTAGACTCTTGCAATTACTTCTTTTCTTTTCGGAATCTTTCACTTCTATGCAGTAAAATTGCGCTTAAAATGTAATTTAGTGAACATATTTCAAGAATTTTTCAAAAAAAAGAAATCCTCCAAATTTTATCTTTTTGTTCAATTCAAGTTGGTATTTATGCTATAATTTTGGGGAAAAATTATGCTTTATTCTTTAAAGGGGCAATAAATCCCACAAAACTATTTTAACTATTTTCTACTACTAGAAGTTCTATTAATTTTCAGATGTCAGCAGTATTCTTACGAATATATTGATTTCACAAAATTACCGCATCCAAACAGCATGCAGTAGGCCTACGTTAAAGTATTGAAATAATGACATCAAAGAATTTTAAATTTTTGTTGATTTAATGAATTAACATTCATTAAAACGTGATTGTACGTGAAAAGAATAATTCCAAGTCTCCCGCTCGACTTGGAACCAATTTATCCAGTTCATTTAAAAAACTAAATAATGTTTTCTCGATTTACTGAAATCAATATTAAGCCCATATCACTGAACATATTTTTTTCTCTCTATGTTTTACAAACTTTCGTATAAAAAAGAGTGAATCTCGTTGTGAAACAAATTTTATGCTAGACTCGAAAATATTTCACACCAGTCACAATGATTATTTTATGAAACTGTTCCAAATCACATAAGTGCAGTACCATTTTTCTTGTCGTAAGTCAATGCACTTATTACCAGAAAATATTTTTCAAACATCAAAATTTTTATATGCACATTGTGTACAATTAATAACACCTATTTTGTATTAATGAAATTCGTGACTGATTCCTCAAATTCAATAATGAGAAACATCGAGTATAGGACGAAAAGCTACCAATAGCGAATCTAAGGACAATATGTTCTACTTCCATATCTTCCTTACATGTTTTCTCCTCCACTTTATGCAATCCAAACTGAATGATAGCACGAAGTTCGTTGACTGATTGATTGATTCCTAGTTTAAATTTGCTATTCTCAGGAACCACTGCAAACTGGCCCATACTGCGCATGTGACTGCTCCTTTGCTGGCTGCCTGAAGCTTTATGAATTATAAATACCATTCACACCTTTCAAACTATCTTTTCCCTTCTATTTGATTTAATTTCCAATTCTTTCTTCTCTTACACTAAGCAACTTTCCTTCCTCTTTTTTTTCACTTCTCTTTTCGTCACCTGCGAAGACTTACTTTCTTGGAGAAGCTATCCAGATCTCATGCTCCTGCTCTTCCTTCAATTTTAGCATTCTGTAATGGCATATACTTAAAACATCTACTAAAAGGAAATACGTATATGCACATATCACATCAATAACTTCTACACATACATGTAATCATGAAATAGATTATCTTTGTGGGAAGCATAATATAATACACTAGGAAGAATAAAAGCCTTTCCTAATTTTCCAAGATATATTCCTAAATTAAGTATTGAAACTATTGCCGTGCTTAAAATATGGAGCGATTGGTAAGAGGATACTTGAATTACACCCACTGAGCAGAAAAGATTCCTCACTACCCTCCTCAACTAAGTACGTCAATACCTGCTCATTCCGGAAGCAATCATCCTTATCACTCCAGCAATATATAGGTATATATTGCAATATATATTGGTGAATGGCTTAAGGTCAATCCTAGATGGCACACTCCATCACTTTTTTCAGCTATTACTGAATTCTTTCCTTTTTCCAGTATCAGTTTCATATTGCTTCTGATGTCCTTTCTTTAACGATCAGTTGCTGCGATGCTAGTAAGATCTTTCTTTCAGGACAACTCATTCCGTCCAACTAATCTTATCCGGAAAGAAAATATTCCGCCGAAACTTTCGACAGATACTGTCAAGTAGAAGTGTGAAAATGGAAGAGCAGACCAGGAGGTGATGCGGTAGCGATTTGAACACTTTTTGTTTCATGGTTGGGGTGTCGGCCGTCGGTATTTATATACCATTATTAAATAGTTAAATTTTTCCCAGTTTAGTGAGGGACTTTGAATTTCTGTGTCGGGATTCTCGTTGAATCTCTCCCTTATTATTTGTCCCATTTTTCCTGATATCACAGATATTATCAGTGTTACACATTATTTGTAAATTCTCTGGATGAGTTTCGCTGAATCGTCCGAATTAATCTATGTAACATTTTCCATTTATATCTAACAAATTGTTGTTAATACAAGAATCTTATCAGTGCTATTTATGTTATTATCAATATCAAATTGAATTGGTATTAATAATGATGTTGTTAAGGATCGAATTGAATTAATCTAAGATATTAAGTATGAAAGACAGGCTATCCGATTTGCATCAGGTATGTTGATTTGTTGTTTGGTTCCGTTACCTTTTATTTTTTATTATTAGGAGTACCGGGAGTTTTTCCTGCTGATAGTGTAGCTTGGCTAACTGTTGAAAATGACATGTGACCTATATCAAGGAGCTTAAGAATGTTGATTTCATACATATATAGCCGTAGTATTTTTCTCAATTTGGGAATTCTAAATTACATTACCGAATAAAGTAATGTTGAAAATAAATGTAGACGAAATTTTGAGGTATTTACAGAGCTCTAAGAAGGAAATGTCATTGTCCGCTTTGGTGGAGCGGCTGGACGAGGAATGCACAGATACATCCGAGAAAACGAATTTGTTAAACAAAGCTAGTAGCAGCAAGGTCGACACGGTATGGAAAATTTCGCCATGGTTTTATCATTTCAAGCATTGGTCAAATCTTCTAATCCTCTCCGAGCAGCCACAAATTTGACATAAATCTATTCTCAGCTTCGAGGAAATATGCAAATTACTCTTCTTATTTTCAAATAACATCACGTATTTTAAGTTTCTAACGCGTGTGGATAGGTTGATAAATGATATGAATGGAATGGAAACGTTACTGGATGAAATAAAAGATTGGCATTGGAAAATCATTGTGGAACCAGGAGATCATCCTGGTAAACGTAATTTACCTTATAGTTTTTGTTATAATCGATGTATAACTGATTTTTTTAATTGATCGGGCGTCCAATTTAGAATAGCCAATCTAATGTGGACTATTCGAATTAAGGAAACAGTTTTCTGTTTATTATTTCGAAAGCTTCTTCAGTAATAAATACAAACTGAAAAATAATAGTTTTAAAGTTCCTGGAGTAGAAGATTCCATGACCATTTTTGATGCGAGCTGATTTATCATAGGTGTGGATAGTTAATTTTTGACCCCACACGATTTTTACCATTAGAATAGTGAAATGATCTGAAATAAATGTTGCAGAAATGAATATACGGTTAAATGACGCAGTGGTTTCTTACACGACAATGCTTTATAAAACTCAGGCTGCTCTTAAGAGTAAGTGCATGCAGTTGTTGACAATAGATGAATTAATGGCAGCTTTTTTTTGTGTATAAGTTTTTTTTGAAACACTTTTTATGGCTTTATTAAGGTTTAAATGCCGAAGTCGATCGGCAATTTAACAAATCAACAGATGAAAGTGCTCAAACGGTGGAGGCACGTATCAGAAGAAACCAGGTAGTATAATATGACATTTTCGATCTAAACTTTTGATATGTATAAAATCATCAGTCATCTTGTAATATCAGTGTAAATAGCTTTTGTAATTATTTTCAAGGCTTCAAAATAATTCGTTGATTTCTTGTTATATTGTAATATAAATTTTAAGGTGATGACGCTAACAAAACGGCTCCAAGGTCTATTGATTGTTTTCAATGACGAACAGTTAACATACAAAGATAAATGCAAGCGGAAAATTCAGTCGTACTTGAAAATTTGTACGCTTCTATTCTTTTTCTTTAATCATTTTCATGTTTTACTGTAGTACAAACAAAATACTGCAATGTTTGGAAATTATTTGCTTTTCTTACATGCTTAGTTAATTTACATATTTATATATAAATATAAATTAGCTTAGTTAGCTTATTTACATGCAAGTTTAGCTTCAGTTCAGTGTAATGCTGAAAACTTGTAACCTGTTAAATAATAATACCGTTAGCTGACAACGCAGTGAACGAAGAAGATCTCGAAGCGATCATCGAAAAAGGAACTTTATTTGAGCACACAAAAGTGGTTAGCTTTTTTCTTTTTTAAAGTTTATCTCTTGTTGGAGCACATTATAGTGCAAATTGTGAACGATGTCCCGCAAATAAATAAGGTTTTCTAGCTGATGTTGGCGGAACGGGATAAGAAAGCTTTATATGATGAAGTAAAGACACGTCATGAGGATATTGTGAAATTGGAAAGCAGTATAAAGGAGTTGCACGGCCTCTTCGTCGAATTAGCAACTCTCATCCAGAGCCAGGTGTTGTGACTTCTCATCAAATAAAGCAGCATCATTTTTCAAAAATTCCAGATCCTAAAAATTTGCTTAGTGATGTGTAAAAGAATTCCGTTGCTTAATCATTTAGTTTTTTGTAGAGCGAAATGTTAAATAACATAGAGCGAAATGTTGAAAGTGCAGTGGAATATGCACAGAAAGCTCACATGAATATGATCAAAGCGAAAAATATGAGGGCAAATGTCCGAAAGGTTGTTCATACTACAATAACAAATTTTTAGATCTCAGGATTATAAGTTTTTAGGTCTCTAGATCCGAAGAATTTTCATCAATTGTAAAAGAAAATTGAGATTTTATTTCGTTTTTTGCTTACTTCGATTTCAAAGTAAATGTTGCCTAAATTGTTTATTTCAGAAAAAAATATGTTTGCTGATCGTGATCATCGTTTCCATAATTTTCATATTTTGTGTGGGGACGATGCTGTTTTGCTTTTATGTGCCATTTCTGTGCCACTGAATATCATCATTTGAAGTTTCATTTATTGCCTTAAGCCTTATTTCAGTACTAGAAGAATTCTGTTGTGATTACTTGCTGGTCATGTGTATTTATAAAACTGCACTTTTTGTTTCCTAATATTTTTCGGTGAAAATTGCCACCAGCTATTTTTCTTAGCAGTATAAATCTTCATTTCCGTACAGTTTCTAAAAGCATTTGGAAAGTTATTTGTTCAAAGGACGACCTTTATTCACAAAGATGTAAGATGAAACTAAGTGTTGTTCAAGAAATTAAGAAATAAGGATGGTTAATAAAATTATAAATGTCGGCTTGGATTTTTTTTCGGGTCTATATCAGCTTACATATATTAACGTCCGTGTCGCATGGCTTTGCCGGTTCGTATCATAATGCTTCAGCAACAGATTCTCCCAGTCGAGCCACACCCAAAACTGTTAATTCAGGTGTTGTTTCTATAAATTTAATTATCAAATATATGGGCCTTGGTTTTGTGAATGACCTGGTTTCCTAACGAAATCAGGAGCCTTGTGGATTTAGAGTCCTAAGATGTGTCTCAGGATTTTTTGACCATTTTCGAAGGTTGAACTAAAGAAATTAACATGGTTTATCACTTATTCCAAAATTTTACTCTTGTTTTTAAGAATGCCATCAGTTACCGTAGATTCATGAAATGTCATACCCTGATAATTCCTTTGAGACCGCTTATTTGATAACAGTTGCCTTAGAACACTCTGTTCCGGGCTTGATTCTTCATCGCATCTTACTGAACTGCAAAATTACTATTCGTATACTTTAAAAATAGAATAGCCTCATTTGAATGGAAACACATTTCGTGTTTTGGCTTATTATTATTGGTTATTCAGCTGTGGTACTTATCAACAAGTGAGTGACAACGTCGGAGAAATTAGTGGGATTCATTAGTACAATCAGAAAATATCCCACTTGATTCGATGATTAATGATGATAAACTGCGTTTTAAGATTCCATGGATTCGTAAACGGTATCCAAGTAGCATTAACCATGATGCAGTGTTTATTCACCGCCCTGATTCTGTAACTCGTTTCTCTTGTATCACGCCGACTTAATACTAAAATTACTTTCTTAAGAAGGTTTATAACGTTTACAGTGATATTATAACCCAATACATCATGCTAGTAAAATATATAAGCTTTAATCCAATAATCTTTCTCTCTAAGACCTAGTAATCACTCCGTCGATCACAGTAACTCTGTTAGCTATAGATATGTAATATTGGTATTTGCATATTCTAGATAGTTTTTTAAATAATACATGTTATAAGAAGTTGGGTTTCACTGATCTTTGAGGAAATTTTCAGCCTGTTTTCACTAACTTGCATAACATTACGAAATAAAGCAAGATTTAAAAACCTTGTTTATGATGATATGCCACGTCAAGCAGATCACCCTCATGGATGAGATCGTAATAATAACATCCAGTAAGATCTTGTGGAAGGTGTTTCAGGATGAATGGCAGTCTAAAAAATAATGTATGATGCAGATATATAAGAGACCCAAAGTTAAAGCTATAAGAATAAGATTCTAATCATTGGAATAAAATTACCAGATTTAAACGCAAAGATATAGGCTTAAAAAGCTATAAAATTGCATACCCAGAACCGCAACGAATGATCCGACCGTTTGGTATTATAGTTATCTGAAACCGCTCTTCCACGCCTGCAAACAATACAAATTTTGGGAAAATTAAATCTGACAGGGCATAATAATCTTATCAGCATTTAAAAAATTTCAGATTTGAGGACTTTGGTCGATTTCAGTTTAAAGCGAATCTCCTAAGCCTGTTTTTTAGTAACTTCAGGTCCCAATTTCTGCCCTTACTCCAAATATTGCTTACGTGATGAAAATAGTTTGATGAGCAACATCATCAAGGATGGTTTGTCAACACGACGCGATGAACCGTAACAGTGAAAATATTCGTAATTCTGCTCAAAGTGATCCGAATCCCTATAATTAGCCTTTCTGAATTAGTTTCCAATCAAGAAATAATATAAAGCGCAAAGTAATTAGCGCAATAATAATATTGAGTTTGAAGCGTTATTCTAAAGCACTTTTATCGTTCAAAAATTTTTCATTAGAAAAAGTGATTCCCGGAATTGGAAAGAAATGATATTAATTCCAAACCATGAATAATTGAAAAGTTACAACATACTTGGAATCGTAAATCCGTAGACGACATGGGAAAGAACGCCTCAAACCCAGTTTCCACTCTGTTTTCGGTTTATAATATCCCGTGCTCGAGCTTACTGTTTCACTAACTGAATTTAGTGTAAAAATAAGTGATTAGTTGCATGATCATCTTTTCAAGTAAAATGTGCTTATATCACAGCAAGAAAAAAATGATTAATTAATCAATAAAATGGTGAATAGTCTAATTTCTTTAATAATTTAATTTTTATCAAAAAATTAGACCTGAATCGCTGGCATTGACATTTTCATAGCATTCTACACTGGTTTCCTTTTTGAAAAAAGCTGCATCTGCGGGGTGTAATATTTCATACCAATTTCTGATTGACAATATTGAATGTAATGTTACATTAATTATTTAAGATGATAAATAACAGTATTTAGTCAACTAATAATAAATGGTAACTATAATTATAATTAGTAATAATAATAGTAATAATAATTATTATTAATGATAATAAGTATATAAATAATAAACAAATAAATAATAAAATTTTACCCCTCCAAGGGGCTAAAATTCCTATCAAATCTATTTCTTTTTAAAGAATTACTAAGGAAATATACTTTGAAAGAAGTGAAATATATTATTTTGTTTTACCAAACAGTCAACTTCACAGTAAAGGATGTTAATATCGACAGCTATAAATGATACCGAGCAAAAACATTCTCTCCCAAAAATTTATTCATTTCATCGGAAGCATACAAAATTTTTCCCGATGATACATCGACGACCGTCACAAAATGTTCGACATTCTGGAAATAACTTCAATTTGAATTCCAGTTTCTCTTACGTAGTAAGAATGAAGTGAGTTTTAGTTGTAAATCATATAGAAAGCTAGTAAACAAAAGTTTCCATGAAACACATTGCTGTCAACGCCTCTGTTTTAAACCTCAAATTTCATAAACTTCTGGTAAAATTGAGAAGCTTGTAGATGATAATTTCAAACATTTTTGAGAAGATTTAGCAAATCACTGAAGGTGACATGCTTCGCGCAACAATCACAATCCATTTTTTTATCATTCGATGTTCCTGAAAAGCTAAACTATCTATTTGATCTTGCATTTCTAGTTCAGAAAATTTCTTGGTTATCATATTCTTTGATATTGTAACTTTCGATCTAACTGAAAATTCTTTACATTTGTTGTAGCTCACTTTTAGTATGAAGAATTTTTCCAGCTAAATTAAAGTTGCTACTGAAACATTCATACTCATTGTACTAATGTGATCAAGTGCAAGTCGCAGTAGGGAAAGCTTGTCAAGCTTCCGACAAAATGTTGAGGGTATCAATGTAGCCAGTTGTCCCATTAGTTCATTCATCTTATCACGGCGTCGTTTTTCGATTTCGGAATGATTATTGCTGTTAGCGATACGATTTGTCAACGGTGAATTTGGAGCAAAGTCCAGCCAATGACCATCACTAGAATAATCAGATTAAGCGGTATCCGAAAATTTGACACGACTAGTGAAGAACGAAATCGAAAGACGTGAAATATGACGGAAAGATCCGTTTTGCAATTTTCCTTTTTTCATCTTCATGATTTTCGGATATAATGCTATGATAAAAGTATGATGCATCATAACACAAGGATTTCCAGTACAGTACGTTCCTTAGTTATGTGTGAAACTTTTGTTTAATCCACTCTGACATGATAATCGATAGTTGGAAATATTTAATAAAATAGTAAAATAAGTGGAAGTGAGATTTTAAAAAGGATTCAACAGAATACTGAGGGAAACAGACAAGAAGTATTTTATACAGACCAAATTTTGAAGGGCTCTTTGAAGAACAAATTTTACATTTCACATGTTTATCCCCATTTTCCTTAAGGAACTATAATACTAGCTATCTGCTTTTCTTCCAAATAATTATGCTGTTAAAAACATGGCTCACAAGTTTAATAAATAGCTGCTGTTCACACAAATTTTCTTCACTCTTATTAAAATAATTCAGTAGTCTGTAATTTAAAAACCAAACTAAGGATACCGCACCGTATCATTGCATCGCGGTGTGTTTGGTGGTGTCATTGTCACCAGTCACTTATTTAGCCGTATCAGCTACTCCCATTTTGGACGAGAGCATAGTAATCAATGACGGAAAACTTGATATTTCAATATTTGCATCAGTTTTTCGCGTTGTACAATCAAACCATACAGTGCTGCGCTGATATAACAAGAGTTGTGGAGTATGTGAGACGCTTCTCGAAGTAGTGCAGAGGAGGTTGGAGAGATGCATTAACAGTGAGTGAGGACTTCGCAGCACTCGGTCTATCACATGTTGTCATCGTACAATCATCGATTATCCTCAGCTTACAGTTCCATCCATTTCATTCCCAGTGATACCTCCCTTAAATAAGCCATAGTTTGACTACTGATAATTTAGCTCTGGACCAGTTTGCTTGCCTTTATAAGTAATATGAACGATATTGCGGCGAGACGAGCCGAAGCAATTTCAAACATCATTAGTCTGGGTCGATGTCACTGACAGTAAGAAAAGTTTTCCTTAACTGTTGGAAAGCTATCCTTGGCATTTTATTTGCATCTCATCGTTTGTCAATTTGTCATGTTGTCAAATCGCTGTGGTTTGACAAATGATGGTGAGTGTAAATTAAGAAAAATCAACTCAGTTGTAATATAGCAATGATTCTAATAGGTGCCAAAAATCGCAATTCTTTTCCATTCTTCAGCTTTCCTCTCGCAATTCTTTATCCGTTCTTCAGCTGTTCTCCCGTATTCTCTTACGGAGTGGTACAAGTATACAGGTATCGAATTGGACCATAATTACATGGTATATAGACAATGAATATTTTTTGCCTGAACATTTCCTTTTTTTGCAAAATAGAAAAAGAATTTTGTCGAACCGTACTTGGCTGTCCTCCTGGCACTGTATTGCGCCAATTCGTCCATTTGAATTTTTCATTATCTCAATAGCTTATTGAATTTTTTTAACAATTATTTGAAACTCAGTTAGAGTAGCTTTACCACCATTTAAGATAGTGTTAGACTTCCACGAATATCCAAGATAGTAATTTAATTTATAAATATTCGTCGGTATTTGTGCCTGCTAGTTAACACCTAAAAGTGGAACTTTTACGTTTCCTATGCATGGTGTCCAATAAAAGTATCAGGATACCACGAAATATTTCTCTACAGATTTTTTCACTGCTTGATTCCATTGCTTGAGATATGCACCGGTGACATAATTGGCCATTACATGTAGTTCTCTTTATTTGGCAGTAAATTCCAAATTTTCTTCAAAAATTCCGAGATTATTGATTATCCATTCTGCGTTGCTCTACCCGAAACAGTAAATGGACGGTTAGTCCCTCAAGATGAGGATAGGGTGACTCGCCTGACCTCTTTTACTCTAGCCCTAAATGGTGGAGTGGATATTGTCTGCTTCAGTGTGCTCTACTCACTAAGCCGCCATTAAGCTGATGGAATGACTCGCGCATAGGTTCTTCCCCACAGGTCAGGCAATGACAGAGCATGGATGGACTGACTGTTGAGTAGCTCGAGTTCTATGTCTCTTTATTCGATTCAATATCTCAATACTCTCCATTCTATTTCATCTTATTTCTGCCACCCTCCACTCCTCCTCCTTTTCCTTCTTCAGCTTGTCATCCAATGTCACCAAATACTACTAACCTAAGTAGCAATTGGGATGACCCCTTTTTGTCTGTCTGCCGTAAGCTTGCATCATTTTGGCATCTTTCGCTCCCTCATTCCTGCTGCATCTATTGTATGCGCTTCCTATAATTGCTTTTTTTAAATACTAATTTTGTGAAATTTCGATCGAAATTTGTTAACTAGTTTTGAAAAAGCAAATTTAGGATTTTGCAAAATATTTTCAAAATTCAAACAGACTATTACTATGTCACGTGCGGAAGCTTTCGACTGGAAAAATTCGCTTTATCTTTTCATCTAATACTTTCTACTTTAGAAATACCAATTCGTACACTAACTTCTCTTCAAAGTAGTCATTGTGATGTGACCCACCTTCCGTAGTCTCAGTCTAACAGTAATTTGTCCTTTAATATTCAGTGAATCTAGTTCCGTAACGCAAGGGCATCGTAATCTTCGTACTGTTTCCCCCTGATTCAGAAGAAATTATGCTAATAATTCCTCTATTTTTCATATGCTTTTAATAAAACGACATGAACTCACCACATTTCTCTAATTCTAAATTTAGATTCATTACATTGGTAAATTTTAAGTCTCTTCCTAGGAGCGATCCATGCATTCTTTATCTTCTAATGACTCCTAGAAAATGCTTGACAAATTTTAGTAAAACGGTAATAAACAGATGATCGACTGGTATATAAAACAAAACACCTTTGTAGGAGAAAATTGATAGCAGTGGTTCCTTTCGAAAGGAATGCCATATCACAAGGCTATTAATATATTGCAGAACGTTTTATCAGTCCGGTGTTAACAACTAAAAATATATTCACTTCTTTTCGGAAAGTTACAGTTTTTTTCTCATTGTTTGAGTGGTCGAGTCTGCTATACTTCTGCGACAAATTCAGCCTGGAATATCTATGGAATAAAATTCACACTTACTGAACGTTGCTAGCAAATATTACTAGATTTGAACTCCGAAAGTGATCTCATTTCATGTGCCATAAACGTTCTTGTAAAGTATGTTGGGTATACCGTTTCTGGATAGTGCATTTCTGAAGATATTTTCACCAACAACATACGATGATCGTATCGACCGACTTAATTATTTTGTTACAAGCTCTTTATTAACTTTCTTTGCTATCCTCGTTTCAGCGAAACAGTAAGTTAATTCTTGAATTTTCTTAAAAACTCAATTCAGTTTTTCTTTCACAATTTTGTAGCAAATTTAAAATGGGACTATCACTATGAAGTACTCTGATGATGCTAGTTATTGGGAAGCTTGGATATTCCAGATATGTGGGTTCGCCGATACAATGTTGGGTGCCTATGGAATTTAAAGGTGGATGGGAACAATATACGGAGGATTACTGCTTCATACAGGTTTGTTGCCACGTTTTCTGCTCAAACTTTAATTTATAAAAATGAACGAGTATCTTTCTAAATGCTAAAACCATAGCCAAAATTTCAATTTTACTTAACATTGAAGTGGATGATTAAGGACTTCATATGTAAGCTGTTACTGGTTGCCTCGATACTACTATTAATTTTAGTCTGTTGGTTCTGTGACTTTTTTATCGATCTTCTGTCAATGGAGATATGCAAGCAAATGCGTTTTGAATTGAAAAGGTCGAAGAGTTGGAAAGACTATTAAAGTTATAATTATGAATAATTGTAACAAAAAGCTATTTATGATTATATTCGATGTAGAATACCTATTGGGTACACTTCGATGACCCAGTACCGGAGGATGTGAACGATCGTCACGGAGCCGAAATCGGTTACTACCAGTGGGTACCAATTATGTTAGTACTACAGGCACTGATGTTTTTCATCCCAGAATGGATATGGAAAACTCTTAACAAACAGAGTGGTTAGTTAATCCTGATATTTTTTTTCCAAATTCTCAAGCACCGAATGCTAACCTCAGGATTTCTTTTCTTGAATTTTTTTATTCGGATTAGAGCCACTGCTTGATCACCATTGATCAGTCGAACAAATGCGATTTTCATATACATCAGGTTATGAATATTTTGAAATATAAATGAAAATAAATTTCTCCCAAAAAGTACCCTTTCAATACACAAAGTCTTAAAACAGCGCACGATATATGATATGTTACAAATACAAGCTTTCTGGCTTATTTCAGGCCTCGATTTAGATACGATAGTAAAAGAAGCGAAAAATCTAAGGACATCAAAATGTAATGAACGGAAGAAGGAATTAGAAAAACTGGCACTGTTTGTTGAAGAATGTCTGGAATTCGACACACCTCATCACCAAAACCGTTACTTCTGTTTTAATTACGGCTACTCATTGGGTTCCTATGTAACATTGCTGTATCTATTCATGAAGTTACTTTTTGTTATCAACATATTCAGCCAATTTGTAATCCTCAATAATTTCCTTGGTACCAGTCATAGTCTTTGGGGATTCCAGGTATTTTTTTTTTTGGACAATAGCTTTGAAAAACAATAGCTTTGTTTTTTTCTTCCTTTTCTTTTTTCAATATTCAACATTTAACCTGAGCTTCGTGATCTGCAAATTATGCAGTGAGGTTAGAGTTGTAAAGAAAAATCATAAATGTATTAAATATACAATTAAAGATCTTAGATACTACTGGATCTATGGCAAGGCCGAGAATGGTTGGATTCCGGGGTGTTTCCACGAGTAACAATGTGCGACTTCAAAGTGCGACGCTTAGCAAATATTCATCGGTATTCAGTACAATGCGTTCTAATGATCAATATGTTCAATGAAAAAATATATCTTTTCATCTGGTACGCATATAAATTTTCACTGCAAATAGAAAATAAAAGTTGGCGAAGTCAACACCACAATATTAAAAAATATTAAAAAAAAATATTAAAATATATTAAAAATATTAAAAAATCCCAGATCCATACTGATCATGAAAATATTCTGACCTTCAGTAATATGTCATGTATTTACTCATTTAACTAATCTATAAGAGAAACACTAGTGTGCAGGTGAGCCATGGTACCTCTAAAATTAGTGAAGTTATGTTGAACCAGTGTTCAAGGATGTCGCGATTTCTATACACATGATGATTAGAAGGAATATTAAGGAAGGATGACTATAATCTGATCTGTTCTTTCAACGTGTATGGTCATGCCGAAATATTATTTTTATTCGTTGAAACTTAGGTGTTATTCAAACATGACAAAAGTTTTATAGGTTTTGGTTTCTGTTTGTTGCTGCATCTACACTACTTAATTTCATCTACTTCGTTTACAATACCATATTGGCCTCAAATCGGGAGCGTACAGCGCGGCTACTCCTTTTACATATGAAGCTTGATGAAACACCTATGGACAAAGCAATATTGCGTCGTTTTGTGCATAAAGCACTGCGGCCAGGTTTGCCGCTATCATTTCCACACTAGTTACTATCGTTAACAAATTTTTAAATCACTGCTCCAGTTTGTTCGTCATTTAGCTTTTTAAAATTAGTTATCGGCTACCGAAAAGGCAAAATTATAGTTGAATCGCATGGTTTCATTAAGGAAATCTTTAACTATTAAATTTCGAAATTTCTTAGAAATACAGAATGGGAACATGCAAGCTATGAAAATTCACTGTCGTGCTGTTAAAATTTTAGTCGCAAAATTCATATTGAAAAACTGATAGCTATCAAATTCTTTTTTTAAGAGATCTAATCAGTTAATTATAGATGGTATATTACTTTTGCGATTTGTTGATATGTATGCTGGCGGCATAATGGCACGTGATCTTTGTGGACAACTCTTCGCCGATTTTTATCGGGAACAGTATCACCGTGCAATTGGCAGTCATACAACAAAAAGCTCATCACCAGGTCTTGATGATGGCTTCACCGAAACACAGTATGACCCGGAAAAGGTAAGCGGTCATAACAATCCTCCGGATTATTTGCAACTCGGTGAGGAAAGATTACAAATTGTTACTATTCTCAGATACTGAGTAAACGAAATGGTAGAATGCGCAAAATAAAAAGTAAGAGGATCCATATTTTTGATTTGATGCATTTTTCCTAAGATTCCAATTCAATATGGAAAAGAGGATAGAAAATAACAGTCGTATGATTACTGCTGTTCTTATCTATAGAAAAACCTGGAAAAATAGACATAAACAAATAGTAAAACATTTAGGCCAGAGAAGTCAGTGCTGCCTATCTTGGATTTGTTAAATTAGTTCTGGATTTTTCTCACTGCTAACCCTCATAATTTGCAGCTACATGCTCCACTAATGCAACCAGATGCATTTACACGAGCGGTCAAAGGCAAAGCTTCGTAAAGGGCATACTGATAGTCATGGTCGGATACTACGGCATTTAGTTAAAAAAACATTTCAGTTGCTTCTTCGGCACTATTCGCTGGGTACATCGAATTTCTGTTGTTTTCTCCGAAAAATGGTATTTCTGTGATTTATGCTAAACTGGCAATTCTAGATTTTTATCTATGTTGAACTGGCAAATTAAAGAGTCCTCATATGTTTACTCGGCTGACAGAGTTTATTGAGTCTGTTGATTTGTTTCTTGTTTATTGATGAAATTGTAAAAGACTAAATTTGACCAAAAAGTAGCTCTTCCTACTTAACTTAAGTATTTTGTATGGTAGAATTTGTGGAAATAGAATACCCAAAGAGTAAGAAGGAAAACGGATTTTCGGTTAACATTTCTAGTTCTCCTCCTTTAAATCTTTCAGTTTTCACTGTCCGATTAATTTAATTGTTATTTGCTTTTTTTCTGTTTCACTATTGGCAATATTTTTCAAGCTATTATAAACTGTTTTCATCTTCTAACTTCTTTCCAAAAACTTTACTAAATAAAAGCTTTGAAAGAAGGATGAAAAATAGGAAAACTTATTATCGAAAACTTCTGAATACCTTTTTTATCACTTATTCTCTTTCAATAGTTGTTCTTATTCTTCGTTAAACATTTTTGACTCTTGATTTGTCTTTTTTTTTTCAAAAGATGATGGATTTTCGAGTCTATTTGGGCAGCATTAATTCCAAAATGAGGATTTTTTGGCACTTAACAACATACTTTTTGTCAATTAATATTAAAGGTTGTTATGCTTTTCTACAACTCCACATATAATGCAAAAACAAAAACGGCATAGGATGTTTGTAGTTTATGATTTTTTTCTTTATTTAGAAATATCGTAATATATAGAATCGGTAAAAGGATAAAGTGGTGGTTAAAAGCTGAAATTGAGTTCTTAAGTAATTTTAAAAGACTTACGTTACATTACAATCTGCAAGTTTTCCATCGTGTACTTTTCCTGTCATTCTGAGCAACTTGTTTCCTGAAAATCTCTTGTAGATTAATTCTGGATAAAGTAATCACCAAGTATGATACAAGCAAAAATGGTTCACTGACCACTGTTTATTTGTTTCGTTTACCATACTTTTATTCGTAATTTTATTCGTTTAATGTGCATCACATTTTGAATTCTTTTCGTCACATTGAGTCGGTTGCAATGCGAATATTATTTCACTCTCGAAAAGTTGTCAGAATTTTAGATGTTTTTTAAATGAAAAACGGTTAAATATCAGTTATAAGCATTGCACCTAGATAGAAATTATTTCTATTGTGGATATTTTATTGTATAGATGAGCAGATGTAATTTACTACGAAATAGATTTCCAAATTTCATTTAACTTTTCCTTCAATTCCAACTGGCAATTTTTGAAATTACCGTGAAAATATTCGTAAGTGCCAAAACTGTCCTCCATAAACGCAGGTCCTAATTGTTAACTGTTAAAATTCTAACAAATAATGCTAATTATGATCCAATATGCTTTCAAAATTAAGGAATCTTCATATTCCGTAGAATCATTGTTGTAAGTTTCACCGAAATTACATGAATTGCATATTTTACTGTCTTGATAACTTTGTTTTAAAGACTTGATTTGTTCGCGGAAATCACCTAATCCAACTGGAAAACGCAGTATCGACCTTAGAAACATGTCAATCTCGAAAAGCATAAAAGTTTGAAATTAGAATCGGACTATAATTTTTGGCGTCCCGAGAATTCCTGTTTTTGGAAGGTTGGAATTGACGATATGTATGATCCGTTTCTTCATGAAACTCATGATTTAAGAAAATTTAGGATTAGATTTTAAAAACTAAAAGCAGATAAAAATGGTTACCTTGGGGATAAAAGTATTCTGGCAGCGTCTCGGAGTGATTCTGGCTTTTTCAATAACCACGGAATTGATTAGCTGTTCAGAGTGACGTGGTCCTTGTGCCTGCAATTTGTAGGAGCGATAGGGTATGCACAAATTTTCGAAGGTCATAGCTCTTAAAGGTTCGCAATACCGGTTATTGATATGTACATTTCGGAAGGGTATGCATCTCCAATGCAATTCAGTTGGTCTCAAGGCATCAAGTTTATCCACATCGTATCTCCAGCCCGGCTGATCCATATTTTCAAAATGGTGATTGAAAGATGAGTTGTTTCATGAGAAAAAGTTCTGAGTCCCAAGATTCGTAACTGCCCGACAGAATTTTTTTCCGAATTGACACATTTTTTCCCGAAAACTGGATTTATGATTCACAGTGGGAACAATTGCATGACAATAAACCTCACACTGATCATTTAAATTCTTTATCGCCTTTCAGCTGTAGAATCTTATGGAGTACGGAAGATGTAACCATTTTGATAGTTGATACTACCTTTGATTTAGGCGTCATATCAGCACCCAAACTTGTTATGACGTCAAGGAAAACTCCTCATCGGTTTGTTCATAAAGTTATCGTTTCACTCAAGGATTATATGACAAATATGCAACTACTCCACGTTAGGTATGAAGTTTGAGATTTTCTGTAAGACACCACAGTGTCATACCGGATATGCCAAGCCCAAAATCAGTTAAATGTCAGCCGTTTAGCCGCTTATTTAGATTTAATTTCTAATTAAGCTGATGCAGCGCAAACTTTCACTTGCTTTGTGTGAGAACGTTAACAGCTTTATGTCATTGTGCACTTGATAACAAACCGTAACAAATATACACAGAATCAAAGATGACAGAAACGTAACCCACTCAGGAGTGATTCACGTTCTTCCTGCACGCCTCGAGCGTTTACGAGATTTATTTTAGGGTTTCCTGCGCGTTAAATTATATGCGAAAATCACACAAAGACGTCTTTAGAATTATTGCAAAAGAGCCGATGATGCATTCCAGAACGGCAACTTAGAATAACTATGTCTCACACTTATCCAAACTCCATTTGGGTAACTGGAGTATTCTAAAACGCATTATTTTTGAATTGCTTTTTCTGAATTAGTGTTATTTCAACCATGTGTCTTCAATTTTCTAACAGGAATTATCCGTAACTATGAAAAGAAGTCAAATATTTGCCTACTTCGTCAAAACTGCAGAACATGAAAAAATGAAACTGAACTGAAATTAACATTTCATAATACACCATTTTTGTCTCTATCGCTCTCTGTTGCATTTCTTCGATAACATCACTAGTGCATATAGAGAGACAGCATTGCGCATGATAATCTCAATTCGAAAATTTTTAATAACGGGATGGAAATAGATTGATGAGATTTCTTTGCATCTGCTATGAAGACATCAATTTCAACGTCACTGGATCGAACATATCCGAAAACCGATCAAGTTTTTGTGCAAAAGCTGTCAACTGTAAAAGGAAGTGTCAACATTATAAAATTTTAGATTGTTACAGGACTTAGCTCCAAACTAACCAAAACTATAAAGCCTTATGCAAGGCTTTATTATCCGTGCAATTTCATTATGAATGTCAAAAACAAACTACATCCTCGTCTGCAAGATTCGAAATCGAAAGTTCGGCTGCGATCGACAAATTGATTGTAACTGGCTCGTTTGGATCGCCGGGTAAGCTTTTTAACATTTCCAATGCATCAAAAACTTGTCCTTTGTACAATAAACAAATCGCCATGTTGTTGCACAGCTAGAAATTTTAGGGAAATATTTAGATGCTATTGTTGTTTCATGTAGTAAACATGTATACTGATTAACAGGAGATAAAAGGTCACGAGTGATACAGTTCAAAAGCCAAATTGTTGGAATTCATGTACAAGGTTTGCAAAATAGACTATTAGAATTTACGCAGAGCACACATTTTTCGTTCTCATTTAGTCTAAACAAAGATATGAAGGTGACTGAAATTACAGCACTTCAGAAGAAGCGAGTGAGTTAAGATATTTCTGCAACGTTTCGTAAGCTTTGTTATAGTTGCCATGAAATATGTACTTCAAACACCTAAAATATTCAATTATTTGCGAAAATGCACTATATTTTGAGAAGATAAAATTTAAAAACTTAACAAAAAATAAGCCACAAAAATTTCTAAGCAAAACATTTTAACGACTGAGCAGCATGCCTGTGTAAGATTTGATCGTCACAAGCTGATGCAGTGATTTCATTCGAATAATGTTCTAAGTTCTTTTGATCACCGATAGTCACCGCCATTCTCATTAACATTAGCTTGAGAGCTATTCGTTGCTCAGAACTCAATCCATCTGCTTTCGACAAACGATTATATAGGATCATGGATGTTGAATACTCCTACAATGCTAGAAATTATTTTGGCAAAACCATTCGTTACGTTTGACGCACAACGATTGATTTGTCCTTTTGTCTTACAACCATTTTTTAAAGGATTTATTTCACTTTCTCCGTCAGTTCACAAGAAAATTTGCTATATATACAACCTTTAGAAAAAATAAACTACGAGCACGCATTTTTTGCACGGCTAACAAACGGTCCTCCCATATTTTGAAGAAATACTTGCTTCTGCTCGCTGAATTATCCAGAATCTATAACGTCAAACTTGATTGGTTTAGCTTTCTAATGAAACGAATTTCATTATGAAAATACAAAATCTTGAAAAAAAAATGCAGCCAATATGTTACTTTGTTAACACTTTTCTCTAGCCTGTCAATTCTTTCTAAAGCTGCCCATGGATTAGAAGTGAAGCGTAATGCCTCGGCATGAATTAAGCGCATACTGAATAGCACCAAGCTTCCTAAAATTAAGTGAATATTTAAAGAAATAAGTCCAAACTCTTCCTTCAAATGACCAGAAATAAATTTGATGAGTCCGTAATTTTTAAAAACTCGAAATCGTTTCTCCGTTTCATGCTATCGTCTCAAAATATGGCACTTATAAAAATTTGAGATATTTTTTATATCTAAATACACACCTTTGGGACCTTCTGCATAGAGACTGGGGTAGTACTGATAGAACATATCTGGTGCATCCAATTCTTCGAATGGTAACAACTCGTCATTCAATAATGTATACAGTTTCAAAGCCATAAGCAATTGGAAACGGCACGCCCATACCTAAGACAAAAATTTATTTCATAGGTCATACTTCAGTACTTTATAGCTTATACTTGATTGACGAATCGATAAAAATCAATCATGCCTACATTATCTATTAGGACATGCAAACCAAGCGTAAATTATAACAATGTCTATCCATATAATAATATTCCAAACAGTGTAAACCTTGAAACTGTACTCTGTATTGTTCGAAGGCTGGCCGGCCATCCCAAACCCTTGATTAACTTCTGTTAACAGCTCAGCAGTTAAATTAACGGCAGCTCGAAGATGTCCATCGGCCTGCAAACTTTCAATATTTAACGTCAACAGACAACGCGATTATGATTATTGCGCTTTTTATAAGACCAAGATTATGGATTGTAAGCATAACCACTGCTTAAATCCTTCTGAATTTCTTTTACTTTCATTGTTTATTTGTGACAAAGCTTTTGGAAAGTGCTATTCACGATTATCATGGAAATACTTTTTATTAAAAGCATGTTTTGAAAATTTCGCTTCCAGCCAATTAAACAGAGAATTTCATCAGAAATAAAAAGGAAACCAACAATGAGAAGATGAATTCCGTTCATATCCTTGGGAACTGAAGGTCGAGTGACCGTCTCGTTAAGCTTCTGCTCTAGCGTTTTGGCCATTAAATCAGGTAAGGTTACAGTTGTCCTACACAAAAAAGTAATAGATATTCCAACCTCACTATCAATCTTTGAAAAACAAAACCGATAAAATATACGAAATTATGAATTCACGAAACTATGAAGTACGGATGCTTACTTTAAACCAGGCATGGTGTAGTAATAATCAAACTTAGCCAATGAAAGCGCTTCTTTCAACCTATCCGAATCAGGCCATTCTTGCACGTTGCCATCAGAAATCTCCATTTCCTGGAAACCTAGATTTTTATACTTCTTAAGCAAAGATCCCAAATGAATTCATTTTAGAAATCCCAAAAAAAACTAAAAAAATTGATGTTCTGGTTATAGAATCTCAACAGTAAAATCAGACTCCGGCCTTTCATGCAAAAACATTGTTAACATCCTTCCTTCGTTGGTGCTGTTGTGAAATATAGATTTAATATTTGATTGGTTTGCAGAGCCGAATAGTGATTAATTTGCAGAGACGATTTATTGAGAGAAAGGTTATAGTTCATCAACGTTATTCCATATTGAAGAATTGTGCGGGGCGGTGAATGCGAGCTAACTGAAGACCCTTTTCCCGATTATGAGACTGATCAGATATATATGGATGTGACTGGGAGTGGTTTGTTTCGATTATTTTAGCAATATAATATGAGTAAAGATTAAACGTCATAATTTATATTTATCAAATGAATCGGATTGTTGAAGATTAAGATTGATATTTATTGTCTATAGTGGAACAAAGCATCGGTAGATCAAGGGTTGGAACTGCCAAGTTAATAAATATAGCGGCTAATGGAAAAGAACCAAGTAAAATGATTGATTACGTCAGAGGATCAAAGAATAGATGACAGAGCAAAGGCCGTATGCTTATAACCAAATTTGTGTTGTTACAAGAGCCATCTTAAGTATTTCTATATATTTATGATAAATTTTTGGACAGGTGTAATCATTTATTGAGAACTACGGAGCTCAGGTACGACTGGGGAACAGAAAAAGACAAGTATCCAGAAGAATTTCTGGAGTGAAACACTTCAAAAAAGGGCATCAACAATATACAAATGGCATAAAATGACACTTTTGTTTTAAAAATACCCTGTCTCTTCTAAAAACTTACTAGCTATTGAGATCCAGCTAGCAACAATTCATCGACTGAAGAATACCGCTACAGCGAAAAACATATAAGCAAAAGAAGCACAGCACATAAATGGCCCGTAAACAAAAAGTAATAGGGAGAGCAATGATTTCAAAATTTGAATAGTTTAATGACATCTCTTATCTAAATTCCGGATAGTACAACGACTGTATTCGATAACATATGATCTCTGAATAGGCACTGACGCACGAGTCACGCAAAGTATAACTCTACGCATATTGACTAAAAATAACAGCAAAAAAGAAACAAAAATAGTACAACCATAACAGTGAATAGAGATCAGTTCTAACAAAAATTTGAATAAAACTATAAAATTAGCGCCGAATGAAGCGCCCTCCGGCACTGCTCTTTCTGCCACCTCGACTTAGCATGCCTGAAAAACATTTCACATAAGAGAAATCCTTGTGAAATTCCTTTTCTTTTCTAGAGATTTTTGCGCACATTATATTCATCCTTTCAAATTTCCCTGAACATAACTTATAAACTTCTTACACTAAGCATCGCCACTAACTTCCCCCACAGAGTAGATCTTCGACTTAAAATCAGGATAGTGAAATATGCTGCATTATCTTGATATGTAATTAAGGTGAGAAAAAATAACGAACACAAAGTGTTACGTGAGTATGGGACTTGCATTTTACGACCATAAATCGAGATATTATGGAATTCTAATTTAAAATAAGCCCGAACGCTCACCACTATATTTTCCGCCAGGTGGCACATAGACATCAGGAAGAGGTCTTTTCCGTTTCTGCTCCGTTTTAGCTTCCCATTCACGATCTCGCTTTCTGAAAGAATTCCTTAAAGCTCGCAGATTTGAAAAGAAAACTGATTTATGAAAACATCATAAACGACTGAAAACATACCTGTTTTCTAACTTCCAGCTCGGTGTTATAACAAAAACAAAGGAAGGAGATTTGTGAGCAAGCATTTTTGTCAGATGAAGAGTATTTTCTGCCATCTTCAAGGAATTTTGTTGGAATGAAAGCTGATTCGCATCTCGTTTAGAGGGTTCCAATTTAAGCATCTTCTGTAATTCAGAATTGGCCGAAGCGATATATTGTTGCAACAATCGACCCAAATAAATGATTCTGAAAAATTTTGTGAGAAATATAGTGTTTATCAGTGGAAAGATTAATCGCGCTAAAACATCATCTTTCGATGTGTAACATACTTTGTTTTTTGGTATATAATCTCATACAATGCCAATCAAGTATCAATAGGATGGCATAACTAACTGTACTCGTCATTCCTCACACCAATCAACATAGTGTAAAGTATTTCCATGTTTTAGTCGAATATATGAGCTTTGATAATGACTAACTGTTGTCACTCCTCCAACATAATAGACATTCATGTTAAAATTTCTTAAGACTCGGAAAAACCTTTTTCGCCAATTAGCTGAATCCTTGCTTTGTTCCATTGTATAATCAAAAGCTGTTTTGTCTATTCTACAGAACGATGCAAAAGCTAAAGATGTTGTTTCCAGTTCGCTAAGACGTAATTCTTGCTCCAAAGATGTGTTCACATCTCCCACATTTGCATCGGAACGTTCTGATGGCAGTGGGGGAATAAGCTTCTAAAAATCGAAAACAATTAATCGGATTAAGTTAATTAAGGATCTAGTAAAAGATTACTTTTTTGCAGATGATATAAACAATGATGATTCCAGCACTTAACGACAACAAAAAAAGAAGGGTAAACTGATGCAACACATCAAACAAAACAAAATATCGATTTAACACCAACCGAAAAATAATCAGATAGAATCATTAAATCGCTACGTTCTAACGACTTCGAAAACGGAGCAAGCTCAACCAGAACTCGCAAAAATCTAATACGTAACACCGCATCTACTTCTTCAAGTACAGGAATCCCTTTGGATATCATAAAGTTCACCAGTTCAGTACTTCGATAATTGACCTAGAATAAAGCATATTACATTCTCAGTTTAACATTTTTTTATGGAAAATAAGTACCAAAAGGTAAACAATGAATGTAAAAAGAGAGTAAACAGCATTTAATGCTTAACATTGTTATCTGTTTACATTATTACAGAACCAACCGAAAGAAGTAATCGAGCTCGTTCAACGAAATACAGTATCTGATCAAAACGTTGAGGATCGTTAGCCTTAAGTAAAAAATTATATTACCATAACAAACTCACGACAAAACATGATCTTTTATTATTTCAACATAAATGCATTTTAATCTGCTATTAAAGAATATTTATAGGCTTTTCCCATTACTTATCATCAGCACAGAACTATTCATTCTCACTACACAATCTTCAAAAAACAGCAATTTATGGATAATTTCCATTTGCAAGTCCTAAAATTCTCAAAAGAATTGTTTAGGAAAATACAGGGAATGGTTCATCAATTTGCATTTGGTCGACAACGATTTTGTACAGTATCACTCGTCCTTTTGTGGTTCGGAAAAACTCCAATGAACGCATAAAATTAAAAATTAAATCGAACTCCACAGCTGTGATATCTTTAAGCACCTGCAAAAATCAAAAAACAAACTTTCAATTAATGATGCAGAAATGATCGTTCAACATAAGAGAATGTTTGACAGCAGTATGGTTACCTCTCGGATGTGATGCTCGATGGATAGCATTAAGTCCTCATTCATCAAATGAATCGGAATGTCACGTACATGCAGCTGAATGAATTTCAATAAGCGTAAACGTACCGATTCCTCCTCCGACTTCACGACATTAACAAATATCGCAGAAAGTACATCTGCATATGATATTATTCATTAAAATCCCTACGAATCCTTTGAAGAAAAAATGGTTCAAAAAAGTTATTCAGATCCAAAGAACTCCTATCTGTGCATGCCATAAACGTTCTACATTTATAAAGCATCAACCCTTTGGATGAGATTTCAGGAACTGGACAAGGACGTTTGTAAGCATAGCTATTTCCTGGAGTTCGTCTGTCTGCTGCAGCATCTGCGACAATACATCTGCAATTTTATCAACAAGTTCCCCGGATTTGACTACATGTGGTATTTCGCGAATCACTGCCTTCCGGATCTGCAACCGCACTCGACACATAATTAAAGAAAATACTGACACGAAAAAAGATAAACGGGATTAAGTATCACGACCAAATAAATAAAGGATGCAATAAAAACGGATACGTCAGGATCTCGATCCTCCAACAGTGAAACAAGTGAATAAAACGCCACATTTCGTAGATCCGTGAAATCTTGCCAATATCGAACGATCATGTGAGCACAAAGCTTTTTCACCTTTCCATCGTTCCCTTTGGTACCCGAAATGAAAACTTTGTAATCTTCGGCATTCTGCAATTTCATGAACTTCTACCTCCGTTATATTACCAAGAGATACTCAACTCAAGTTTGCTAAGTCATCGTTATTAAAATATTTTCACCTCAAAGGAATATTATATCCATTTAATAAATGTGCAACATTCAATGCTTACTTATAATACACTTTTCTGCTACTGCAATTTCATGAAGTGAATTCGAAAATATCCTGAATGCATGGATAATGAGAAAGCTAACGGATAACCTTAACTTGAACCCTATCCAGGCGTTCGCACGCATCGTAAACATCATCAATTGTTACACTGCTCATTTTTCAAACCTCCTTTCGATAAAAGTCCGCAATAACAGCAGTAACGAATTTCCCTGAAAAAACTTTCAAACAGTGATATCGTTCGGCTGCTTCCTTTTCATCATAGGATAGCTCGTAAAAAAATCACCACTAAGAAAAGAAATCAAAAAGATATTAAAAACATAAAAATTATGTCTGCAATGCAAAGATAATAGTGATTGCAAGGTTGAAGATGCAACAGAATGCAAGCTAAAGACCTGCAAAAAAAGACCTAAAAAAGACCAACAAAATTTGGTGCACAGAGAAAAGGTAATTTGTGTATGGGTCCAAGCTTAAGAGCAAGTAGCCGTGCTATTGATAGGCTGGGCTATTTGAAAGTCCGATGAAGTTGAAGATTTAAAACTAGTTTAATGCCTTGAGCTAGTCTCGGAAGTGGTGGCATGGGAAATGATTTGTACTTAATCTTTCTCATTGTGCTTCATCAAAAATACTGAAAGGCAGGAAAATAATAAAGGTTGGGTATGACTGAGGATGGATATTACAGGCAATGGTAACTGGCTGATATGAGCACCACTTCCATAGTAATTATAATTCAGGTCAAAAATCCCTGAACTAACGGAATTCTAGATGAAGCGTCACTATCTACAACATAACTATTACCGTTTCCATCAACATACTATGTAGCTAATCGTACCTGGCAATGCCAATTTTGTCTCATTGCTTGGGTCAGGATGCGATATTTTGCAAGTGTTCTGCGTGTGGGGAAATATGGAATGTGTTATCAGTTCGTGATGTTGTTCGTTAAAAATTTTTATTATTCTTTGTGTCTCTTTCTATACGATTTCAATTTTCATGCGTAATCAGTATTAACATTACTTAAGTTAGCATTTGCTGCATGTCTAAATCTCTGTGTTCTTTTTGCGTTTTCTGCAACTGCTTCTCATTTCTTATTTAAACCTTTCTTGTTCAAATTTTGTCCAGTGTATTTTGAATCAGACTGTTAACACAGGAATGAAGCACTCACAGGACGGTTTTGTAAGTGGTGAGCGTTTTCCGAAAGTTATATAGAATATGAGGTATGGCCCTTTCAGTTCTTTCTCGAACATGTCTCCGAAGTCTTCTAAGTACTCTGAAAACTGTCCAAAAGGCCGACTTCAGGAAAGTAAAATTTTGGGGTGGAAATACTAGAATTAAAGGATGAGTATTAAATCGGATTCGAATATTAAAATCGGAAAGTACTGAATGGACTGTAAGATAACATCATATACTATTCCTCTAAAATTTGTGAACTGTCATACCAAATGAGAGTGAACTGTTTTGGAATAATCACAAAATTTGATTATGAATCGATTCGTACCATTCAATACTTCTAGGTACCGGTTTATTTGGTTTTGTTGTTGCAGTCGTTCAATTACAATGAATGTTTTGGAATTGTTTGGATTTGACTTCAGTACCACGCTTACCGAGACTCAAGAACTTACGAAAGGTTTTGTTATAATTTTTTGCGTAATGCAGACCAATGCACGTTTCTTTCATTCATTTGCTTTTCCAATCATATGTTCATTGATTTAAATGGCAGCATGAAATATCATTTACACTTCCAATTTATTGTTACGCTCACTGTCATCATCCATACTATTTTTCTTTCTTTCTAAATTTTATATCCTTTTTAGATTATGAACGATCCAATTTGCTGTTAATCACTAGATTGGTATTGCGCGTATTTTTGGATGAAAGTATGCGTTCGCGACATCGTATTATCAATGCCGAAATACGTTCACTTGCTGATCTTTTCGTCATACTTGAGAAAGTTTTGTGGCATGGTTTCAGAAGTTCAGGTTTCAAGGCTTTTTATACTTTAAATGCAAAACTTTCCTCAGGATTATTACTGAAGCAATTGTAAAAAAGTTCAAATGATAATCCTTGTTGTATGAAAATGAAAATAAGTCTCGATGGCCTTAGAAATTTATTTGGATAATGATGAAGTTCGAGCACTAATAGTAAGAGATTTTCCTTTATAGATGATCCTTTGTACTATTGCGTAGATGATTTATTTGAAATGATAAATGAGATTAGAATTAGTTTCTGCACTTTGGTAAATTCATATTTGACCTTTTTTATAGTCCAGAAGACAATGATAGCACTGCGTGCCCCAGATTCCGAGTTATGGAGTTGTCTTGGTAAAGTTGCAAACGTAAATGCAGATATGAATGAAAGTTACCAATGCATTGATCGTCTTGATAAGATCACGTAGGTTATTTTTTGTAAATCGAATCAGTTTTATGAAGAAATATGGTAAACATTCATCAATACTTGGTATAGTTTGCGCAATATCGGAAATCGGTTTGCAGAGCCCCTCTGCTTCGCATTCGAGCCTTCCTGAGATTAGCAGTCATGCAAAAGAAACTTGGTAACTACTTCGAAAATTTGATCACTTCATGCTACATCAGGTATGGGAAATTTGATTCTGAATCTGAGAAGAAAATTCAAAAATTAGCCATCATATTGCATCGGTGTTTGTGACAGCATATTCGGACAAATCTAAATGAGTTGACTTCATTACTTTTAAAACAGATGGCAGAAGTTCTTGAAACTACTGAGATCCCGGTTCGCGCTTTATATTTAGGTTAAGAGTGAATGTTATGATTCATTTCGTATTTATACAGATCTAGCACCATATTTATAAGGTATTATTGTGAGATTTGCTTGTAAGACATATGGATTAGCAGAACAGAACATTTTACAAAATGTTTTCCGGGACTTCTACGAGCCGTGGGCACTGATTCGACATGACGAATGCATCGGTTTATCCGGAGCATTGATGGCACTTTCCGTTCTTGATTGCAATCTAGTGCTAGATCAGGCACAGTTAGTAAATCAACCCGTGTAAGTTTCGAATTTTGTTGCATAGCTTCGTTTTCTTTGTTGTTCAGTTGTTTTCATTTCATCTTTTCTTTTTTAATGATGATTGTCATATCGACCTTCTACTTTTGAACCGAAGCATGTGTATTAAAGAACTGTTGAACTAGCGGCTTATGTCTGTTTACCAAACATATCGAATAATACTAATGGTGAAAAGGAACCTGATATGGCTGATGCAAAATCACTGGAACTTGTTCTTGATCAAAAAAATTATTTAGAACAACGAAATCATTATTTGGAGTAAGCTTTTTGTAAATTTTACTAATAAATTTTGTTTTATGAAATCTTCACAAATATATTGGTTTGATGAAGCAGATAGCTCTTTAAGTGTACTAATATTCTTGAAAAAAGGAATTTGAACTCTTCGTTTTTATCTCATAATTTGATGTCATTATTATAGATCCAAAGTGATTGAGTTGAAAGCGAAACTGGAAGAAGTCAGTCTGTCTACTCTCAATAGCGTCAGTGTAAGATATTTTATAATTTCGGAAAATGTGGTACCTCTGATTTATTCTAAGCCACAATTTTTGAAGATGAGTGGATAAAGACTTCGGATTATTGATTTGTAGTAAAACACAAGTGCATTTGAAATATTGAAAATAATTTTTCCAGGTGGTTAATGCTGCAATGGAAGATGCATCAAAAGTGACTAGTGAGCATATTGCTACAACAGAAGCACAAGAAAAGGAAAAGTCTGTTTTTATTATCTGTTTCAGATATTTTATTCAATTTGAAGCAAGAAACAATTCCTACTTAATGTTGATTGCCTTTCAGAGTGGAGCTAGCTCAGTTAGTATCTGAAAAAGAAGATTCCATACGAATTTTACGGCAGCAACTAGCAGATACGAAAAAAGTGAACGTTGATTTGTATGAAAAAATTCGTATTGTGGAAGGGAAATATCGACAACTGGAAAAAGACATGATTAGTGCCAATAAGCGATATAACTATGTAAATTTTCTTTTAAAAGAAATTGTTATGGATTCATCGATGTGCCATAAGATTTCATTTGTTGTTATAATCAATAGCGGAATATTGAAATCAGCGTTAAATAAAACAATTTGTTGAGGAGAGAGAACAGCAACAACAAATGATTGATATATTGAACAAAAGAAATTCTATGCGTGAAATGGATTTTGAACATGAAGCTGGGACTTCAGAGATGTTGAAAAAGGAGCTAGCTGATAAAACTGATGAATACATGCAAACATTGAATGTGTTGGAAAAGAAGCAGGTGAGTAGGTCTAAATTTCTAAACTTTCAATTTAAAACAGCGCATATATTCTGCATGTGAAAATATTTGACGTATATGTACGTGTTTAGCAGGAATTGGCTGTTGCGAATGACCGACTTGGAAAATTCCAGCGTCAGATTTCTGAGTTGAATGAAAAGCTGAAACAGTTGCCTGTGTTAAAACAGGTTCATTGTATTCTTTATTTAAATATTGAATACTGCAAAGATGTCTATTTAAAAGTTATGCTGGGTTTATAGTTTACTGGTTTGCCATTTTGATCGTCACTTTCAATGCTGAAGTTCAACATATGCAAAGTTCCTAGAACAGAAAAAACTATCGCGCTAATTTTGTTTTGTACATTCTTCCATCCACTTACCGTTTACTGCATTAACTGATTCTTGGCTTCATTAAATTATCATTCATTCTGTTTGCAATAAAGCTGTTGCTTTCTCATTTTAATCATTTTTCAGGAACTCGAAGAATTGACTGCCAGTTACAAATATAAAAGTGAGAAACTGGAGGATTGTGAAAAAGCTTTAGAAGAACTTGGTGGTCATCTTTCGGAGTATGTCACCAGTCCATTTTACATAGAATTTAGCACTGGTTTTGTGCATAACATTTCTGATGGCCTGTAGGAAAAATGTTATTGTTTTAGGTCAAAGTTGAAAGTAGTTGAATTGAAAGAAGAATTGTTGCCTCTTTCGGAAGCTGAGTGGGAAAAAGATGGTAATGTTTTGAATTGTAAAGGGTGCAATTTGCAATTCAGTATGAGTAAACGAAAGCATCACTGCAGGTCTGTTTAAAAATGTATATTGTAGCACATCTTTCAGAAAGTTGACGAGCAAGTTTAAGCTTATATATTTATGAGGGTTAGTTCATAAGTATTAGTTCTGACCGTGATTTTGAAGAATGTTTATTAATAAGCCTATGTTTCGTTTTTTTTTTTTTTTAAATTCTTGTTATTCTTATCTTCTTAATAAGAATAACTTCTATTTTAGGAATTGCGGATCTATATTTTGCAATTCATGCACTGATGCGCGTGTCAAACTGCCTTCTAACGCGAAACCAGTGCGAGTCTGTTTGCACTGCTACAACTTATTGCGCTCGCGACATAATTCTTCATTAGAAGAAAGCTCATCACTTAATTCTTTTTAGTTTTGGTCGATGTAATTGTCAAAAAACTTATGTAAATAACCCTGTGTTGATTTACATATGAGAATGGTTGTACCTTAATTTTCTGCTATTTTTTTGATCCTTCTCTTGCCATCCATTCACTTTCTCAAATTTTTGTTGATGGAAATGAAGTAATATCTTGTATGTGTCCTGATAGAAATGTTTTAATGTTTTCAGAATAAATGGGTTTTGGATATATTTTAGCGTACCATGTAATAAAACATTCTAAACAAAGATGATGTTGTAAAACTTCAAATTTTGAGCGTTTTCGATTGATTGATTTGGAAGTTAAAGTGTCCCTTAAAGAAAGCTGATTTGTTTGAAAAGGGTCGTGTCGAACTTAAGCACTTGTTCAATGCTTTGAAGGTTCCAATTGTTGGTCACAAGAGTCGAACTTAACTTCTTCGCTTCTTCGAGTCAAGTAAATCTGACTTGGTCTGTTTGCAGAAAGTAGGGTCCCGACCGTCATCGTGCCTAGCATGGGTTTTTACCGGGTTGTTGGGATTGGAAGTGTTTGCGTGCGATTCTTGTCGCTAGCATGTGTGTGGCCTAACTTGTTTAAGGCATACCGTGCAGCGAAGGCAACAAATGCATGGACGGGCAGAGGAACCGGTTGTTTTCTGAACGATACATACGTCTTGATTTTCGTTTTCCTCTTTTTACTATTTGGAGGCACTATTCCAACGACGTTGCATCACTATCATCACCGTAATGTTCATTTCCCGTCATCTGTATCTCCCACCCCGAACCATTCAACCTGTCCCCGTTTTCTCCCCTTCCCCCGTCCCCTTCGTCTGACACCTCCTGATTTGATGACATCGCGCATTTTCTTATCATTATATTATTTCTTCTCACCCATACCCATTCCAACCTTCCTTAAATTTTTAATGTCTTGCTTGCCATATTTTCCCAAGTTTTCTTGATTTATTTCCTTGCTTTTCCTAAGTTATTTGCTAAATTGACTTTTGGTACCTAACAAATTACGCATCGTTTTCACTGAAGACTGATTGATTTTACAATTCTTAGTAAAAGTAAAAGATTGATTTACTTCGAGATAATTGTAACTCTTCCTGGACCATGTCTGCTAGAAATAATAACTTTTGAATTTTAAATTCTGTATTACAACGGGATTCTGACATATTGATATATTATCAATTTGACATGTCTTGCTTGATTAACTTACATCTCCATATGATTGTTAGCTAGCTCTATTTTCCAGCGAGATGAAATAAAGAAGCAGTGAAGAATGAAGGGTTCATCAGTTATGTTCAATGAAGCGGGAAGAAGTATTGAGTCCAGCTGCTTGATTTTTAAAAAGAAAGGGGTTCTCATTTTAAGTTGTATTAATCTATGTTAATTAGATAAGAATAGAAATAATCCCTTCATTGGATTGAGCACATTTAAGAATTTAGTAACAGTGAGAGCTTTTCCGTTGTTTTCAAGATAATGTTGATTCAGTGGACACGGTGTTACTTATTATGTTCACAACCGAATGACATCAGTGTCGTTGTGCTCTATGTTTACAAAAATCACAAGCGACGTCTAAAAAATAATGAAACCTCAGCGATTTCACTCGGTACCTTCGTGGGTCTTGAAACTGGTTGGTTTTTCCTTTTTTTTCTTCTGATTTTTAAGAAATTCGCACTATAATATAAAGATGAAACATTTTTTCGGTAACATTAATTGAAAGCAGGGCTGGTATTATTTTAATAGTAATTTCCTTTTTAAGGTTTTGAGTTGAAAAAACAATATAATACAATGTGTGTTATTACACAACCAGATATTTTAACCGTATCGTTTCAAGCAGCTGAAATATTGACAATGTGGGAGACTTGGATTTATCATGCCTGCTTCAAAGGTTACTAGTTAGCTCTGTCTTATTCAATGCTTTTTTCGGTATTACTGCGCTTTAATGATACTTGTATTTTGATGATGTTTTGCTACTTAATATCTTTAATATTCATCTCACTGGTCTAATTTTCTGGTTAGCCAATGCATTTTCCTCTTGTTGAGCTTTCGTTTACTGAAAATTTCATCAGATAACCACCCTTAGCATATATACCTCAGCGAGATACGGAAATATAACAGAAAAGGCACTATCAAAGTATGGCTAAACTATATCACAAAAAGTGCTACGTTATGCTATTGATTGTGAAAAAAGAAATGCTTCTATTACTGGTAGTTGTCAGTCGATGCTGGCTGCGGAATTATTGTGGGAAAACATATCAGCTGCTTAAAAATTAATCAGTTGCTTGGATAAGTCTGTTACATTGTCATACACCGCACTCTGCGGTCTTTATTTCTACATTCAAATCCGAAAGAGATTGAGTTTATCTGCTCATTTTTTTATCTGTTCGATAAGTCGGTATCGAACAGTTTCCATTGGGCATTTCTATAATAATTATATTTGATAGCTAATTAAAACACAGAACGTTTTAAAGTGCACTAGCCTGCTGATCAATCAAAAAAAAGCAATCCACAATTCATTTTTGATGGATTGAGGCATGAGTAGCTTAACTGGAAATCCCTTGAGAAATAGCTTGAAGGTTTTAATGGAAAGGTCAGCCTTTAATTCACTGTGCAGATAATCTCAAATGAACTCTTAGCGGTAATATAAACCTGAAGTATTCACATCAATTGATGTTCAATACAAACTAATAGGTCAAAAAAAAATCCTTGTAAACGAGAGTACTATGATATGACCCTTTTATTAATTATGAGGACTAGGAGCAGCTGATAGATCTATTTGTTCTATGAGAGAATGCCAAACTTGGTTATTTACTTGTTCTTAGTAATGTCAATAATAATTAACATTTACTTTTTTATCCTGCATTTTCCATACCATCTTTTGCTCTATTATTTCATAAAGATATATGTGAATTTGCAGGTTCGCTATTTTATGCACAACTGGTGGGTGCACCCGAATCAAGTCGTGCACATGAGTCGTTAAATTGCGAAGTGCGACTGCATATACATGTTAGCTTTTAAAATTTAATCGTAATCTCTCAGTTCTTTGATGAAGAAAGACAGGGAATGAACAGGAAAAAGTTGTGCAACCGAAATAGTTCGTTCAAGATTTTCAGAATTATTGCATTTTAGGATGGCCGTATCGCACTTGTTGACGGTTACCCACAACGTTTGATAGGTTTCTGGTTCCTGAACGAAATCATTCGAGTTTGTTTCAACGACAATAAGTTGCAATTCTTCGCAAATGATAGAAGTGGTTTGGATGATGGCATGTATTCGCTGGTTTGTGGACGAATACAGCTCCTCGAGAAGCACTATAATTTAGCTACTAAACCCGTAAGTTGCTTTCGTGCTCTATTCCAATTTATGAATTTCACTTTTCAATAACTTTTTAGGTTATTCAAGCGGCAGTGGAATGCGATAGTAGTACTATTTGACGCAAGTCCGAGAATGCAGTCTGTCAGAACGTAATGGACACAGATCAGATTTAATTGCATGAGACGTCTGATCCATGGTTTGGATCTCCTCCCCATCACATGTCAGTTTAAAAATATGTATCGTTTGGCGCTGCAGCTATATCCTTTTCAATAACAATATATTCGTTTAATAATCTAATTTAGGGGTTACTTACCGCATTCATGAAGCAGAAAGAAGGTGATGGATTGTGGTATGAGGATAAGTTTGCTGATTCTTCGCAAACAGTAATCCAACATTCCAGTACGTGTAGCATTCAGAACCCTGATATAAATCATTTCGCCCTTTCGTAAGTTCATTTTTTGAGAATCAATAGATTTATGGCCAAAAAATTTTTTTATTAAGAGTTTGAGAAACTGGAATTTTCGTTGGTTTCTGATGTATAGCCAAACATGACACTCCCTTATTATATTGCTTTGTGTACTTCAATTTTAGCAATGTATGTCGAAATTCAAGTTGCAAATCAAAAACTTCAGGTATTTTTACCTTAATATTCAATTCGTTCAATTTAATTCAATTCAATTTATTTCTGAACATCTTTATAACGACACTATTCTAAGTGCTGCCAAGTAATGTTTTCATCTCAAAATTTTTTTGTGAACCTTCCGGAGAGCTTAAAGATGTATAGCCGTGGAATATGCACCGATTAATTGAACAAAACGCTGTTTCTGCAGTGTCCTCAATTGGTGCTCAGGTTTCATGTGTCAATATGCTAACTGATCCTAGATTTCTTCCGCTGTGTAAGTGACACATGAAAGTATTCAGTCATTACAGAATCATGCATTCACGTGTTGCATCCGGAAAACCATACCAAGATCGCGTGGTACTCTTAGATTACTTTCTATCCTTACTTGCATTCATAGTGTACATATGCCATCAAAGCGATTTATAAATAGGGTATGAGTCCGATTATTTGGACGAGCCATACCAGGCGACATTCGATTCGATTGAATACCTAAAGTAATTAGGAAACGGTAACAGATGGACAAGACTAAAGCAGGATGAGAGTTGATCCAAAAGTTTGATAAAAGCACTTAACATAAAACGAAATAAGATAGGCCTACTGAGCAGTATCGGTATGTGATTATGTAATTCGTGACATCAAGTCGGATATCCTAAAAACTATCAAGAATGATGTTTAAGTGGAGAATTTCAATTCCTTCTACTCCTCACAATGGTTAGTGAATGTGTGTGTGTGTGTGTGTGTGTGTGTGTGTGTGTGTGAGTGTGTGTATGTGTGTATGTATGTATGGGTATGCTATTTCCAGCTAATGCTCCATCGATGTCATCGTGTTGTGTGCCATACGTAAATGATACGGCTGAGGAATGCCTGCATTCGCAGAGTGAACCTTCCGTGTCATCAGTCGGACATTGGGATAAATCATCCAATGATGTTCTGCTTAGTTCATCCATCAGGGATCGCAAGCTTCCGGTATTCTCGAACACTGCTATCTCAAGTAAATCCTTATCACGTGCAGATAGTTGGCCAAGACCGCTGACTGATGAAATCATCCGAAAGGTTAGTAATACTTGAACTGTTTAAATTGCAAATGATTTGAAATTCAAAAATTCGCTCAAGAACTTTTACAAAAGGATTGATTGGTTAAATCGATCAGATGAAATGGGAATAGATGAACAAGTGAGAGTACTAATGGCGGTGTTGTATAAAACTGAGTTATCAGTATGTAGATCACCCTAGTATTGAAAATTGCTGGTCGAACAAAGGCCAAGATATCGTGATTATATGATTACTGGCTTCCCTATAATAACTGTGCAAACAGAAAAACTCCTTGGATTCTAAATTTTTTGCGAGAGTTTGCTTTTTCATTTACAGGTCTCCTGGGAACATTTCGAGTAGCATGTTCATATCAGGATCTTTAATTAACAAACACCTTATGCATACAATAGTTGAAAATATTTTAGAGAGAGATGTCTATACGTACGCGGAAATGGTGTGCTGTTAATGACAGGGAAACTAAGTGCCGATTTGTAAAACAAGAGAAGAAAAGTAATTCTGTTAACAAATATTACGAGTGTGGTAGCTTTCGGGGACAATCTGGGTTAGTTCTGAACAGTTTTTGTGAAATAAGCCTCGTTTAACCAAATGAACTGGAATTCTGGTCTAATGTCATTCCAGTATTTGTTCTGTTTGGGATACATTCCCAAAATTTCGGGAATAAAATGCATCGCTACTGTTGCATAAAACCACAAAGAAGCGCGAAGTTTTGATTTTTTTTTTAACGAAAAAGAAAACTAATCGTAATTAATCAAACTTTGAAATTTTCAAATTCAGTTGTGTCTCATGATTTATATTGTTTCCGATAGGCGTCTCCCGAAACGTTCAAGGTCATTGGGAATGGAATCTAGATATTTAAATTCATCACGAGAGAAAAATTGGAATCGTGCGAAGCGTATTATTGGTGGTGTGAGGAAATCGATTAATGATTTGAATACTTGTAAAGTAAGTGAATAATATTGCTCGGCTTCATCATATGGTTGAATTAAGGACTATTTTAATTACATTTCAAATCCTTACTCATTTTATAAGGCTGGGGTTATTGGCAGAAGGGAATGGTGTGGTTTGAAGTGTCTGGGACAGTTTGGGATTCTAAGTTAAGCGATTGACGGTTAGGTGTCTTTTAAATATTTTTGTACAAACATTTACCTAAATCATATATATATATAATTTTGTTTATTTATTTGTACTCATATTTAAACTTTATTTCAGTTTTCGGCATCCTTGGATAAATTAGCATTACCGGCAATGTTGCATCACGAAACAGCGGTTAGCTTTAATCCCTGTTTTCCTCATTCACTTTGCATTTTATGGAACATCGAGCGTTCATAGCTCTGAAGTTTGTAGGCAGCGGCATCATCATCTACTGATGACACCAACCAAGTTGAAAGAGTACCTGATGGCTTGCGGGAACCAGAATTAACAACCCAAGGTTAGCAGTGTGTATTTTTCGGGCTTGAATGATTTATTCAACGATTTTCAAAATTCTGCTTAAGGACAAAGAAAAAGTCCGGCAAATCATGAGTTAAAAATACTTTAGTAGGGATTCCATGTGATTATGAATCCGTTGATTTATAAGTAGATAGTGATTTTTGCATCCTTTCCGTGATCCCAGTTGAAGTTAGGAAGTTTATGATGTTGCGTAAATGAATTGATTGTCAATGTAAGTGTTAAGTTCTCAACACTCTACTCCTACTTATTTTAATTTTCTTAGGTTTTGTCTCATCATTATCTGCACAGTCTGTGAATAGATTACCTGGCCTAATCAAATTGCCACCCAAAAAATTTAATCTTATACGTGCTCGCCACATACTCACGAAAAGCCTGCAGAAATCGATTTCAGGTTCATTTTCGGTATGTGAGAATTCTCGATTTTAATCTATTTTCGGTCAAGTTATCTAAGGCAAAATTAATTTCGCTGCTTTAAGGGTTTTAAAAAACTAATAAACTTTAATAATTTCTTTGTAAAAACTTGCGATGATTGGTGGAATAATTAAATATAGGGAAAATAATCTATTAATAATTAATGGAAAAATGAAAATATTATCACTCATTCATACTGTATTGAGCTTCTTAGAAGTATGACGGTGAACGATCGGCAAATCATTTCAATCTAGAAGATGCCAAATGCACGGGATCTGTGATTGACAGTATCGAAACGGCTGTGAAAAAGAGTCGAGCCCGTTTACTTGAAGCGGAACGGCGAAATTCGGGATTTGCCGACCGAGCAAGTCCAACGAATCCGTCTGGGTGCGACTAGGGTTTTTCTTTTTCATTTGATTTTTAATTTGCTTCATTTATCTAAAGCATGTCAAAATTAAAACATCCTCGAAGTTTTATTCTGAATTTCGTTCATGTTTCGGGCACTGATTTTTATATATTATGAAAGCTAGAAGGTTCATTTCAGCCATTCAGTGTGGACAACATTGCCAGAAAACGTGGCAATATCGTCCACCTGGTCAACTGTTGGTCCCTCTTATGTTACCGATTCTTTTCTATCGAGCCACGATCGGAAATCGTTGGTAAAGACCGTTATATCAGGCGCCGATAAATGCTGCAATGCTGTGAAGTTAGAATATCTTTTTTTGATAGTAGCATGCTTGAAATGTTAGGTTTAGAATCTAATTTCTTAGTGGAATCAAAATAACGCATTAGTTTTGGTAGCTCTTTCGGTAGTAAATTGAAGTATTTAAAATGGAGGAAACAAAAGAGAAGGTAATATTTCAGCTTAGTTTCAATGATACCTGACCGACAATCTATCAAAAAAAGTGAAAATGTTTCTCCAGCACCAGCGAGAACGGATTTGCCGCCGCAAATAAAGGGACCATTGAAGGATGAAAGCTTGAGAGTGAAGTTTCAATGGATCATAAAAATATACAGTTTCTTTCTTTTGTTTTTACCGTAATTGTCTACACAGCGTAAGGACATAGAATATGGCATTTTGAAGTTTAAACTGTATCAGCAAACTTTTCTATAGTTCTAGATGTTTCCGTTTATAATCTCGCAGTACTGGGAAATCGCGTTTGATCGGAGAAAGTTTTTTGGACTTTCAAAAATTATATGTATGTTCTACGCATAGGATTTCCTGATTTTGCTTACTTCTCCAAGTGCTTAGGAATTCGATGTTTTCAGAATTCTTTAACAGTTGTAAAGGACACGAATGCAGAAAAGCTCGAGACAATACCATTATGTACGACAGAGGCCTCACTTTCGGGAAGTTACTGTAATTTGGAAACGAAAAGTAGCAGGAATTTGTCCCAAAAATCGGCCGAAATTTCCCGTATTGTTTATGTACAAATCGATCCTGTGGCGACACTTGGCGCGATACAGGTATCAATTTTGGGACAAATCAATGTACAAAATTTTGTTCGAAGTTCGGCTTCTGCTTGTTTTAATTGTTACTCGGTACGAATACTTCCAGTATTTACTTATGTCATTATATGATGATATCAAAGATTGGTAGTCCCAAAGAATGTTTACTTTTTCTTCTCCTTTCAAGACCCAACAAACTATGATGAGGGATCGTGCGCGCGTTGGTAGCTTAGTTAAAAATAAGCGTTTCTCAAGCCAGAATAACGTGGAACGCAAGGATCGAACTGGTTAGTTTCGATCAAAAACATTAAATTAATTCCAATCGTGCTCAAATATTTCATTGTTTAATGAGCTTAAATTTGCCGTAAAAGTTGTTCATTGCTAATTGAAATTTGCTACTTATTTTCCAGATGAAGGGTGGAACAGAAGTGGTTTTTTTTCTCGTCGCTTTTGGCGGAAATTCCCAGTGTCAAAGTCGTATTCTGATCTCCGTTTCTGAGATTTCATAAATTTGCAAATATCAGTATCATTATAATTACATCTAATCAGTCAGTCAGGTGTCTTTTTAATTTCGAATTAATTTGAATGGTTTTTGCTATATGGAATTGAGAATCTCTTCCAGCCTCTTAACATGAACCGAATGATTGAAATTTTTTTATTCTGCTAATGGCCGATTTCTAATATCATCATGAAATTGCCGAATCTCATGTGTTATTTTATATAAAGTTTACTGGTTTTGTTCTCTAAATGGCGACTGTAATACTCTGAACGCGATGTATATAATAATACTACAATTTTTTCTATTTGTCTTTTTCATGCGATTTCCTTCCCATCTACGAATAATTCTTACTTTAACTTTTGCTGTCGTTTCTGAATTAATAAAAATAATTTACTGATCTCTTTTCCTACTTTCTAAGAAAAATAATCTATTCAATTCATTGCACAGCGCTTCTCGTAAAATTAATCTGTGCTGTAAATATACTCACATATATGCAGTGAAATCAAGCAATTTTTGACAAAAACATTTTTGAAGATCCATAAAGTGGAAGTAGCCATAGCTGTAACAATTTATCCTAATTTAGCAACATTTATTACCTTTTCATCTATGTAACTACTGTTGATGACGTCATTATCATATGACTTTGTTGTAATGCTGTGATTAAGTATGCTCGTAACTTCTCTGAGAGTAAAGCCAAAGTACGTTCAATTAAGAAACAATACCGATAAGAGCACGAAAATTCCAGTTTCAGCAACTTCCCTTTCGTAACTGGCATATCTTCAATCCCTTTTTTCAGCCGACCGCAACTTACTTTAACCTCAATCCAAATCCCAAGTGACTTTCAACTTTTGGCTCTGTATAGTCTTAAAGAATCTATATTGTTTTATTATTTAAAAACAATTCGTGAATGAATTCATCTTTAAACATTGATTGAACTGTTGCAAATTCGTCTTTTTGTCCTCTAGTAGCTTATTAATTGTGAAAGCACAATGAATTGCATTGTCATCACAATAACTGAATTTGTTTTGTTGACCTAAGTGATGTTATATGTTTTGAAGAAGCAAAAGGAGAAATAATATTGTTATAATTTGGAGTCTAAATCCCAAAATTTTTTCTCGTAGCTATGATTCGAATCGAATAGTTAAGAAATGGTTTCTGATTATTTTTTTGAGGAATGAAGGTGACGAAGTTATGAGGAAAACAAAAAATGGGTAAACATAAAAATTGAGTGTTAGGCTGTCCGAAAAGGCTAAAGTGATTTCGAATTCCCAATCCAATTCGGTTAATCCAATGTTTGTGATGCTGGTGCTGTTTAATAAGTACAGATCCTCATCTTGTCGAATGAGGATCGATATCTTATCTAACTTACCCCCTCGACCCTCTGGTATTCAGCATGGTTCACTCTGATGGACTCGAATAAATAATTGAAAGAACTAACTATTCCTTTTCAATACGGCCTCATTTCTTATCTCCATTGTTCCCAGTCGCTCACTGTTATCATTGTGATTTCATCAAATTGACTGTTTGCCTTTACAGAGTTAACAAATACGAGTAATGTAGTTTGCATCAAAATAGAATACGAACAATTTACAACAGAAATTTGGTTTTGGTTTTTCAGATATAGGACGGAAGAACTTGGCAAATATTAAGGATGAAGAATTTCAATTGAAATGAATTTGTAAGCTTATTTTTCGTTTCTTCTTGAATTCCGAAAAGATTGAGTGAAAATGGTGTGGGTGCAGGGAAAATGTTGAGAAAGTAGTAAGGGCCCGTTTGCAGATGTTGTCATTTTCTCCAGCTATGAATATTTCGCTGCTTGTCAGCCTGATTCTTTTTCTACCAAATTTTGCATAAATACGATGTTCGAGTACCATTAAAAATGTAATACGTTTTGCGAGCATCCGTTTCTACAATTTTAAATACTATCTCTTCCCATTCCTATTTTATATTTCGTAACTTATTTAAAACCAAGTTTCAAGCATGTTTCTGTATGAATTAATTATTGAAAGCTCCAGGTATCTGCGAAATTTATTTTCATTTTTTTTAGAAAAGAAAACTCCTTGAATTATCCGATGTTATCATCAGGTTTTTGGTTTTGCGATGATTCTGGTCCATTCGAAGATGAAGGTACCAGTAAAGCATTTTTGTAACATGCATGTAGCTCCCAAGCTGATTTTTTCTTTCCATCTAGTTTGCTGCAAGATGTTATTAGAATAATGGTAGTGGTGGAAATGATTAGAAATGAAATTGGACAAATGATTTTTTACTATTTATATATGAAATAGTACTGGAAATTATTGTATTACTTTTTTCCTTTGGACAAAAGATTTTTAAATGAAGTTTGCTTTTAAGTTTGCTCTTTTTTTGCCTTTGCATTCCGACCTTTTCAAATATCTTTTTTTAAACTGCGGAATTTTTTATGAATTGTCAATTTATGAAAATTTGAAAATGATTTACAAAATGTTTTAAAAAGTATAACTCCTAAAGAGCAATATGTTTCCCTTGGATGACTATATTCTTTTTAATTAATTATAAAAACAGAAGCAATAATAAATTAACATCTAAGCAATAGCTAATGCAATCTGGGAATTCAATGAAAGAGGAAAAATGTTTCATTTTGTTTCATGAAAAAAAAATTTTTGGACATAATAAATTACAGTTTTACACCGTTACAATAAATTCTTTATTTCGAAGATTTCATTTTGACATGACAAATTTTCACATCGTCTTCTGTATCCCTTATTATAGACTATATCAGAGGAAGAGATGTATATATTTAGGATTCAAAATTTGCAAGAAATTGTAGCATAGCTTTTTAAGAAAAAACCCAAAAAACGTTTCACGTTACTAATTGTTAAATGAAATTTAATTAACTATTGATGACAATTTTGGCGTATCATTTTCACTTACCATCCAAACTTCATTTAACTCTTAGCGGACTGAAAACAATTAGGTTTATCAACTTATTTTCAGTAAAGTTATATTTAATATGTGATCTGCTGCTACCCGTCAAAGCTGACGCCTACCTTAAAAATATTTCGAATGAGGAACTGGTTGTGCGGATGGCTGCTACGCAGAAAGAACTAGAATTGCATCCGACTATAGCATATCGTCGTAATGAGAGTTTAATGAAGTGAATGGCGTAATGAGGAGCAGTTGGACTTCCTCAGCAATACCTTACATGAAAAACATTTTTCTGAATTTCAGTGTAGGATAACCACCAATCGGCCATGTACTATTCAATTTTAGCGTCGTTTACTAAGTTGATGTTTCAATCAAGCAAGTTCAAAAACAAAGTTTCTGAATTTTCCTGTTAATCAGATTCAGCTGGGGAAAAAGACGATATGGAACAAGAAAACACGAAAATTTGGTGAAGGGGTGGCCGGAAGAATGGGAAATGGATCGGGATGTGGAAACAAGTTTCGCTACAAGTGAAAAGTAAAAAAATTGAAAATAGTTGAGAGCGAAATCAGAACGAATGATTTACAAAGAATGTACTTTCCTTCCTGTTCAGCACCGCGAGAGAGACGGAGCACAAGGTGCATAGGGGACACAATATTAGGGTGAACTATTCTGTTATTCCAAACATTAAATAGGCAGCCATTAGGTTTGTTAGAAAAAATCAATCAATATTAGCATTCTTAAGCATCGGATGTTTAGCCATTGATTGTACCGTTCTGGGTCAGCCTTCCTCTCCGTAAATTCAAAATATTTTATTTAAATTAACAGATGGTGAACTATTTATATGTAGATGATATATTCATATCATTTAATTTCTTATATACTGCTAACAGTAGAAAGAAATCGTTGTAGCTATATGCAAGGTGGGAAAGAGGACAGGAGGAGCCGGCGACACTTATCTAATAAGGACAGTTTGTTACCGTTGGCGCTTCTGCTGCACCATTTGTTATTTCTATTTGAAAATGTATGAATCAGCGCTTAATTATACATTTTCACTTCTTGTCTTGATCATCTTTCGGTTTCTTTAATGCAAGGAAAAAAAGGAAAAGCAGAGAATGGATATATCTGTCGTCCTTTCCCTTTCATTTGTCTAACAGATGAACAGGATTCAAATTCTGTGTATCGCAGGACTTCCTGAAAGAAAGGGTTCAAGATGATTTGTGTAATCATTGGTGATTGTTTACCTGTTTATGTTTTCTCTGCATACGGTTCAGTAATTTGAAATTTTTTCATTTCTATTTTTTTTAAGCGGCCTAAAAAGCCATGTTCAGTCACATTTCTTGACCAATACCTTTTCCAATTATTTGTCCAAATTTCTTGAAATTATGAATAAAGCTTTGAAAGAGGTAAGAAAAAGATGTGAAGAAAGCATATTATAGCACTCAAAAAATTGCATTTACAACGATAATGTGGCAATACTTCGTTATTATCCGGACGGCGTATTCTCAATCAATTTAATTGGTAATGGCATACCGCAACAAAGATTAAAAATTACCTAAATAGCGACTGCAGCCGATCGTTGTGCCGGAAATATTATTGAAATTTCTATCATAGGGTAATAAACCCACTTCATTTTTAGTATAATCTAGAATTGTTGTTTGAAAGAAAGGTTTAACATAGTAATTCTCAATAATTTTAAAGTAATTTACAAATGCTTTTGTCCTTTTATCAATTACCATTCCAGTTTGTTTTCTTGTGAGCGATTTTACAATTACTGATAAAAAGTGCAAGTGAAACAATCATGAATTATCCACATATTACTTCTTACAATAAATATATGTCAGCCGTACATTAGAGTTCTGTGTTTCACGCGGTGTTGAAAAGCGGCCTGATAAAAATGATTCCTTCCTTTGCGAAAAAAAGAAACATTTTGAAATATTTGAGATAATACTCAAATTTCGTAGGAGAACTGGCTTCGGCTGTGTCTTTTGGATGAAAGCAAATTTTACCCTCGGATAATTTTGTTGCTGAAAAGCCCGCTGTTTATATTTGAATTACTTTCAAACTTCATCATATACTACAATTGTAGATACTCGTAATCTTTTTTCGGTAGAAATTTTTGATATATAGAACAGGAAATAATTAGTGGAAACCTTTTTCAACAGAAAACAACGAACACTAAGGGGAAAAAGAAAAAGTTCTTTTTTAAAAATAAATTTGATGAAAGCAAGCGAAAGTATCGAACGAATCGTGAGCATATTGAAATGGAATAAGTGATAAAATACTCGTTCAATGTATCTTACGCCTTCTGACAATGCTGATCTTAACAGAATAAGGTTGGTCTTCATTGGAAGCAAGTAATCTTGATATGGTTTAAGTAACCTTGAACCTTCACCACTTTATAAAACCCTGCGGGGGGGTTTCAACCCATCAACCCATCTTACTCGAAAAGTTACGTACTAGTTCGGTTTCTCATTAGTTCTTACGTTTCGAAATATGGAGAGGAATATGATGAATTTACTACCAAACTCATTACATTTATGGCTGCCAGGTAACATATGGCCTTCTTTGCTCTATAACAGCATATATTTTATACCCAATTCCATATCTCTAGCAGGCATTTTCCATTTTTCAACCATAGAAGATTCTTGATGGTTTGAATCAAATGATAGTAATAAGAATCGAATTTGACCATTTGTTATTACAGTAAACTCGAGTAGTGATATTAATGCCAAGGTGACGAGCCCACTTCACCCGCTGTTTTTCAATTACTAACCTCTTTTATTCAGCGCTTCTTTTGCTGATGAAGTGCGCAGTGTTTCACCCGGGTCATTTTCGTCAAACTCTAAAATGCCAATTTTGGCTTAATAGTGTTTGCACGAATTCTCATAACTGCGACGAACATTTTTCGGCTATGTTACTGACATGTGATAACTCCAGATGATAAGGGTGAAAATTAGGAACCCAATCCAATAGAACCGAAGTGAACACGGTGATACAAACGGTGAATGTTACCTCTTCCAACATAGCGAGAGGAGATACTATGAAGGGGAGACACAGAGGGAGCTAGATAACGGGTGATGAAAGGAAATGTGAAATTGAAAATGTAAAAAAAGGGCAACGAGGTTCGAAGTGGAATAGAATGAGGAATGAGGAATAAAAATTAAGAAGAAGGGAGAGAGAAAATGGCGAAAGATTTGTTAGCATTTAGAATGATGGGAAGGAAATTGAAAGTGTAGTAAGCACAGGAGTGAATGAATGAATAAAAGGCAGTTCGATGTACTTCGAGGATGCCGCTGATTATTTTATGTATCGTTGTTATTTGAGATATTTAAGGGCGGTAGGGAGAGAATGAGACAGGAAATATCACTCCGGATATGAACGCCGTTTTTGATGTTTCTGGAGGATCGAAACCTTTCTGGATCTTCCTTTCATCCTTTCGTTATTCTTTTACGCTTCTTATTGTCGGGAATTCATTCCATAATAAAATAATCCCTAAAGGGTTTCCTTGGACGAAAATGGTTTCTGCCATCGAAGCAGCAAATATTATTCATTGATATGCACTTTTTGTTATTTAATAAGATGTCACTGTGGCAATCATTGCACAGTCCGTTTTCCCTTATTTACTTCTCTCTCTCTCTCTCTCTCTCCCTCTCCCTTTCCCTCTCCCTCTCCCTCTCCCTCTCCCTCTCTTTTTCCTTCTATTCCGAAATCAAAGAAAGCCTTCTCGGCTTGGCGTTTTTTAACTGATTGGTATGTGCACATGCTAAGCTGTGGTCTATTTCCATTTTACTGTTTTGTTTTATTATTACCATTGGTTCGTTGCTCATACGCATATTCATACCGTATCATTTTGTTTCTCAAACTGTGTTCTTATCATTATCATTCTACACTCATACGCACACATTATCAGAGATAAATGTCATCGAATCAGTCGTTATCATGACTTTCGTTATTATCATTATCACCTTGTAGTATTACCGCCTCCGTTATCTTTGTTGCTTTTTTCATCGCAATGTGTTTTGATTGTTTATTATTTATTATTTATCATTTATTATTATTATTACTATTATTATTATTAATCACTAAATAAATAATAATGATAATAAATTTATTCATTTAATTAATTACTTGTTTATTTATTTGTTTACCCAATTATTTATTTATTTGCTGAACTATTTAGTTATTTATTTATTATTTAGCACAATAGTGTTCATCTTAAACTAAGGCTGTGGTAAAAAAGAAGGTGTATAATATTCCAGTCTGGCTCCATTGTTTAGCAAACTTTTCGCCTCTCAATGGAAAACTTCTGCCATGTCTTCTCCAAGCGTCCTCAAGACTCAAGTGTATACCGCTGTGTTCGCTGTAGTTGCAACGAGCTGGTGTATCCTCTAAAGTGCGCCACAAATAGAATCATATTCAAATTCGAAAGCCGTCCACTTAATTTCTCTCCTGAAATTGTCAACATTGTAATTTAGTGCAGGTACATATTTCTCTGTGTAAGGAGCAGTAAGGGAACACTACGCGCTTAGCTATCACTAATCTAGTATTTGTGACTTGTTTTGATAACATTGGGAGAAGTAATGAAGATACTTACTATCAGTAGAACAATGAGCAAATTTCTATGAATTTCTCTATGAAAGACGAATGAAAGAATTTTTTACAACATTGAGATATAACGGAATATTGTAAATTAGCAGTTAGTGATGATGACGACAGTGCTTTGAGTAATAATTAGCTAGTGAAAAAGAATGTATGGAATAGGTTGTCAGCTTACTTTTATTTCTATAACTTTTGAATCATGAATTGGTGAGCCATAAAATGAATTGATTTAATGCATTGACTTCATATAAAGCGTTCGTAATAATGTTGTTGAGGAGACGAAAACATTTTGAGTGTCAACAATCCATGGGTGAAGTGGACAAGTAAGCTTGGCCTTTGCTATCCATCATACTTTATATATGTTAATAAATTGCTGTTACTACCCACTATGCTTTCCGGCCATACGTTATTACCACAAAGCCGATTTTCTTCGTACCTAATATAAATTCAAGTGTTTTCACTCAAATTCATTTCTGGATAAATCTTTGCATTCTCTGTTTCTTGTGGCTCTGCATTTCCTCATCAGCTGTGTCCACGACCGGTTAATCGAAAGTGAAACCATTTGGGTGGTCTGCACTTCATTTTTGATTTTGATGTGTTGTGTTTATACACTGTTTTATACACAAGCTCCGTTTTGCACCTCATAGCAGCGGTTAGAACACTGAGTAATTGGCAATACTAAAAAGTTCGATAGGCTCGGTGGAAGTCGTGAATTTAATAATTTTTGGAAGAGCTTGCTGAGAAAACTTCACCTTCACCTTCACACTCGATCTCATCCTTTCACCTCGAAATAATACCAACTAGTCACAAGCATTTACTATATGAGTTTTTTTGTAGCGGTTTAATTGCCATGTGAGGTAAATTGTGTTTTTTGATTGTTTGAAACAAAGTAAGTGATGTTTTATTTTGCTGATTAAGAATATCCAAATCTTTGGAATTTTGTTGCATAACGATTTGAAAGGAAAAAATGGCTTCATACAGCAAAGCATAACATAGCATCGGCCAAATAACAATGTCATTATACCAGAAGTCATACTTAAGCCTTCTTCTAACTGTACAATTTCGTCGCAACGTTTCTCCAATGGACTTACATTGTTTTGATAGCATAAAATGCTGCTTCCGCTAAATTATTTGATTTTTAATGAACATATTGGGTTATGTGATTTCAGAATGGATTAGATTACGTTTTGGAGTCGAGAAAATAGAGTTAAGGTTAAAGCACGCTAATTAAGTGTTCCAGATTTTTTTCTTTGCAGGATTCTTCCATTTGGCCAATGACCGCACTAATTTTTACTTTGAAATAAAACCATTATTAGTGATTTTAACGTTATACAAATGGATATAAGTGTTGCACGATTCACCTAAAATATACCAATTTCTGTTAGTTCTGTTAGTCTTAACGTAATTCTCAATTTTTTGACTTCTCTCATGTCATTCCAAAATGCGAAATATCCTTATAAAGTATCCCTTGGAACTGTTTAATTTGATTGAAGATCATCATGTTGTTGACTTCTGCCACCACTGCATTCAAGTTTCATTTTTCTGATCTCTTATTTAATTAGTGCCATTTTCTCATATACAATAGCATCATCTACATACCATTCTGTTCCACTTCTCGAAAGTTTCTACTTTTTCATCATGATTTTTTCGTTCTACGCAGAAGGTTCTTCCATGTACCAATGGAAATTTTGGCAAGAAGTCTTTTTCTAATTCGAATCTTTTATGGACAACTGTATTAGCTTAATAAAAGTTTACTAATTTTCAAAGTGATTCAGCAGACATTAATCCGACAAAAATCGATCAAATCTACAATGCTTAATGTACTACTCTCCGGTGGTGTCGTTGAAGAAAATGATTTGTTTTAATCAAATACAGCAATAATACAATTACTCAGTGGACATAGAAGGAATTTTTGTTATAGGCATATTTTCTCATAGAATTGATTGAGATAGTTCTCTGAGATAATATGGTTTGTTGTACTGCCACTTTATTTAAAATTGCTTTTAGAGTGTAATAGCTGTAATGCAAGAATTTCAATGAATAGTAAAATACATCGTTGGATTTCAAATCTGGAAAGTCCTACAAATGATATCCTCAACTGGATGATGAATCGGAATCCCCAATTAACGACAACATATTTCAGTTCAAATATAAGAAACGGTTGCGTAGGTCCATTCAGTTTCCAACCTGAATATTTTCGTTGTAGAACATTTCAAAAAAAAAAAACTTTCAAACTTGCCTCACTATTACTTTTTTCATTTGATGGCATGGATGCATGCATGCAAATCAATTCGATTATTCTGTCAAACTTGTGCACCCCTCATCCTCATTAAATTTAAACTGTGTAGGAAGAAAATGTTAAATGATGAAAAAGAAATGATTACATTACAGAAGGAGTAGAGTGATAAAAAGAATGTCAGCAATCATAACTTCATGTTAACAAGGAAATACGGTTCCCAGTACTGTTCAAAGTTTCACAATAAACCGATTAGCTAGGCAAGCTCCGTAAAAATCGACGAGTTAACAAAAGTGGAATTCTATACCGTGGGATTGCAGTATTCCAGAAGAGGTGAAGATTCTTTCAGTTCCTTACAAAATCAGAAGAAATCATTTTTTTCGTTGCACGCAGTTGTTTCCTTTGGCTTAAACATTATCGTGTTAGATGGAAAAGTCTATGCAATCAATGATTGGCCATCATGTTATGACTTTTCTGAGGTCAGGAAATAATCGCTGATGTAAGCAGTGAATAGCGACTATCAATTCTGTGTAGGGCAGAGGCGCCCATTGTTAATCGTGGGATTCCTTGAATTGTTGTTCGTTCGTATCGTTTGTTTGTTTCTTTCTTTGCTGAAACTTGACTTTTCTTATCTTCTCGTCTGTTTGTCTCTTTTCATTTGTGGATTGTAGGTCTGCTCTGTCCAAATGTTTTCTGTGATGTTTTTCCTGTTTATTCCATACTTCTCATTGCTCTGTAACTTCACTTAACTTCACTACGAGCACTGTCATTTGATCGAATATGAAAAAATTTGCATACTCTTATTCTTTGCATCTTTTCATGGCTTGTATAGAAAGGAACATGGTATATTGGAGTCTGTAGTTGTCAACTTTCTAACTGGTTTGTGTAATATTTCTCTTGAATACCAGTTCATAATAAGATAGTTATCGTTCTAAAGTGTAAAATGGTTCTTGCACAAAAAAGAAGGTTGGAATACTTTGAACGTTAATTACTTGACTCCATCATCATCATCGAAATCTCTCATGTTTCTTTCCATGCTGATATGGATAGAAGGCTTATTTCAGAGGTTAGACATTTGATTATGTTAATACTTTATGATTTTATACTGTGCGTTAAAAAAAATATATATTATCGTAATGATTGCTGTATGAATTAATGTCATTTGAATTGAAAGCTAAGGAAATTCAGGTACTTTGTGTAGGAATACTCAGATTCTTTCCATCATCCCACACTTATTATTCCATAGGAAATGAATGATTCCTTCTTTCACTAAAGGTTTTCATGGATTATCAAGAATCGTGATCTTTTCAAAACATGGTTGCCGGACATTGTAGCAATGTGGAATATTTGAGGAAGAGGAAAAGCGAGATTTGAATTATACTTGTGGTAGTTTCATCCTTTGGACAGTTCATTGGTAGCCATGGTTATTTCTACAATCCGTAAAAGGGATATTACAGTCCATTTCCTATTCTCACGCGTTCACTTCTGCAGGGAGGCAGACATCTTCTAAGCCTTTCATTGGGAGCAAGAACCGAACGAAATACTTGCCTTCCTCTGCATCCATATACCATGCACATAAGTGGGTATAATATGTATGTATGTGAATGCATGTGGGTATGTATATGATGAGTACATATACATATATATGTATATATATATATATATATATATATATATATGGGTATTTTGAAAGCTGTGTGAAATGCTGAATCACTTCTGAAATAGTTTTAGTTTTTTTGTAAGAAATGATACTGGAGTAAACATACTAAAGGATAGATAGAAAGAATGGTAAAAGTTGTGTCGGTGAGTGTGCAGCCGATGAAGGAAGTCGTTTGCTTTGCTTAAAAAGTGCAACTAAAAGGGCTTCTTTGCTTCTTCTCCTTCTTTTTCTTCTTCTTCTTCATCATCATCAAATGCCTCATCTCATCCATCAATTGATGGTTTCTTTCCTGCTTCTTCTCACTTTCATTTCCTTTTCTTTTCCTCCAAATATAAATATCATCAATAAAGTTTTGAAATTAAGGAAAGGAGGTTAAATCTGATTTTACTTTCATTTCACTGCACTTCTTTAACTAGCTTTAAAAAAAAGAAAAATCCTCCCTCTGCTTATGGATTTCTTGCAATAGCTAAAGCTGAATCATGTCGTTTTTTTTATGCTGTGGAATATCGATCTTCCCACTCTAGAATTTAGTAAACAGAGAGTTAGAACAGACTTGCTGTCAAAAACAAATCTGAAAGCGATTTTCCATTTGTCAAATATATTTCGTCACAATAAATAATTGTCATTGGAACAGTTTAAAGCAGTTAGTTACAAAGCTGACCTTTAGGTAAATATCTAAAAGCACAAACGGTTGATGTAATCTTATATCTGATCAAGTTTTCGTCTTGTTTAGTTCGAAAATAGTGTTCACTTTATGATCAATTGATAGGATATTTAGTTTTTAACAGATTTCCTCTGTTTTACAGAAAGTTGTGAAGGGAATTTTGGACATTTATAATTTTCTTTTTCACTTTTTCGAAGATATTGGTATTGTTCAGACATTAGTAAATTCTACCTTCCTGTGACGTTGAGAATGATTCCAAAACATCATGTATTGTTATCCTTCTTATTAAGTTACTTATAACGCGCTTCGACAATTTCTGTCTTAAATTATCAAAACATTGCAGCCATCGTGAATTCACTTCTCCCTTATACAAATAATGGAGAAGTGCGGCTTCAAATTGAAGCAACACGACATTTCGTTTCCTATAGTTAATTTCCTGCTCTTCATCCAAGGTAATGTCAAATATCACTATTGAAAAGTTACTTTATGACTAAATTAGAATTCACTGAAGTCACACTGTTCGAAGTGCCTATTGAAACATGTTTGAAAATCCTTCAACGACTGATATCTGCGATTATTGGATAACCAGATTTCGTTCATATGGTAATTCGTGTATTTGGGACATGAAAGGTATCAAATAATTTGGAAGAGGTTGTGAGTAAGTTAGATACTTGATGTTCGTCTCTAGTATTCAAAAAACCAGTAATCCTACAGAGAAAGCGCATCGTTCGTCTTCTACTGTACACATTTCACATGTTTTGGTGCTATCAGGTCTTGTAAATTTCAGATCAAACTTTTCTGTGGTATAATTATCATCCTGTGCTACAAGCTTTTGAAGATGTACGAGGTTTATTTATTAGTGCCACAAGTTCTGAAGTAGGAAGTGTGCCACTTATTATGAGTGCCATGTTATGTACGTTACGTTATACATGCGTTATAAACGTATACACGTGTCATATAACAAAGTTATTTGGACTATTGTAATTATAAATTTTATAAGTGAATTTTCAGGTGAGTGAGCCAAAATGTTTGAATACGACCGCTTGGCGTTGGATATCACTGAGCAATTCGCGCAAATTCGGTCTAATGCAATGACAAGTTCATCAGCGCAAATTTTCGTCCCTTTTGTAAGTTTGGCCAATTTTAGTTCAGCAGTCTAGTTATGATTTTTCCATGCACTACACTCTTGCTTAATGTATTGCTTTATGACTGTTTCTTTCAGTAGGTTTCATCGCTTTCTAAAACTTCGAATGAGAAATCAGATCGGGCAGTTATTAGTCAAGTATTGCTTCTTCCGAACATATTTATCTTTTCTATGTTCGTATCCTGTATTTGAGGGCTGCATTGTTTCTCACCATAAGGAATGGACTGTTGTGGAAAGGATTTTTTTACTTACACATTGTGATCTTTCTTTTGCTTTGTGGGTGATAAGTGGGAGGTGTGTCTGTCTCATCGACCAGTTCACTCATATAATTCAGAGGACCGTTAGTGGATTGTGCTTTTCGCCTTCCGGTTCGGATATTCTTGATTGCGGAACAGGTTCCGGATACGGAAGTCCTGGAATTGATGAGACACCGCTATCAAGCCCCGCATCGCAAGTCTTTTCGTTGCCTAATCATGTTCAGCGTGCACTATGTGGTCCAGTATCCTGTGATGATTCCGAAAATGTTGCAGCATCGCTTGGTCCAACCGTTATTTGTAATGAGCACAACAGAAAGGTTACTTAGAAATTTTAAGAAATTTGAGGAAAATAATCTGCGGGGAACAAAAGGAATGCAAAACAGTGAGCAGAGGACCTCCTTATCCTGTTCATTCGCTTTCCATTGCCCAATAATTAAAATTGTGACGTTCTTCAGGATCTACCAATTTTCCATTCTAATTTTATAATAGCAATCTTCTTTACTTCGCAGAATCTTTTCTAAGCAATGAACTAGACTAGTCTGGCTGAACAACGATGCATTCGAAAAATGTTGTTCAACTGAAAAGTGAACACTATTAATATTTGCTGAACTTCGTTTGGCTCATGATCACTATATATCAATTTTAGAGTAATGGATCGGTAGCTTTATACGCTAAAATTAATTCTATGTGTTGCAGAGCTGAAAAAGTTACTCCTGGGCTAACAAGTTATTGATTTTCAAATACGTGCATTTGATATTTATTAATTACTGATTTGACCTCTAAAAGAGGGAAAAGCAACCTTTTCTCAAGTTTTGAAAACATGTTTTTTTCTTCCATTTCTCCAAAGAACCTAAAAGAGCGCTTCTCACTGGATTATCGTTGTTTGATGACTTATGGTTCAGTGTCATAAAATTTAGAATAAAACTTATAAAAAACTTCCTGCTTCCAGTCTCTAAGCTCGGAGAACGACGAAAATTTGCCATCACAAGCAGCACAGGAAGATGGGTTCTCATCGGATGAAATTGCTCAATTCACACAATTGCTCTGCTCACCAAAAAAAGCTCCTCCCTCTAAATACCAATGTCATATTTGTTATCGCACTGGACATTATATTTCCGACTGTCCAATGGTTCGTATTTTTGATCTATAACTATAATTAACCGGGAAATGTCTGGTTGAGAAATTTTCGAGATTCTGAGTGATTCGGAATGTTCAATTGTTTTTGTTGAAGAGAAATAATACATATCGTACTTTATCGGCTGGATTATATCAATGACAGTAGCAGTCAGATGACGCACTTTTATAATGATTGCAATTGTTAATGCTGCAGATAATATCAGAATTATAAACTTGGAAGGTTCAACTGTATTGCGCAAATGCACAGAAATATGCAGCTGTGCGTATAATGTAAAAAAAGGAAAGAAAATATTACATGGAAAAATATTAAAAATTTCAAAAAGTTGCAGCGTTTTAACAGTCCATACGAGGAATTGACCCCTTATCAGGGTAGAAAGAAGTGCTACGGTGAGTTTCAGTGCCAGCAATGTAAGAGGAAATGGACGAGTCAGAATTCTGTTGCTAATGAGGCACAGAGCTGCATTAAATGTCACATCTCAGTTTTCCCTCACAAACAGGTTTGTTTAACCGATAAATTATTTTGTTTGGTTGAACATTATGGGAAAAAAGAACAGAGAAGTCATGAAATGTATTAATTTTGAAGCAGATAAAATAGAGGGAGAAAGAGAAAAGCGAAGAAAAGGAAGGAACCCAGGACTTTTTTCTGGCTACCTCTCAAGTATATTTGTATCTCGACATTCTGATCAATTCTTTATATGTCGGATAAGTTAACGTATTACGCTTGTGAATCGCGCAGCAACAACGTTATCTGACAGAAGTGTTATAAGTACAACATCAGTTCATATAGTTGGCCATCATTCTTTCTCTTTGTAGCTACCTGTCGATAAAGCGGTAGCCATGGGTTTGGTAAAAGCGCAACGCGTTATTCCAACCAAACTGGGACCCATTGGACACGGTCGGCCTCCATTCAATACAAATCGGCAGTAAGTAATAATTAGCATAATGCTTCTATTTGGCTTTCAAAAAAAGGAAAGACAAAGAAGTGAGGAAAAAAAATGAAAATCAGAACTGTGGTCTTTGTTCATTATGTAGCATACCGGACGACAACTACAAATTGGCACTACAAGAAATTTCGTACGATTAGCTTTTGATTTTCCGATGTTAATATTGATCAATACTCCCATAATCTGTATATTTTGTTAACCAAATATGAGTTTTGGACTTGTTCTCTTCTCTTCCTATCCAGTCTTCGAGCTTTTCTTTTTGTTATAAATGATATTTTTCTACTAGGACGTTTTTCATTTGACTTGCATTTGTTCATGGAAGTGTTTTTTAGGTATAATTTTGCCTGGCGGATGAAAATAGATAACATCAAGCCTGAGCAAATATCACGCCTCACTTTAAGACCACTTGTTTTTGTGCCTTTTTCGATTAAACGATTCATATAAAATTTAGAGATATTTTTTCATGTGGATCCAGCTGACTAAAATCATGAAAAAAGAAAAAAAGCTATTTGCATCTTGTTTTGTGTTTTCGCAAGAGATAAGCAGAATCGATTCTTTAAGTCCAACAAAATTATAATAGCTGTTTTTAACAAGTGGTGCATAACGTGAGTTTTTTGCCAAAATCTAAAGCTTTTCCTTTTACTCTTCTGTAGTCTACCGCTTACTACTTCATATATTTTTTGTCTCATATTACGGTTAAATACAAGAAACGAGGTTTACCCTTTGTGAATTTTTTACATTACTTGTAAATAGGTATGGGTTGTGTGGATTAAAGCCGATCTCTATCAAGGTCATTCTCTTTCCGTTTCCTTCGTACTTTTAATGTTATAAGAAAAATAAGATCTTTACAAAATTTTTTCCCCATATGTTGCTGTCTAGAAGGAAACCTTTAGCGATTAAATTTTGGTTCACAGAATTTGTGCAACTTCACTGATTGTAAATTAGAAATTTTACTTTTATTACACGTTTTCGAAAACAAAAAAAGAATCTTATTTTACCGATATTAATCAGAGCATATATAATTTACATAATTCATTGCTTGTGGTTTGGTAATGTTTGTTTTTCGCCCTTTCACATAATTTACTATGTATAGAAAGTGTTTCGATTATTCAAGCGATGAAATTATGGTTTTTTCTTTTCCCGTCGTAAAATATCAAGGGATTAATTCTCTTCGAAAAAATTGAATTTATGCTTGCTGTTGTATAGTATTTTTGACTTATTTTTTTGTTATACACAGTGTTAAACGATTGATTTTTATGATTCCTTGTAAAAAAAATATGCATAGCTTGTTCATAATGTAAGCAAATACAAAGGTCAGTGTTCAGAGGAGGAAAGAGAAAAGAGATTACCTATTCATATTAGGTATAAAATCTAGGATTATTCTAGAAGACATGTGAAACTGTGTTATAAAGAAAAGTGTGGCGTAGTCAGATTAAGTTCGGCGCCATTGACCTATTTGAATTTCTTTAATATTTTTCGATACTAATAGCAGCTCACTTTAACAAGATCGGACGCTACCACAACAAAAAAATTGGAGAATTGAACTTCTTTCGCTTGGTATCCTATTAAATTTCAACTTATACTTTGCTGTTTAAATTCAGACAATCAAGTGTATTTGATGTGGCTGTAATGAAGGGTATTAAAATGGACTTGATTTCTGTATTTTGTCCTCTTCTCACAGTACCTTCCTTCTATCTGTTTATAAATGAGAATGCATCAATTTGTTTTCATTGTTGCAGTATACTTCACATTGTGTAGTACTTATGACTGTATATTTGAATAAAATTATTGCTTCTTTACTGCATATTTTTGTTAAGGATAAAGCTTTTTACATCAACGTTTATTTAGGACAGGTGAACTCATAATGATGCAGCAACAAACAGATTCAGTTTTGCATCAGAATTATTGGAGGGGGTCTTCTTTTGATATTGATGGAAAGGATATTATAATTATTTAAGCGTTTGAGGAACTAGTGCTGATCAACAAATATCTTAGTGGTTTCTTCATCATGAAATCAACCTTTGTAACTGTTGAACTTGGAATATGCGCTTCTACTAGCATGGTTTGGTTGCCATTAGTTTGCTGAGTGAAATAAACTGCATTCCAATAAATGATTTCATTATAACAATACCGAAGAATTATGAATGATTCCGCACGGAATATCTCGGTTCATACAGTAACAGATGTAGCATTTGAATGGATGGAATTAAATCATTTAAGAAGTTTCAGGAAAAGAAAAACAAAAAATAAATGGCTCGTTATTACAATAGGTAAATGGGCAAAGAACAGGACAAAATGAATAAATGGTGCTATATGATTTAGGATACCTTGGTAAGTGGAAGCGGTAGTTGGAGTGATAAGTTGTATGCTGCAGAGTGGGATATAATCCCCTTATAGTTAAGAAATTTCCAGTTCTTCACTATTTCCTACTCACATGCAAATTTTGTAATGAAGTAATGAAATGTTTGTTGGAAAAAACAGAGGGGACAGAATTTATTTTGAACTGGTGAGTGCCGAATCCCCGGAAATCGTATTGTAATAACTTTTGGGAAATTTTGCAATAATTTCCATCATTTCGAGGACCATTTGGCGGAAGTTAGGAGGTGGTAATAGCGCAAGTGGACTAGCCGATGCAGCAACAATGAAGTTACGAGAGTAGACCGCACGGACGTCGAGATAACCATCTTCACGGCGACGTGTTACTATCATACTTCCACCGGTTGGATCCGTATAAGTGATATTGACCTGCAGAGAAAATATCTTTGATTCACATCTTCGTAGTTTGAGCCTAACAGAATGCTGAAACAGGATTATAGATTGATTTTTTTCTCAAACATTTTGAAAAATCAACTAGTATCTATTTGTATAACATAACGTAAAGCGGATATGGCTTACTGGCTAATAAATGGCCAACAAATGAGGCATACTATTCTAAACTGAAATGAATGTTGTAGTGAAACAGTTGCAACTTGCAATTTTCTGCTCAGATTGGATGTTGTTGACATTGACAAGCAACGAGCGCGGGTCAATCTTAGACTGAGTCCATGTATGGTTTGCTGTATGTGTAGGAGCCTGGCGACGGCATCGGAAACGCTGTTCATCGGTCAAAACTGGTATATGTCCATACAATGGAGAGTTACGGATTCCATCGACAAACATATCCATCTAAAGAAAAAAAACTTGCGTAAATTATTTAGCTTTTTTAAAAATGATAGAATTATTTATTGCAAACAATAAGAATGTAGCATTAACAATCAGGTGTATGCTAAAGCAACATTACTCTTAGCTTCGTTTCACATTGATTTGTTGATTCATTAAAAAATTCAACAGACATTTGGACGAGCAATGGAAAGTGGTGGTGTCAGTGGTCGCGGTCCCAAGGTCGGCGGTCGTGGTTCCAGTGTCAGTGGTCGTGGTTCCGGTGTCGGTGATCGCAAAACCGGTGGTCGCAGTGGCGGTGATCGCGGCGCTCGTGGTGCAACTGCAATAAATCCACGATTTTTATAGGAGTTACCGGATCGACTGAAATTCTATGCACATTTTTTCTTAACATAAATTTTCTTCTGCAACACTTGAGGTTGAAGCCTGCTGTATTGAATAAGCTGCTGTCTCACAGCAGGATTTTAAAACTGAAAATTTAAAATGAGACCTTTCAAAATTTGAATATAAAACAATCCTTTTATGTTTTTTAGACAACTCTTTGATTAGGTCATTTTAAGCGATTTCTTTTGAGTTTACATATCAATTTGAGTGAAGTTTAACAAATGTATTAATTATGTTTTTAATAATTCTTTTTTCGAAATGGAGTAGTAAAACAAGTAACTCTTTTAAGAGGATATATTCCCTAAGATTAGTAGCCGCAGAATTTCGGATTCATTTCGAGTTCGAATTATAGCAATTCTAAATAAACTTCTGGCGGGGTAACATAAAAAGTGATATAAAAAAATTCTAACCAGACTGTACAAAAGGCATGTTTGTTTGGTTCGATTTCTTCGGATCCGAACGTTTGTTCATTTTAAGCAACTGGATGATGCGACAGAACAGTGGATGATGACTAAACTATTCTGAATGAAAGCCAAACAGAAATAATGAGTTGTTAAGCGAAAAGATTTGAAAAGATTATCTCGTAAATTATGTAAATTTTCTACTTCATTTGAGGTATGCAAAAACTATTAAAAATCGATAATTTTTCATTTTTTTTGAAAAGATTTTTAGAAAGGTATGTTTATAGGAATATACTGATGACCGCATTGCGAAAAGGAACATAATTTCTTTTTTCAACATAAATTAATATTATGAATCACTCCTGTCTAGTTAAGTTTCACCTCCTGAAAATTACGAAATTCAGTCTTCCTCAGTCGGCCTGTCGTTAGAGTGTTTGTCAGTTTTTGTCCATAATAATTCTTCACATGCTCATTGGATCTGTAAAGCCTCAAAGATGCTGTCAAAAACAAATTAATTGAGACTAAGTTTCGAATTTAGAGCAATCTTCTTTCAAGTCTTTCAAGGCGGCTCTGTTATGCTAATTTTCAATTTGATATGGATTAAGGATTGCTTCAAAACTATGTGGATTGGTAAGAAAGAAAGCTAACTTTGATATCGATAACTTCTGTGGATCTCATATCCGTAGTCACTTGAATTTTCCGCGTTCTGCTATCTTAATTGGTAACATGAGTTCTTGTAGCGGGTATGCATATGATTCAAACAAGTAATAAGATGTGGTAAAGTCTTGAGCTTTCTTTGCCCATCCATCTTTTTAATGGGTCCGCTTTGTGTAAATAAGCGGAAAAAAGGAAGCAAAAAATGTACGGCAATTGTTTAAAGTTTTTAGAAGTAACGAAATTTTTTAAAAATTGCCCTGCAAAATTCAAAGGTAAGTTAGAAATTTCTAGGCACAACCAGAGGCACTCCAAGTTTTAGGGCTTTTTTTTAATCAACCGAGTTTTGGTTCTGTGTTTGTTTTCATTGGCATGAAATCAATTAAAATAGTGTAGTTAGTAAGGATTGAAGAAGAAAATCAGTGTAATCAATTAAAGAACATAGTTTTTCATGGTCATTATCATAAAATTTAATTAAATTTGCACTTGAAATTCCTTGCGGAAGACCTATTGGAACCGTGGTCAGGTAAACTACCTATGGATAGAAGTTGACAATTTTGGCAATTATAACATAATTTAAAAAACTTGCAGTTCTAATATTCAACCTTTTTACAGGTCGTTTCTTCTTTATTTTCTTATTATACAAGTCACTTTATGAGACAAATGAGAGAAACTGCTAGATATGGAGGAATTGATAGTTGTATTACTTGGTTTTATTTCAAGGATAATCTTTTGGGGCATAAGCCTATACGTTCATTTGGAAAGCTTTGGCTATAATGAAAAAAATCACTTCCAAGTTAAACTACCACCTTCTTCAGAAGAAGTACTTGGCTTCTCTATTCTGACTGTGATCCGGTCTTGTTGCTTGAGATTCAAACGACTCTGAAATTCGCCCTTTCAAATGTTATAATAAGTAAAATGGTGGGTCTAAAAATTCAAACCTAAATAGACACAAGACTTAAGTTTATCTGATTTATTCTAAAAACAAAATCAAAACTTTATTGAGATGTTTCATAAATAATGAATTGGAAGACAATTCCTATCCGAAATTTATGGACAAGAATTAATAGAAAACCATTTCCTTTCCTGTGTGTGGCACACTACTTCAGTTGTTTCTCGATGACTCATTCAAATGGGATAATTTTTAACTAAGCTGGTAATTCTTCAAGAAGAATTAAAGACATGGTTTGCTAAGGAATATTTCATACACACAGGCGGAAATATTTTTTCGACGATTTAGATTATAGAGCTCACTTGCAACGTTAAAATAATTAGTTGTGAATGATTAGAACTATGGATTATAAGGCACAAATTCTTGAAGTTCAAAGAACCTAGAAATGCGAATTTTTAGGAAGTACTTACCTTGAATTTCCTACTTGACGACATAAATAAACAATCACAAGCATTTAAAAATTATGGAGGCTCGAAGTGCGCTCTTTACATTATATAATTAGAGCTATTTTCATAATATGACAAGCAACACACGGAAAGGGGGAAAAAGATTTTTGTTTCCAGTCGAACAAAATTAATATATATCTTGAATGAAGGTAACCATCCCGAGAGAAAATATTTGTCAATTCTTCGAGCAACAATTTCTATGTTACGGCCACTTGCCAAATTTCATCGCCATTAGATCTACGTTATCCAATTTTTACTACTTTTTTCTGAGCTCAGTCGATTTCTTCAGCCGTTCTTTAGAAGCATGTTTTATTCTAAATGAAATCCGAATGTAATATAAGGGTTACGGATTATAATGCAGTACTCTTGTTCACCGTCACAGCCAGTAAGTTCTTAAATTTGTTCATAACAAGCGTAAAATCAGATATAAATCTCAGTGAATTAATTCCAGTGAAGTTTATCAAGTTTAATCTGCAGTCTCATTCTTCCGTTTTAGGTTCTAACAAAACTGAAGATTATAAAGTTTACACCATATTATTCAAGAATCGCTAGACGCTTAACAATTAATGAAACAGCATATAAAATGCCGCTTACTTCGTCCTGCATGTCTTTGCAATTTCGATTTCTTTAAAAAAACTGAAGCATCAACACAATCACTTCATTTACAGCAATTTGCAGAAATGGAGTAGTGTAGAATACTGGTGCAATGTGAACTGAGTTATACGCCCCACATAAAACCCATACCGCAGCTCATTAATTTGAAAATCTATGTTTGCATGAAATTAAAAAGCTTAAAATCAAAAACTGTATCAGAAATTTTTGAATAAATTAAAAGGTGAAAACAAAGAAAAAACAACAGGGGAATGAGTAAGGACTATGTGAACAATGAGCATTTCACTTTGCAACATGCTAAACAAACATGTAGATCCAATGAAAAGTAAGTGATCGATTTGCAGATAAATCGGGTTACAGTTATATTTCTCTACAGCAAAGGAAGAAATATTAACATAGTCATTCGGTCACCATCTCAACTGATTTGAAAAATGTAACTATTCAAAAAAATCTTCGAAAGTCAAAAAAATTCATTATACTAAGCGAAGTTATTTTCAATAAAAATTTGTTGGATAACGGTTTAATAGGTGAACGAACTATCACTAAATTTCCTTAAGTTACAAACATTGATAGTATTTCACAAGTGCAACAGAAGAAAAGATGGTTAGTGCACGGTAAGAATTTCTTAAAGCAAAAAAAAAAGAAAAAGAGAGAAAAAAATCGCTTAAAAACGGCGATACAATGAAGACTTCCAGAATATTTGGAAACAGTAGTAGAATATACTCAAGATTTTGAAGATGAACCTCAGTCCAGATTTCACACATTTATCTCATACAATATAACTGCATTAATACGATAACAATAAGAACAATTAAAACAAGTGTGATCATGACATATGTAAAAGAAAAATAGAGTAGTTCCAGATAATGTAATCCAATACAATATTCCTCTTCAAGATTAAGGATAATAAAAAAAAATGAACAGGCCAAAATAAAAATGACGATCGAAACCGGAAAACTATGAAAGACATGTAAATTCGAGGGAAAACTCCCCGAAATAAAATTGGACCAGAAGGCTGTCATGCAATACGATTATTCGTCGAATCAGTTAACAATCCCATCTTTTACCATTCATTATCAAGAAGACGAACTGCTTCAACAAGTTGTACTTCTTCATCTTTAATATTGGAAAATTTCTTCAAGAGAAACATAAAAACTGTCAGTAACCTGCAAGAACATTTACAGGTTGACATAATGTTAGTCTTCTTTCAGACTTCACGTGGCATGAATTCAGCTGTTTGATAATGTAAAATTAAATTGTGTACTGTTTCAGCTGACCAAAATTCTTCAGCATTGTTTCGCTTCCATGAGAAAACTTTTAAAACATGGAGTAAACACTATTATAGCAAACATTTTATGAGGTGATAATGCTTATTCACCAGCTCAAAAGAGAAAATTTAGAAACGGCAGTAAGTACTGGGCATTCATATTTACAAAATGAATATATACAAACTTATAATTTTAGTCCCAATTAGACTTTCACCCTCAATTCTCTTCATAAATCTTACCAAAGTATTAATGATCCAAATAATATAACAGCCAAGAAAACGAACTGTTTCCCATTCGTAGATAATTTATATGAGTTTATTGACTCCGCTGAAAATATATGAGCGTAACTAAATGGTTTTTAAACATAGAAATTTCGCTATGAATAAGTTTTTTTACTTGACATGCTTTGCGTTTTCAATTTGTTCTCATTTAATTTGTTTTTATTTCATATCTGTTTTATGTGATAAAAAAATATGAAATAAAAACAAATTATTCTGTGAGAAATAGCACGATCTATCAATTTTTCAATTATCGATATTTCGTATCAATTGTGGTTCCCTTTTGGAAAAAAAACTGCATATCGATGTCGCTATAAAAGGAAGCATCTTAATAATTCTAATTTATAATACCAAGATGTAGAACGTGATTAGTGTGACATTAAAGGTTATGAACTTTTCATCAAATGGATAATCGCAGCATACTAATATTTTTTTCACTTTCAATCAGCAGTATATTAGGATCACTTTTGATTACAAACAATTACTGCGAACAGCATCAACAAATGCAACAAAAATGTCTGACGAAAGTCTATGCCAAAGAGTGTTCACATATGAAGATAACAGGGAAACTTTCAAAAAAGAAATTAAAACATCTCAATTTGAAGTAATTGTTAGGCAAATGCAGTAGTTAGCACTTTGCTAATTTAGTTAATTCGTAGTCTAATTAGTTAATTAACTAGATGGAATAGATTTATGACTTTCAAAAGGAATATCTGGAAGGTAGACTACTATTTTCATTAGCTTGAAAAACAAAAGAAGAGAAGTGTGTTTAAACAAAAGCAAACAGAAGTTGAAAATGGTCTCTTTGAATGCATCATATTTCACTGATATCGTCAACAGCATTAAAGAGTACCAAGGAGGAGGCTGTCAATGCAAAAACGTTGAAATATATCATCTTATAACGAGTTCTAAAATTCTATTCTTACCCTTTTTGCATAAAAATTTTTTCACCTTTCTGAATTGCTTCCCTTTCTCTTTTAGCATTTGGAAAAAAACAGCTTACTGCTAGAAACTGTATGACTAGGAATTCCGTATTTGTAAATGAGATCAAGCAGGGCACCATTTGTCCATCCAAAACCTTGTTGTACAGGATATTCGCCACCTGAGCCAGGCCTACCATCGTCGTATCGAATATCGTACTTCTCCCAACATGCTGCTGGCTGCAATTCTGTCTCCTCACACTACATTATATATGCATCACTATACCATAAAAAAAAAGCTTTTCTAATTTTCTTAAAGAAAAAATGTCAGGTTAATGTCAGGCTTTGAATTACATAAATTCTATAAGTTACAATAACACCCACATAATAACATTTAAAGCAACGGCACAAACCATGCCCTTTTTCGGATTCATCATTCCATTATAAGCAGTGCGAATAAACTTCCAAGCTGATTTCTCAGCTATTTTAACAAGTTTTTCATCTCTTGATAACCGCAAACTTTCCACAAACAAGTGTGTGAGTGGTGGCCAACCATTTGGATAATCCCACTGCTCGTGCGAAGCATTATTTAAACTCACCGGAATGCCACCTATAATTCCCATACAATCATTAAATCCGCAAATTAAAGAAACCTGACTTTTCTTTAATCCAAATCTTTTCAAACTAATTTCTCATAAGCTAAGTTAACTTGCCTTTGAAATTGAGTATCCCACTTCCGAGTAAATAGTTAAGCACCTTTTTTGTTATGCGTGCACCATAGCTACCGAGTAGGAGTGGAAAAACATTAGACGGGTAAAAGCCGCTCCTCAGTTTTCGCTCCATTAAATCATAATCAAACCACGCCCCGTAATCTTCACTCCAGAAAACCTCATCCACTGCTTTACGTAATCTCTTGTGAAGTTCACGATATTCAGATGCCTTTCTTAAAGTATCTATTATTGCAATTTACTCAAAACAAAACTAATGATTTGTCGCAGCACAAAGTTACGCGAAAAAATATGCTATAGAACGAAAAAAGCGGAAAAATCTAAAATGAAATTTACCAGTCTCAAGAAAATAAATGACGTACTTGGGTCTTCCAAGTATTTCATGGAAATTAGTAAGAGTAGCAAAATTCCAAGCCATAAATACGTTCAAATCAACAGGGATAATATCATTGGTCCGGATCGAATATTTGGTGTCTGGAAAGGCTGCTTATTATGAAAACTACTTGATGAATAAAAGGAAGATGAAACTCACCAGAATATTTCCCTTGATGTGCAAACCACCTTGTGCTAAAATCTAATCCGGATTCACAAGCACTTGCAATTGACGACCAAATAAATTCGGGATGTCCCGTGCCTTTTAATCCATTATTCAGATCGATTAAGTAGTTTTCTGGACGTGGGCACGTGGACAAAGCCTGAAGTAATCTACTCAAATTAATTTTAGTGTTTTTCACAATGTGAACGCTAGGGTTACTCACCTTATACTGATACATTTGATACTTCTGACCAGATGGCAACTCAACATCAAGTGCTCGGTTTTTTGCCCACCATAACATCTCTTGATCCATCCACTGTATCATCTCTTTTAGCAGAGTTTTATTACCGGTAGCATCATAATAATCCGCGACCATTTGCGTAAATAGTGGAGGATGACTTCTTCGAGACAATCTGCAACGAAACGCAAGGCTGAGAAACTAGGTCAAGATTCATGTATGTCCAATTTTTAATCTGATCGGTCTTCATTTTTTTTTCTTAAATTTGGAACAACCCCAAATATATTAAGCATCTATAGCAAAAACTGCCAAGTGTAGGGGACTTACTGCACACTGCCCGAATTTGGAATAAATCCATGAAACCGTACAACATTGGCCAAATTTTCAAGGATTTGACGAGCAGTTGTTGACATATTTGAAAATAACAATCCTGAAAAAGTAAGTTCTCAGAAGATGTAATAGACAAAATTGGACGACGCAGGCTTAATAAGTAAATATGTAAACGTAGTGAATTGGGCTGAAGAAACGAACGTAATTAGTAGTGAAAATGTCAAATAATAGACATAGAATATTGCACTGTTACGCGGTGAGATTCTATTCATGTTTACCAATTTAGTTGAAATATAATGCTCGCCTTTGTTGATCCAATACGAATCCCAGTAAAAATATATCTGAAACGAGCCACCAGGTACGATGAATGCATTTGAAACAGGCAAAATTGGGAATAACTCAGGAGTTTTATGTACTTCTTCTATGAATTCTCGTGCCAACACTTTCCATAACTCATTCAGTTTTCGAGCAAACTTCCTGAAAATAAATCCAAAGCTTTGACGTTTCACGAATAATAATAAAATTACGTTTGAAAAGATCCACCAGATACGATAAATGCATTTAAGATAAAACTGGAAAAAGATCAAGGATGCGATATAATTATTTCACTAATTCTGCACAGTTAGAAAACACTAACTTTAATGCAGCGTCCTGCAATCGTCTTATATTTTCGGGCTCCTCAGTCCAATCTACCAAAGTTGCTTGTTTGAGATAACTTATGTTAGCAAAGTTTTCGGTACAAAAATTTTGAAATTGTTCACGTTTTAATGGATAAGTGAGACTGAAAATAACGTAGAAATTTATCCATAATCTGCATGCATTAATAGCTTATTGTAACAAGAGTAAATATAACTGGGTAACTAGACACCACTGTAGTACTGTGGCAGGTGTTAGGTGTGCATGTAATGATAATGAATATTTAATGAATAGCAGCATCATTTATTATTATAACTTTGAGAAGCACATTACATCTTAAAGCAAAACTATTTAGAAACGAATTTTTTTTACTTCTTCATAATCTGAATAACTAACTTAGTAAACAATTCCAAAATAAGTTCTGGTGATTTACGCATCATATTACCAGGGCATGTTTCTTGCATTCCAAACATCCACGTTGTGTGAATTAGTTTCCCGGAACAATAAATTTGAGACAGTGGTCCTAGGCAAATTGGTTGTGAACAATTAGGTTCCAAGGGTACATCAACTATTACCAAAACATCGTCACTCTGTAAATCGCGGAATAATGAAATAAAGATTTCATTTGACATGAAACCAGAAAATTTTAATGCACGCCATAGCAATTTTTTGAAAAAATCAAAAGGTATAAACACATAATTCTGAGAAATACGATATTTTGAGAAATAATTGCGGTAACTTACAGTAGTTTTACGTTTATCCAACGCAGTTATCAATCCTGCGTGAACTCCTCGTGGTCCATTCATAAAAAAATATATTATACATATTAAACCTTCCATCTTATTTCAGTACATCTGAAATTATCGCTTTGTTTGCTTTTACGTACAACTGGCGGGACCATTTTAAATGTGATGAGAAAGTGTTCGTTCTATATTAAGCAATTAAGATGTGAGGAATTAAGAAATGAATGTGTCGGAATCCACCTTGTTCAATGTAACACACCTCTGGCGATAATACTACTGCATGTATTACGATGCCTTTAGTGTTTTCTTATCTAATACATCTTTTTTACTTTACAAATCTTCAACGGAACAGTAAGCAATTTGCAAAACATTTAAAAGCAACGGTACTTGCTTTATAATCGTTATACAAACTAAATGCAGCAAAATACAGTACAACCGTTAGGACCAACAAGTGGAGGAGGAGATGTGTGTGACCAGATAAATAATATGGCGCGCAGTGGCCCATGCCGTTAACTTTGGTTCCAATTGTTCATGGAAGTGGTAAAGGTGTGGGAGTTGGTGAGAGGGGTGGGGATCCATAGCATTATCAGGTAAATTCAGGAATATAGGCCGGCGGATTGCTGAAAAGTGTGAAATATGCAGCGGGGCTGACATGAAAAGGCTGGTGTGTCCATATCCTTTCATAACAGGTCAGCGTTTCCTGAATTCGCAGTTGAGATAAACAACAAGTAAATAAAGGATTGGTAGGTCGGTTCTATAATGTAAGTTACTCAAAAGTGTTTCTGGTATCGCAGTTTAGTTTTGGAAGAAGCGGACTAGATTACTCCTGATCTTATTGTTTTATGCTTAATGCAAGGATTAAGAAAGCTTTTTTTGCTCTTAAAAAGTCAATGTGATTTCTCTAAATCAACATCTCAGGCCCAATTATGCATGAAATAAGAGCAGTGATCAATAATCGGTCTGACCGGAGTTTGAAATCTATATATTCTCTTCTGAAATTGGAATTTAGTTGTACTTGAGGATGCATAGTAAAATTGATTTAAAGACTTCAGAAAGATAATACATAGTTGGAAAGGATACTTCATAAGATACTCCACAACAACAAGCTATCATTTATTTCTCACGAACTGATATGTTTCATTCTAATACTCAGAAAATTGAGTACACTTCTGGCGTTGCCAATTCCTCAACCATATTTTTTGTTACACATTTGCTACGTCTTAGAAAATTAGAATAAAAAAATCAAAAGTTTGGAATCCCGAAAATCCTGAAATAATCGTATATTCATTTGATTCTATATCACTTGAATGCAAAAAACCCTCGTAAATCAACCACAGTTCAAGGAAAGGAAAGGTTGAAAATGTAAGATAAGTTGAGTGCAGAAATCCTTCCAAAGTTATTTACTGGATTCCACAAGGTCTCCCATTAAACTAATTCAACCGAGTACGAATGGTACATGTGGCAAGTATGCTCGAAACAAGTAGTGATGTCGTAAACAGTGCTGAAGAGTAGCGTTTTAGTGATATTATATGCAGCTAATTCCGTACATATCTCAGCTTGTTTGCAAAGCATATTCTTATTCAGCATTACATACCAGCGATCCAGCAATATTCGCTCTTACGTATTAATTGGAGCAGATTATTAAAAAGTGAGATTAATGCAGTACTGAATAGGAGTGTTTGTACCAAACCGAAATATCGATTTTCATTTAAAAAATAGCAGTATCTACAGAATTGTTTTTTTTTTCGTTATGCATGTGACAATAAATCTTCCGGACGAAGATACAATTAAAATTTGGGTCAAAATTGAATATACGGCGACGCTTCACAGAAACATTTTTCTCAACCACCTTAGACTTTTTCAAAAATACTCGTATTTGATGGAGGTTATATATTGCTGAGCCAAGATAATGTTCAAGATTGTATAATTGATTGATGATATATGATCAAACACTAGGACCTCTTGCACCACTGAAAAATATATCAAATGTTTTGAAATAATTCCCGAAAACGGTTTATTTCCCCATACGACAATGAATAACGGAGCATGGTTACACGAAATGTGACCTGATACAAGTGATGAAGTTGTGGAGAAATCAACTGAACTTCAGAAATCTGAAGAAGGCGTTATTCGCAATTTCGTTAATATGAAGTTTTGATAAATTCACTGAAAATACTAAATCTTTCATTTTAAAATAAGGATCCGGAAAACGTGTTGAACAGAAGAAGAATACAACAACCCAATTTCCCGAAGTGTCAGGAAAATGATGGAAAATTGTAAGAACAAATAAAACACTAACGAAAGCTCAACGGATAATTATAAAAAGAATTTCAAACTGCGTGGCATGATTGAAAATTATTGAAGAACTGGCAGAATAATCTGTATAAATTTTGTAGAAACAAAAACATGCATTATAAAGAAGGATATGAATTTATTCAATGAGTTCCTCTCAATTAGAAAAAAATTTCTAAGAAAGGTGCATTTAGCAACTTATCACAACAATGTAGCATTGTACTGTACTGCTAATACTATTACCACCATATTTCACTACCCTTTACTCGATTTCTTTTCAGCATTTTTGTCCAAGGTTTCCAAATTTAAAAATTAAAAAAATTTTGACAGAGTAGTGCTAAGTAGAAAGATAATGAATATCTTGAATTTTCTAAGCATTCTTATTTTTTATATAAGCTTGATCTTGGAGACACTGTCACAAGCAAAATTAAAATAATTACAACGGCAATTTTTCCTTCTTCAAAGAGCTACATCCCCATACAACAATAAATGCAGATAGAACCAAGCATACCATGGATACCGACACGATAGATGATATGAACCACACCTCAGACATGCATACCAGGTCGAATTCTTCCGAAAAAGCGCTAAAATTTTTGGTCAAATACTAATAAACTAAAAATTTGATTTTGAACAATTAGCAATTAAAAGAATCTCCCGAACTTACTTCAAAATGACTTATGTTTCAGAAATTTGGTTAAATACTAATAAAATTTGCTGTTCTCTCATTGAAAACCGATTGAAGAGCTTACTTATTCCAGAAGGTAGTATTCTGTAAAACTTCTTCATCTTCCCCTTTTGCGAGAACTCTTATTATTGCAGACAGTGTTCCTTCTGTTTGATCACTATCATCGACACTTCGTTTCCGCCTCCCATGAGACATAAAGAGCTCATTCGTTCCAGAATCCAGACAATTACTCTATAAAGTCAAGATTAGACGTATTCAATAAGTAAACTTCTTGTGTACCTCTCGATTCCTTGCTCTTCTAATTTGATCACTTAATAAGTAGTATATCCCACTAAGTACATCATTTCGTCTATTAGCTTTCCTTTCAGGTTTCCGGAATCTCCTGAAAGCATTAAAAAATTTCGAAATTATCTTTAATTTCCTAAGCAAATAATACAAAAATAGTTAAACTTACTGGTGGGCATCCATTGGGTCCAGCACAGAACATTACTTGACATAAGATCTGAACGTCGTAGGAACCATCTAATCGGAATGCTTTCACGTCACATTTGAGGCGGTTTTTCTCAAAATCTTGTCCAACGGGTCCAACTAAGGCTGGGTAACGTGGGCAACTAAATAATTTGCCGTTTTCTTAATGCAAATTTCTCAATCTTGATATAGTACATGGACTAATTGAACATTAACTATGGCATTAGTAAATAGGAGATGAAAAAGGGATTGCTTTCATAGCGTACGATTTATATCATTCATATTACTTATTTTGGGACTTTTCAAATGAATAGGAATTATGCGTCACATTTTCTGATTTTCTAGAAATATAAGCCATCAAAGGTAAGATTCAAGCGATCAATTGCGACAATGAACATTTAACAACCGCTTTCTTCTGAAATCGTAGTTAGTAAGTAGTTTTAGGTGCTGTACTAACCCATTTTCGATGATAGTAAAAGGTACAGCGTCACCCTCTCCACCAACACGTGTTGCTGTGCATTCGGTTAGCATCATATTGTGAGGCCCAGCTTGTTCCGATGTAACAACCATTTGGATTGCATCACCAATTGAAGCCTTTTCCAGGGGTTCATCATCAGCACTGAGGAAAGATAACGTTGCAGTTACCGGTGGTGGAGTTCCTACAGCAAGAACACGTGTGTTCGCCTCCCTAAAATTCGAAAATTTTCCGTATTACTATCAAAAAAGAAAATATTTCCGAAGCAAACATAGATAAATGCTTAAAGAGCGGCAAAAACCATCCGTAAATACTATCAGAAGCTCGTTCATATTCCTTTGTTATGTGGATAATAGTAAAAAATGAGGTGAGACAGTTTTGCTCTCTTGAATTCAAAAATGGAGAATAACTTACCCCGCATCATAAATTGTTGTGACAACAACGGAACCTTCATGCATCATTTTATCCATGGATATGTCACAGGAAACGCGATAGAAACGATCCCATTCTGTGGTTACCTGATGCGGTAGCACACCATCCAAGGATACAACAACTAATGCTTCTAATTTACCATCCTTAAGTTCCCGTTTTTTAGGTCATGTATGAAGTTGTTTTGTTCATCTTCCGCATAATGTTTTTTGTTTTTCTACTTGGTTTTCACAGTTTATCAAAGACCTGATATACTTTATATTTTTACAAAATTTTTGATCAATTAAACATGGTGAAAAGAACTTGCTGTGGGAGGCAGAAAATACGACTAAGTTTCAATAGGTCGGTAAGTGAAAGTTTGATTAGATTTCGTTTTTTCTAAAGAGTATGGTGAAAAAAGGGGCTTTTTTTTTCGAAATACTGAGGTAAAAACGAAACTTTAAAAAGAGATGAAAATACCTTGATAATTGTACCACAGTCCGAGGATACCGTAGGTGGTGGAAAGTTGATTGAAATTTGTTTGGCATTTTCAACAACCTGTGAACAAGTACCAAATCGTTCTGCAGCATAAATAGCCCCCGTATATGGCTCCTTAGTATTTACAATGAAACGTATTCCCTCGTTGGTACACAGTGCCATACCGCCAAACTGTGATTCTGCAAGTACTGATTATTTATTTCGCTCATCTGACATCCGTTTTTGTTTGTCTAACTTTCATTTTATAAAACTGTCTTAATTCACTTA